CAGATATTTCGGGTTCGCCTTCGCTTCCATCGGACTAGGAGGGCTTGGAAGTTACCCATACCGTGACAGATGACCGGTGCCGCAATCAGGGCCCGTTATCGCAGGGGGATTGATCGTGATAACCTTTTTTCCCTTCCCCCCTTTTCGTTTACCGTTGATCTCCCGCCTAATCCACGCACCTGTACACCCATGGGTGTACTTACTTGGCTTTAAATTTACCTTTTCCTGCGGCGAAATCGACCTGGATCACGCCGACTCGGACTCGGACGTCTCTCCGGTCTTCTTGTTTGCTTTCTCTCTGCCCTGTTAAATTTCTAGTCTTGGCAGCTCTCACAAAGAAGGAAATAGTGGCCCCATAGTCGGTCCTCGACTTTGACTTTGAGCGCTTGACCTTGGGCCCGCGCACGCCGCATGATATCTCACCCCGGCGCTTGTCCTGGCTTCCTCAGTTCCTGGACTATTCTCCGACGGCCCCCGACGAGCCACCAACGCCTCAAACTCTGACTCTGACTCAGAAAACCTTCGCAATTCAACGAGGAGTACGTACCTGCCGACTCGGACCTTGAGGCACTTCGACATGTTTGCGTTTCAATCCCATCTAATACTCGTGATGAATCTCGTACTCTTACTCTTACTAGTCTAAATTCCCTGGGGCTTCATGCAGTCATGCGAGGCGCTCGGAGGACCGCCAGATCCTGGATGGAACCTCGCACCTCACTGAGCATACCCTTTCGTTATGTACCTCATCAGGAGCCGCCTCCCACCTTTCGCCGCCCACCTCGAGCCTCTTGTCAGGTGGGCAAAACCCGCCCTCCCCTTCTTTGTTTTTCTTATCTGTCATATTAGATCACAAGGCCCCATTCACTGCTCCGTGTTGTGACTCGTTTCGTTCTGCAAGTGCATACCATCGTGCGTGCCATCTTCGCACCCTCCATTCGCGATGTGGCAAGATGGTTATATCCCCTAACACCACATAACATTCTTGGGTACATTATGTAGTCCTCATTATAGATCTGCGGCAACATACTTTGATATTGCGGCAACCGATGGAAGAGCACTCCTTGCAATGGAGACTCTAGAACCGGCGCCACTTGGTCCTCCGGGCGCTGCACATGAAGCCTTTAAAAATGAAGCTTGGAGCTTCAAGGCGATAAATTAGTGAAGCTTTTGTTATTGAGCCAATACTCGGACGTATATATCGAGTGAAATGGTCCTAGGAAGGTTAAAACATAAGCAGGTCTGGCTGGTGACGATATGATATGGTATGGTATGATGAAGGAGTGGTAGGCTGTTCAATCCACCCAACGCAACTCCAAGACGTCCCAACCAACAATACGTACGCGGCCGGCGTGCCCATGTATCGCCGGTATGACGAGATGAGAATTCCAGACGGTGAGATTATGAGATTGCCAACTTCTGCGGCCGCCTAGAGTTGGCATCTTCATAAAAATCGATGTGTATCCAGTCTACCAGCCACTCCGAGTTGTACACCTCGGGTTTCATTCATGGGGCCACACATATACGTATTGGTATTCAGTCGTACACAGCCCGTGCTGCATCACGGTTGCATCAGAAGCTTGAACTGTTCAGCATGTCTCGTAATACTTGGTTCGCATTCGCAAGACTCAGTTTACGCAGCGTTCTGATTCGAGACCAAAATTTATGTGAACAAAACGTTCAATTGTATCGAGTAACGACAGTGGGTCCAGGCTCGAACCTTCTGCTGCGCCGCGGGGTGCAACGAGGGGTTCCGGCCGGCGTGCTAAAACCGAATTTATGAAGTCCGTCACTCTGAAAAGCCCAGCTTTGCAATGTCGAGCAGGTTCAGCATACATTCGTGCAGCAAGAAAGGGGATTTGAATGACAAATTGTTCCGTTGCGTCGAAATTTGTGTGGCCCACATGAGGGGATCCCATGGGCGTCTATATCAGGTGCTTAAATAAGACCGAGGTGAGCTCGTCCAGCAAAACGATTGGCACTTGGAATATTTCCTGCCCTCAGTTCTTGCTCGACCTGTGGTTCTCGTTTTACTAATGGTTTAAAGAGAATAATTTCTGGTTGGATCGAGTTGGGCATCAAGGAGCGCAGGCAAATGTTGGACTCACCGTGTCGCCTAGTAAAACGAGCCAAGTCTTCAGTAGTTAGGAAGCAGAAAACCGACGACATGCTTGCAGTAAATTAGAATATCGATACTCACAACACATGATCACTGACAAACTTCCTACTGCGACCGTGGAAGTCACGGTGGCTTGGCGCCGTCCGTCCGGCCACCATCGATAAGTCAGGAAAGGCGTTGTATTTCCGCTGGCGCACAACTGGTCACATACAAGATCTCGATCTTTCACACCCTCTTCACCTGGGATAGGGTTCAATAACATATGGACCCCAACCAAGGCCTGTTCCGGGATGCTCACTTGACTGTGTGGCGATATTCATTTGTTCACTCCATGGAACATGGAAGAGCCTAAGAGGCAGTCTCTTTCATCTTGTGCATACCCGTTTCTATTTCATCCTTTGTTGTCAATCAGAGGCGTTCCGCCTCGTTGACGTCCGAGACTCGGTTAATTTTTCTTGGTGGGGATCCTGGAATGGGAATTAGCGTGATGGAGGAAAAGGACAGACGGTTTTAGAGCTGAACATTTGCGTGCGTAACTGCATTCAGCGTGTCGCGACGAACAGCATAGAAAAAGGTCTGGCGCTGATAGCAACACTTTTCATGATAGGGGGTGGCGCCTACATGATGAAAGAGGTGTCTGGATTTGTCGGGTTCCGGCTTTGTCGACTTAGGATCTTTTTGATTGAGGACCGGTCTCATGACCTTGAGGCCCGTTGCCCCAAGGGCGAAAAGGCGCCCACCAAAGCCTTTCACGCTCCATCAAGAATCCGTCTACCAAGACGTAGACCTCACATCTAGGCGGCCAAAGTGGGATGCGTGGAGGAAAATCCTGAGACTCATCATTCGAGAGTGCGGTGTTAGAGCTCGGAATGTTGCACCGGCCGTTTACAAACCCCAATAAATCTTTGCGCTGTTCTTTCAACCCTGGAGTTCGATGCAAATTAGGGTGCTGAGCATGTACACGGAACGCAACTTACATACCGGGCGTCCTGCATCTTGACGTTGGTTTGGGAGTTCATATCGCATCTAGCCGCGGGCCTATCCAAAGTTCATCTATTCCAACGATTCCGATGGAAAAGTGTCCTGTCAAGTCAAGGTGAGGTAGTCAAATGAAGCCCGGAATAAGAATAACAAGTTGCGAACCTCGTTGGAGGTCCATTCCTGCGCCACAGGCGCTCCCAGGATGATCCACACAAATCGCGCCGAGGCCAGTGGATGTTTAGCCTTTTAGCCACACGTAGGGATGCACTTTCGGGATATCACTGTCCCTGCGCGTCTGGGCATCGAACGGGGCACAGGAGCTAACCATTCTCAGGAAAGCATGATGGAAGGAAGGTGAGAAGAGATCGCTCACCCTCGCCCCTTCCTGCGTGACAGCCGTTTACGACACCAATAAGTTTGCACCGTTCGTCAAACAAGGCGGTCCTAATGCGGGGCCGGAGAGCAACTTTAAACCAAGTTTCCATATGCATGTAATATGTTCCGAGTACTCCCGTATGTGTGTGCAGTTGCTGTGGCAAGGTCAAGTCAACAAAATGGAATAGCAGCAGACATGCTTCTTGAGCGTTCTCGTTCACCAGACCGACGAGTGTAGGTTTTTGGGAGCTCGTGGCACCATATCGATGTTTATCTGTGGCGACGTAGCTTGATATCCACGCTGCAAGCGACGCCCGGTGGAGTCGTGGTTTTGCAGTCGATTAGCATTTAAACAGGGCGGCGAGGCCGTTCTCCCATGTGGATACCTCGCCGTGGGCCCACAGCCTGATGTCTGACGGGTGGGAGACCGCGATGGCGCCGCTGTGGGTCGTCCGTGCGAAGGATGTATCACGGTTATCAGCGGCTCGTCTGTTGAATCCACCCCAGAAAAGCAGTGCAGAAGGCCCAAGATTCGAACGTTCGCAGTTGACAGGTCAAATCACCGCCGCTGTACTGGACGGGAATACACGGTGAGAAATCATAACTGTGTCATTGCTGATGGCAGTTGGGGTCTGTTAGGCCACAGCGTAGAATTAGACGTGGATACGAGGGGAAGACTCCAGCGGGCTTTTGTGACATAAGGTATGTCATGAGAAGAAGTTTGTGCGACATTGTCTGTGTGGAATTGATTTGATTTTTTCCGTAGTTGAAAATGAAGAGAACTCGACGCTCACTGTAAAGTCAATTAGAAGACCTGTGGGGCGATTTTTACTCCGTTACGAGAGCTGACTCCAGGAGATTAATCTTCCATCAAGACATAAGGGTTCAGAGCCCGGACAAACTCCAGGTAAGGAAGAAAGAACTGGGACGGGGGACCATCAGTTAAAATGGATGTCAGGAGCATCTGCAGTAGGGTGACCTTCTTGTGTTTGAACCAGAGGCAAAGCCAAAAGCGTCTCTCGAGCAAAAACGAGGTGTGTGTGCATACACCCATTCGTTATCGTTCCAAAAACGACACGGGAAACAGGCTAGAGTCCAATCGCCTTTCTTGCGAGAGCGCTGAACTTTTGATTACGATAGGATTTGGTGTTGGGAGTTGAATGAGAACAAGCTTAATGCCTGGACACAATTATGGACAGAGATACAGAATGTAGTCCACAAAGAGGGGGCTTACGCCTTCGATTCTGAGAGGCTGGGTCAGGGCTGGTCAGGGGAAGGTGGGAGTAAGAGTAGAGGTCAGATTCAAACAACCCAGTTCGCCTTGGCGTTCCGCGATAGTCACGTGAGAGACTCCCAGTACGTTCGTGAAATTTGTGTATTTCGCTGTCAGCATTATCGGCGACTTCAGCGAGCTTCGTCGTCGTTCTCCTCATCGAGCACGATGGTTAAACACGCCCGTAAACGCCAGAAGACTTCCCAGGCACCTCACCATGATCACACAACTTCGGACAAGGCCGCAAGATTGGAAATGTTGATGGATGAAGAAAACAAGGACGACGAGGAGAGGAGGCTAGAGAGTATGTTGTTCGGCACGAAATACACGCCGAGAGAGAAGGGAAAGGGGAAACTCGAGTCTAGCGATGAAGGAGAAGAAGATTCGGATGATATGGAGGAAGATGGTGGCCGAGGGATGCAACATCTTAGGGATGAGGACGTGCGTTTCGTTTTCTTTAATCGATTTGTACCTTCTAACAGATGGTTTCTCTCATAGTTATTCTTTATGGATGACGATTTAGGCGTCAGTCATGCAAGTCCAGACTACACAAATCAGGACTCCGGCTCAGAAAGCTCGCAGTCTCAGCAGTCTGGCGACGAATCTGACTCTGGCTCACAATCCTCTTCTTCTTCAACGTCTACACCTCCAACACAAATACCATCTTCCAAACTTCTTCCAAGACCCCTGACCGTATCTCGAGGGAAGGCGCCGGCATGGACCGACCCCGCGGACACTCTACCCGATGCCAAAGTCTCACTTGTATCTGGACCTACGCGACTACGAAAGCTTAGGCACGCTGCGGGCGAGGACGAGATCTCAGGCCGCGAATATGAGACGCGTCTGCGCACCCAGTTTGAACGTATCAACCCGGAACCTGAGTGGGCGCGAAAAGCACGAGGAAAGAAGAGCAAGTCGAAAAAGACAGACGACGAAGACGACGGCGAGGAAGAGGGTGCAGGTGTGCAGGAGCTGCTGACGTCGACGACGGGTATCCTGGTGGAGGCCAAGAAAAGAGCTCGGCAGAATGTCGTGCTTCCGCAGGGTACACTGGGAATCGAACGTGTGCGCGACGCGAACCAGTCAGTCCAAAGCTCGAGCAGCGGGGATGTGAGGGTGCTAGCATTCCATCCTAAACCCGCCGTTCCTGTCCTTTGCGTGGCCACTGCCGACCGAAGAATACGGTTATTCAACGTCCGTAAAATTTCTCTTCACTCGTTTAAGTACGAACGATCCTCAACGATCCTCACGAAAATCCTTTTCACAGATCGACGGGCACCTATCGCCATTGCTTTCGACCCTCCATGTACCTTCTCTACCCCTTCTCTCCAGTACAAGCGTACTTTTCCACCCATCAGGCAACAGTCTCCTCCTCTCCGGCCCTCGACCCTTCTTCTACACCTACGACCTGCAACAAGGTACGAGTACCCTTCACCGACGCGGCCTTTGGGGCACAGGCTTCGACGACACGGCCGCCCTCGCTCCATCAAACCACAACTCAAAAAGACGTCGAAGGAACGGCGATGCCACAGGCGAAGGGGGCAAGGGCGGCAGAGGCGGCGGCGGCAACACCGAGACTATCCTGCACACCGCTTTCTCGCCTAGCACGGGCTCGCTCCTCGCTGTCGCCGGCCGCGGAGGCAACGTGCACCTCGTCGATTGGAAAAGTGGCGCTGGGCAGGTAGTTGGATCCTTGAAGTGCATTTCAAGCGGAGGGGGTGGCGGAGGTGTGCAGGGCCTGTGGTGGGTGCCGTCGCCGCGAGAAGACCAGGCGTTAGGTGATGGCGTGGCTTTTGTGGATGACGAGAAGTATCTGGCAGTGCTTACGGGTGAGGCGGAAGTGTATATCTGGGATGTGGGCCAGAGGAGGTGTGTTAGGAGATGGAAAGATGAGGGCGGGTATCGGGGTGCTGGAAGAGTTATGGCTGGTGGAGGAGGTTCGAAAGGGTGGCTTACAATTGGGTATATGCATTATCTTCTTCTCCGATAGTCTTGTCTGACTTCTTCTATAGCTCGACGAGTGGGTTTGTCAACGTTTACGGGTCAGACTCCTTCGCAGTACCAGGAGACACGTTTTACTCGACCGATAAGCCAAAGCTGGTCAAGGCACTCGGACACCTGACGACCCCAATCTCGACGCTCAGATTCAACCATGACGGCCAAATGCTGGCGATGGCGAGCAAGGACAAGAAGGATGCTTTGCGCTTGGTACATCCCGCCTCAGCACTATCTCCGTGTTCTAGAGCTAATCCTTTGTTTAGGTCCACCTCCCGTCCTTGACCGCCTTCTCGAACTGGCCCACGTCGAGTACGCCGCTTGGACACGTCACTGCTGTCGACTTCTCCGCCCGCAGCGAGTATGTGGCTATTGGCAACACCCGTGGCAAGGTGCTATTGTACCATTTGAAGGAGTATGGCGCTGGAGGCGCCACCGGTTTCTAATCTGAATCTCGTCGCGCATATAGTTGCTCTTTCGATCAAAGTCGAAATCCATTGGTTCTCGAGCCGTTCTCGGGCCTCCGCTTCCCACAATGAACTGAGACAAGATTTTCTCCCGTCAAACAATTTGAGACCAAGCAAAGATCCTCGCACAAGGATATCGAAGTACGTGACGAGCAGAATCCCGATATGTACAATGCGCCACACCCATTTTAGTGACTCAGAGGTAAAAAGTCCTTTGCTATTGGTAGCCACATCGCCTTTTCATTCATTTTCCTGAGGCTCGACGACCTTAGAAAGTTCGAAGGAAACAGTGGTGTGAGACTCAACACAGTTACTTCTGGTCTCAGAAGAAGCAAGTATATCGACTTTTCGAGAAATTCTAAGTCCGCTCAGGCTGAGATGGTCCGATTTTCTCAGTCTGCTAATCTCCAACCTCTCCACCTTCCTACCACAAGCAGAGCGACTCGTGCACGGTGGCTAGCCGACCTTGGTTGCATACCAGTTACTCTTGCATTTGGCTTGTCAAAAAACCGAAGCTCAAGATCGGCTGATTATCCTGTAGGCTTCAATGGATGATGAATCTCCATACAAGCGCACTAAATTCTTTCGCCAGCATGCACTTCAAAGGCGCGTTGACGACCACTGCGGTCGCCTACGGTCGCTTTTTATCACCAGGCAGCTTGCCCGAAGGATATATGCGGTCCTCGTGAGTGATTAGATCCTCAGACGTCGAAACCGACTTCTCAGGCCAATATCCAATTGGCATTACGAAAGGATTGGACGAAAGCTTACCAGAGCTTACCGACCTGTCAGCATCTGAACCCTTCTTCCTCCTCCGACCGTCGGGGCGCATCTAGACGAATGGCACAATTGGACCGGTGACCCGCGTACCCTTTGTCAATCGGTATGCTGATCCCTTTCATATGTCCCGGCATTCCAACGACATATCAAGTCTTATGAAGCTGACCTGATTCCGATTGTATAGGAAGAGTCAGGTGTAAGGATCAAAGCATCCCAAGACGCATTACTTCCGGACTTGAAGGCTTGAGCTAGAAGTTTTACAGAACATGTCTGGTACTGTCCGGCGGGCGCGAACTCCGCAAGCTTTTGATCATATGGAAGGCTGGTAGGGTCAGAATCGATCAGCCAGATGAAGGGGAAAAGTCGTGAATTGGTCGCACCGATGACGGTTGGAGTTCTTGCGATAATCTAACACTTTTTTTCTCTAGTTGTGGCGCAAGAACAGCTGAAAGCTCTGTTGGAGCATCTACCGCAGCCCTCCAGCTACTCTGAGCCGTCGCTTACAGTTGAATTTCGTACCATATGCCATATGCAGTGCTCACCGCTTAAGACCTCTATAAACCCCTGAGTTGCCACCTGCAGGTGAGTGCAACATGCCCTCTATATATTTAGATGGCTCTGATATGCCCCATATACGGAGGCAATTTTTTTGAGGAAATAGTATCTGCTCAGGCGACTCTGCAGGCTTTGAGGTTTTCTTTTGTTCAATTGACCGTACCCGTGAACTAATTGCGGTTAGACTCGGGGCGAAAGGATAAATCCGTTTGTCAATCGGGGTGGCTGTGCCACTCGGGTCCGGACAAACAAATGGCCTGAAACGAAAACGGGCCACGCAGGTCCCGGCGCAGCACTTGTCGTTGACACAGACAGCGGGCACTCGTTTCAGCGCACTTGTCCACAGACCAGCACAAGACACACCCTCCGACACCTCCTACTTTCCTATTTGTAGCTCGGGCAGGCCTCGAGGCATCCCCACAGCCCACGGAAGCTCTCAGACAACGGCTGCTCGGACGGGCGACTTCCCCCTTTGTGCCGCCTCGTGTGCAAGTCGTCCATCAGTCACAAACAAGAACTGATTTTGGCGTTCCTTGCCTTGAACCATCATCCTCCCTTGACGGTTCAACTGCCTACTCCCTCCCGCTGATCCTCTTGCGGGCTCTCTACCGCCTCCGCCTATCTTTACGACATTATGGCCACCGATTACAAGCAGAAGGCGTCGCCCACGGCGCACAATCAGTCCAAAGCACCCTCGACCTCTGCGATTAAACTTATCAGAAGTGGCAATGCGAGTGTCAGGGAACGAAGCACGTTTAGTGGAACGACATGGAGGCCTAAACGGCTCGAACTCGATGGCGAGGCGTTGACCATCCTCAATGTGAGTTTTGCCACATCAATTTCTCAAAAATTTCGCGGTTGTCTCACGAGGGGCTCTTTCAACCACTCAGCCTTCCTCCAACAAACGAATACGCATCTCATTGCGGGATATCGTTTCACTGGAACGCACGGACTTGACGGACCATTCCTTAGGCCTGAAAGCCAGGGATAAATGCTACAACCTCTCGTTTTCCTCAGATCCAGAGCTCTACGACTGGCAAGACGACATATACCAACGCTGCCCACTCGGAAATTACAGTGCACCGTTCGATTTCGTGCACAAATCACACATAGGATCGGATTCGGTGACTGGGACGTTTACGGTGCGTTTTCGCTAGCTACTCGCTATGCGGTGGCTTCTCACTCTTTGTGCTCATGCTTCCTTTTCCCATCTACCGTCTTCCTCTCCTTAGGACGCCAACATCCTTCCCATCTACGCAGAGATCATCGGCGGGCAACCGGCCGGTGGGCGTCCTTCGTCTGCAATTGTCGTTTCACAGCGGTCTCGGCCAGCCTCCGGCGCGCCTTTAGCGGCGGTAGTCAAGAATGGCTCATCACCTTCATCAACGTCCACAATCCTAGAGGGTCTCTATGTGGTGAAACACTCTGGCCTATTTGCGGGCTGGATGTGGAGAGAACGGTGGCTGACACTCACACCACAAACTCTCGTCATTCATCGCCGCAGTAACAAAGTAAGTCTCTACCTGGATCTGTTACTCATGATGTATCAATTAACGCATCATTTCCTCTCATTCCAACCCTGTTAGGTATCATCTGCAGCTAAAACCATATCTCTACCTACTGTTACTCGGGTTGAACCCGATGCGAAGAGGGATAACTGCCTCATCGTCGAATTCACGACCCGACCGGCGTCGTCTTCCTCGGCAGCTGCACCGCCGACAGACACGATCGCTATCCTCTTCAAAGAGAATTCGGACCTATATACGTGGCGGGACGAGCTCTACCTTCGAAGTGCGCTGTCCTCGCCCATTGGGAATCCCACGAACTTCGTGCACCATATGCACGTTGGGTTTGATCCTGTGACAGGAGCGTTCACGGTACGCCTTTTGATCCCTTCATCCTCTACCTTTGTTCTTAATATTGCGTCTTGATTTCCAGGGCCTGCCAGCTGATTGGCAAGCTGTGAACCCCTCATCGTCCACGGCGGGCGACAAGAAAACCCGCCGCCAGTCAAGGCGCAAGTCTGCGCCCCTGGAAGTCCCGGCCATTGCGTAGAGCAGACTGGCCTTGTAACACCACCTCGAGGCATATTGCCTGCCGTTCCGGCCCTGGTATCCCGACCTTCTGTTTTCTGTTAACCTGCACTTGCCCATGCCGAAGGCGTTCTATTTCATCGAAGCCTATACCCTCCATGCTGCCCACCCAACATTTATGCTCGACTCGCGTCATTCGTCCTCTTCATATGCTTTTATGTGCGATGTCGGCATTCTTGTTGCGCCTAGCTCTTCGCTGAAAGAGTACATTCGGCATACTCTGCTATTTATCCTTTCTCCTATGCATGCGTGTTGTCCTGCTCCACCCACTCTTTATGTCGTACGTATTTTTTTTTATCCCAGGTGCCATTGCACTTTCGAACTCATGAAGCTTCGGCCCGTTCTTTTAACGATGTATTCACGAGTACCTGCGTTCCGTACCAACTTCCCCATATCACGACAACTTCCCCTCACCTCTATTTTTTGTTCCAACTCGTCACACTCTCTCCTCCATTTTCCACTCCACTTGATTCGCCTTGCCCATCATACACGCACGTCCCAAGTCTCATTGTTCATTGGACCCCTCACAATCGCAAGACACACCTCCATTCCATGTTCCACCGAGTCCGTCCCGTCCCCATCGTCACCCTTTTCGTTTGGTATCTCAACACCCCGGAGTCCGTACGATAGTGTATTGTATTAGTGTAAGCAAGCCTTGTATTCCGGTGTCGATGTGCCGTGCACTGATACCCTTTTCGTACTCTATCTATCCTCGAATCTTGCTCTGCTTCCACCAGACTCGAATTTTATTCCCGATCTCCCCCTGACCTATCTCTGGCGCATTCTTTGGGTCTAGTCCCTTTGCTCCTCAACGTGCTAGTCTCATGACGAGAGCTTTTACGCGAATGGGTATAAATGCGTCAGAGCACAATAAAGATGTGATGCGTTGACGCGTCTTATTGTTTGTCGGTTGGGTAAGAACCACCAGCACTAGCGATCTTCTTCCCCCCCTTTATCCAGTTACATTTAAGGGCTACATGTCAATGGCACCTTCTGCAGCTCCCTATCGCCTCTCATGACTCTCTCTCTGAAAAGGGTGTTATGCACATCAAAAGGTTTTGGTTGAAGGCTGCACGAGCCTCGGTCATTCTAGCTGCAGGCCCGGTAGAGGAGGCGGGTATTTTTTCTCTCCGACTACAGCGCACAGTCAGCTCTCAAAGTCCGAAAGTTGGGATGGATCCTGTCATCTTGGACAGGTCATTTCTATCACAGACAATAAAGATGATGGTGTTGCAAGACCGACCGTCTTTTGCTTCCGATCTTCGTATGTTCGCCTTTAATTTGGGCTCAAGTTCGGGTGCGTCTTGCTTTTTCGATCTTTGCAAGTGGACCTAAATATCGGGATAAACTTTCCTGAAGTGTGTTTTGCTGTTGGCGCAGCACCTGGTCTGCTGACAGCTTCTGGTGTCTTCTAGCTTTCATTTTCGTCTTCCCTCGAGTTCATCACTCACAGAATTGACGGCCGGAATAATACTTCACTCCCTCACGGGACCCGGGACTTGTGTCAAATTCCACCGAGCAAGTGCAGAATTCAGCATCAGGGAGGTCTCTGAATTTCTCTTGTCCTTCTTCCAGGCGGCAGTCCGTCTAACCGTCTCCTACCAACATATAGTAGTTGCAGTAAGTAACCCAAAAACACAAAGAAATATGGCGATGCTCTATAAGACGATACTTGCAGGTTGGACAAGACACGGCCGCTGGGAAAGTTTGTTCGCAAAGTTTTCCAACAATAAGGAGGTGCTCGTGCCTTTAATTCGAGGTTGGTGCCTCATAGAAATGGGACATGAGGATCCCAAGAGTAGACATAAAATGTAAATTTACTTGCCCGTAAGGTGGGTAAGCTTTCCGAAAGCCGCATGGGCACCAGTGCTGGATATATGAACCCAAAGTGGAAATGACGATACCTAATTTGGAACCTCGATCCTATTTCTCATTCGAAGTTGCTTGGCTGTGAATCCTCTGATAGGTGGAGGGCATTCCTACATGTGAGGCATAACTTTATCTGTGTCTAGCAACAATGTCGATACTAACTAGGCATAACCCTTTCTAAGTCGATTCGTCCATCGTCTGACAAACACAGCTGGCATGGTGGAATTGATCAGGAAACAGTTATGCTGGAGAAGTCAAATTACCCGTCTGCTGAGGAGTTTACTGTGAAGCTAGTAATATGAATAGGAGCCAGGGCTGTTGAAGAATGAGGGAAGGGCATACTGATTGGCCATGACGCCGATCAAATATGAGATGCATTCCGCGTGAATGTAGCTTGGCTGGGGGCCTTCAGGTTGTCTGCCTCACCGACATTTTTGTCAAGCTTCGTAACGTCCTCTGTCCAGTATCTAGAAACTTGTTCTGCGAGGAGATATGGTGACAGGATCACCCCATGATAAGGGTCACCATAGGCAATGGCAGCTCCAATATTGGCGACGATTTGGGAGATCCAAACTGTGTCAAACCCAACTACTGGGTGTAGTAATAGTTGAGGTGGCTTGCAATACCATTTTAGGTTCCACCACACTATTCTCTGTTGGAAGTGTTGGAAGGCAATACTGTCGTCTCTCGCAAATCGGTCAGTCAATACCTAGGAGAGCTGGATTAGGGCTTGGATAAAGTTGAGATAAGAGAAATACACCTGATATATTCACCAACTGAGCCATTGCTCCGCTGTTGTCGCTGAGACAAAGGCCATGACAAATGAATGTAATAGGATGGCAACCCTAAGTATCCAGAGGTATACCACCATGATGGTGGTGGCTTGAAGGAAAGGCGGGTGAAGAGTGGGTGAGGACTTGGCTGGTTGTACAAAGGTCACTGCTGTGCATTTGCTGATTTGTTAGTGTACCTGACCGGCGACCTGAACCCTCCTTCCCGAAGAATCAATTTCAGCCCTTTTTGTACTGCCCTTCACGCTAGTACAACATGTTGCAAGGGCGCGAACCTTATTTAAGCCTCATTTTATTCAGAGAACCCTTGAGGCTTGAAGTATTGGATAGTGATAATTGGGAGAAGGTCGAAGGCCTCTTGCAGCAGACAGCCTCGCCTGCAGGCTGCATCATTTCAATTTTTGATGTCCTCAACCATTTCATGTATATCTCCCTAGGCTTGTGTCCTCCCTCCAGCAAGACAAATACACCTACCAGAAGGAAATGAATGTGTTTGGGCACCAACAGAAGAGACGAAGGACAGACGTTCACCAGACGCCATCGTTTCTTCCTCCACCTTTCAAGTTTCAACAGAATTGGTGTTGAATAAATTCAGAACATGTGCCTTCAGGCAATTTTGTTGTATGTGCCCAATACTAGCCTCACCGCCTGATAGCACTTGGGACACAAGGCATTATATAATCAGTCACCCTCCGACACCCACAAACTGTTGATTGTTCGAGCTTTCCCTTCAAGGTCCACATCTTCCAATGTCTCGATTCCTCCAACCACCAGGGTCAACCAACCCAAAACTTTCTACTTCATTCTCTCCATGCAAGCTCCATGAGGTTGAGAGCTGGCAGGCTGAAGCTTATTTCCCTCCACCCCACTCCATCGGCCACCAATCTGTCAAAACCGCGGCCAGTACAGTGAGTTCTTGGGGCTCAGGCCATCCAACGTATAATGTGGCATGAGACGAACCATGTTTCGTCACCAAGGACCTTGCCTATGTGCTGCAGAGGGCGCACTGGGTCAACGCTGTCCATCAAGATGCTGATCGCAAGGCACACATCATGACACTTCCTTTTGTCACTGTTCATATGTTCTTTACTCACATTATTCACTTCTTACAGGAACATTTCTTGAGTGAATGTGGCATCGTCTCGCTGGGCTTCAATTTAGACGATCCATCCAATCTCACCAACTGTAGGTGATGGATGTGGTTGTTGCGAGCTTATGACTGACTTTCTTGACATGATTAGTAAGTTCAATGCTTCATATCGCCATGGACAAGTTCAATATGTTCGCCATGACCTGTTCAGAGCCATCCTTAGATGCCCTCATCACTCTCGTTCAAAGAGAGAATGATAAATGGCAAGATCATTTCAACTTCGCTGAGCAGTACAGCTGGACCTTCCAGGTGTGACCATCTCTTTCCTTCTGTGACTAACTGCCCAGCTTATAGGATTCATAGTTCCGATATCTACCATTCACCGATTGTCAGTACGATCTTGTAGTGCTGCACAGGAAGCACTTCTTACCCAAGAGGCGATGCTTGACCTCCTACGCTTGAGGCAACCCTGTGTTATATGCCATGGCGGATGATGGTGTCCTTTGACAATACCCTGCCTTGAACACCTTGCCATGATTTCCCAGCTTTCCCTTTGATGCCCCTTGCTCTCTTGGGTTTTCCCTCAATCCCTTCCTTGTTGTTCTTGCTGCTGAAATCAAATTCCATTGATTTTTGTGATGGAGAGCAACCTTGTCCTCCCCGCACCCACTTGATCCACTCAATAAGGCATTGATAGAGAAAACCATCACTCTTGCTGAGCTTCTTTACTTCCAGCCAGTAGCGGCACCTGGATCGGTCTATCGTCATAGGATGGATGCACAGATGGACATTGATTCTGAGGGCAGCGGAAAGGACCATGGCTCATCTTCCCAGCCATCGGAATTCGGAGAAATGGAGCAAGGTGATGCAACGGCTGAATCGACTGCTCGACTGCTCGGGATGCAGAGAATCCTCAACACACAGAAGTCTGCCAACTTTTATAGAGACTTACTCTTTTCCCGTGGTATGTTCGCTTTGTTCTTTCCTGAACACGATATCCAACTTTTGTTCTTGCAGAAACAGAACTGACTCCTGAGGAGGAGCAGATTTGTCGCGAAATATTGGCCTTAGAGGAATGTAAGTCGTTTGATCCTTGCCAAAGCTCTGCGCTTATTTGGTCTAGCTGTAGGTCCGGAAAATCTTGCAGAAAAGATTCAGACCTGGTGACAATATGTTGAGGGACAGGGTGAGGGAGAGGGGAGGGGAGGGGAGGGGTGCTGGATGTATGCAGGAGGGGTCAGGCACGTACAGAAGGGATGACATCGACAGCGGCGGGCAGACAGGCCCGATGATGCGAGAGGAGCGCGGCCGATGACGTTGATGGCAGTGTGCAAACTTTGGAGTGCACTATCACTACTTGGTTCTCCCGTGCCGGCCCAGCAGCCTCTTGTCAAATCTACTATGAAGTGGTCAAATCGAACCCTAACATATTTGAAGATGCAACAACAACAACGATTCCTATGGGTTATTCCTACTTTCCGAAGGAGTTCATTGTTCTGCCGAGGAGGTATGTAGTACCAATTCAGAAATATAGATCTCTTTCATTCACATTAAATCTTTTCTTTTTAGGTGGTTGAGAGCACCGAATCTAGTATTTGAGTCGAAACACAAGAGCGGCTGTCACTTCACTGCCTACGAGAAGCCAGAGGAGCTCGTTGGCGATTTGCGAAGGATGTTTGGGAAGGGCAGACCTGCCTTTGCAGTCATCCCTGGAAAGATGGGTTACGACTGAACTTACTGCATGTCAAATTATTACAGTAACACATCTCCACATCTGCCAGGCTCACCTCTGCATTATTCCTTGTCCAGAAAGCAGTGCTTCCATATCGCATCTGGGTCACCATTCACATCGGCACCCACCTCGATTTCATACAGATGGAACCATCTGAAGTCAAGGAGGTCCTCCAAACCCATCATCCCTTTCGTCTGTAGACTCATCCTCTTTTCGACGTCTCTCTCTGTCAGTGCTGTCTTCCCCTTGCCGCGTTCCATGCCTATGTCCTCTCTATACCAGTTGTCGTTCATCGGGATGATGGGGACGAATGTCTCCAGACATAGCTTGGGCCATGGCTCTCCTGTTTTGCGGTCATACCACTGCACCCTCACAAAGACGAGCCCTTTGAGTGGCACAAGCCGTGAGAGTATAGCGCCTGCCTCGAAGTATTTCTTGATCGAACCTTCAGGTTGTCCCGTTAGTTTCTCTTCGAAACGCTTCGTGAACTTGGTCGTGATAATGGCACCGTATATCTGGCGTACAAAGTGTGGGTGGTTCTGATATCGAGCCTCGAGAGGAAGGTCAGATCTGAACATAGGCTCTGATGGATGGGTCGGTGGTCTGGGAATGGGTATCTGTCCTCGTTCGGCGGGTGTCGATGGCGGAACGTAGAGACATCGGGGCTTTGTCGTCGACAGCGGTATGGGTGTTCCTCGTCGTGGTGGTTGTGGTCAAAGCTCCTAGGCTGTCAGCCCTGTTTGGATTGATGTCTCGTGTGCGGCCCTGAAGCTCGAGGATGTTCAGAATGCTAAAAATGAGGAAGTCTTGTACGTTCGGTGCTTATGAGTTTTATCACCTAGTTAAGTTATCAATGAATGCTTTGAACCATCAGCCACATGCACGCACAGGCTGCTGTCTCTACAATCCAACTTCAAACCAATCGTCGCCGCCCTCGATGTCTTCAAAGCGCTGCTTCATCTAGTTGATTGAACCATGAGTCACAAGCGCACAGACACAAGTAGTTGAACAAAGATAAAAGGAAACAGGGGTGAAAAGCTTACCCAATCAGCCAAAATACCAGCAACGACATCGGGCCACGGGGAAGTGATGCGTGCATGTCCAGGAGGCGTTAGGGTAAGGATGCTGATCTCCTCAGATTGCCAATACTTGGCGCCGTCGCTATTAGAGTTCATGACGACGACGAGGAAAATCCAGGTGTCCCCAACCGTCAGGACCCCACAGACGACGGGTTTCCTATCGCAGGAAAGGGATTTAGAGAAAGAAATCGGATAGGCAAGGAAGGCACTAATGCAAGGGCTTTGGCGCAGGCATACATTTTGCAAACTGCTTGAGGGATATGATCTTGGAGGGACATGGAAAATGACTTTGCCACAGTCACCACGAGACCGGACGGCATGGCCAATTTCATTCTTTCGATTGCTGGATCGGACAAAAATATTTCTAGAGGGGAAGTTAGTTATACAAGAAAATCAGGCAAGCCAGAGAGCAATATTACCATCCACGGATCTATCTGCTGCTTCAGCGGTGTATTCTACGACACCATGGAGGGTGGTGGAACTCGGAGACTTCATAGCCGTAGGTGGTATGCTCTGCTTCATGCTGAGCACCATCGTTTCATTTTGCAGCACCATTGCAGATACGCGAAAAAGGAAGGCATCTGTCCAAGCACGAGCGGCTGCTTCATTCTTGGATATCCAACACGAGAGGTCAGCATGGCACCCATAGATAATGGTCATTCACCGACTTTGGGGCGTCCGATGAGCGTTTGCAGGCGTTCGAGGTGGCGATACAGGTTTATTGAAGACCAAATATCGTCCTGCCCGACAACCTTAGTCTTCTGCACCTGTTCCGCTAGCACAGCATCTGATTTCAGCTTGAGGAGCCCGGCCTCCAATATATTCAATTTCGGCAAGTCGTCGATGGTTAAACCTGAGGACGAGAAGTCCTGAATGAAGGTGTAAGGAGGGCAAATATTATCATGGGAGGATCGCACCTGCAGACTACCCAGCCAATCCCTCATGGTTTCGAGGAGCCCTTCTACCGCGTCCGCAATGTCTGGCTCCCAACGTCATCACCCAGCTCGAGTTCTTCCAAAATAATAGCGCTTTGGAGGGATTTGAGAGATTGATATGCTATCTGAAGTTCTAACCCGCCGATTCCAGATGTTTCGCGCCTTTTTGGCATAATGGGGGTAGAAGCCAAGTGTGTCTTTTTAATTTTCGGCGGAGAGTACGCAAGTCTCCTAAGTCCACGTGAGCTCGACACCTAACCCATCCCCCGCCCTGGCGCCATCGCCGCCCGTTTGGAAGGCAGGTCTTCAAGAGCTTCTAAACGAACGGTGTGTATCTTCTGAAGCGTTCCAGCTCCGGGGCTCCTTGTACTTGTAGCCAAACCGTGAAGAAATCAATGCGAGAAAGCTGGCAATAGTGCTGCTGGCGCAAATTCAAACTTGATCGAGGTGGAAATCTCGGACGTCGTCCAAAAGGTTCGTGTGTCGCGGAGATGATACCGACATCGATGACAAAGAGTACTGAGGACTTTTGAGAGATCATTCGAAGGTGAAAAATTATGTGTGAATGGGGGGCATTGGTGGGGGTATGGAGAACGTATAGGTAAGTCAGTACAGGCAGTTCAAAGTTGACTTGAGAACTGGAGTTGCGACCGGCTCGGCATTGTTCGGCATCCCGTAAATGGAAGGAAACCTGTCGGCTGTCGGCGCCTGCCACCCTTTTCCATCCTGCTCCCTTTTCTCGTGAAGGATGCAAGCGCACAAAAGTCCGCCAGCGATGAAGAAAGACAGTTAACGGAGTGTCGGGATGGGACTCGGAAAGTCCAACTAGCAAAGCACTTCTGAGTCGGTGCTCCACCCCATGCCGTTTGTGATACTGACAATGCAATTCTGGTGGACAATGACACACGCTGTGCATTGACATGCCTGTATAATTTCACCTTACATGCACATCTATGACGAGATGACGTTGGCTGCCCCATGACATGGTGCATGTTTGCTACAATAAGCGGGGCCTGGTATCTGACGATGTTATAATTCTAGATGAACGACACCCTGCCAATCTGCCCGTTCCATTTCACCTTCAACTATGTCGGAATGCGACTTCAACCCAAACCCAGACATGCAAGGCTTTGCTGTTCGATTGGCCAGTGAGTTACGACTCAGTGCGTAGGTCCAAGCCTGCTGATGCTTGAAATTTAGTTTTCCTCACACATTCGGGAATGGGCAAGGGTTCCATTGCATGTACTGATTCTGTGTCCTGACTTTTTCCCTCAGCTTTGCTACTCGGAATTGTACCAGAAGAACCTGACGAGCATATCCGGATGTGCTTTTATGCGCTCTTTTTTCAACTCTTTCCAATCATCATCGGCACATTGATCAGCTTCATCCAACGCAAACTCTCTCCGGGTGATGCCTGGTTCGCTCTCCTGGTGATGCTTTCACCGACAACGTTGGAAATGCTTGACTTGTTGCCGTTTCACCGTCGTCGCGCCGGCAAATGGTCCTTGAGGGAGATTGCTGACGGCATATGCATCATACTCCTGCTGGTACTCTCTATCGCTCTATACATCATCATTGTCGTTTTTCTGTCAAGACAAGGTGACGAATGCCAACTCGGGGGATTTTACTCCATCGCTCTGGGAGAAAGCCGGACTGGATACCACGTCAGCTTCGCAATTGCCCTCTTCACAGTCTTTCTCACAATCTTTCGAATACCTGGATACCAAACCATGAAATTTCTGCTGCAGGTTCTTCTATGGGCGCCTTCAGCAGGATATGAGGCGTTCTGGATTACCTCAATCGTGTTTTCGATCCTTAGTGCAGTGCAAACCCTAGGAGCAACGCAACCTGGATGTGTAGTTGCACGATGGAGGTTGCAGAACGGTACGCATTATAATCCTACTTCCACGCACCTCCCAACTGTGCTGAGAAAACTTGTTAGCTCACTCCCCGCATGCCAAGTCACGGTTGCTGCCCATAATCCGAAGAGGCGTGATGCTAGGGTTTTCGGTCATGACTATTCTGATTTTTATCGATCCCACACAGTGGGTCGCGCGGGTGGCCATTGGCTTTTGCCTCTGTAAGTGGTGATTTCGTTGTACCCCTCAGTCTATCATTAAGCGCTTGTGTGTAAGTGGGCGAATTAGCCATTGCCTTGCCAGCTCGATGCTCGGGTATTTCCTGGGTCCAAATATCAGCGTAGGTGGTCTGAAGTTTGCGCACGTATCTTTGTAACCTGACCCTCCGTGTAGGTCCTGGATCCATGTGACAAGGTTAGTGATAATTTCGCTAGGCCATGTGGTGTTTCACAATGAGAACACTAGTGAAGCTGCCGAACGCATCCATCCACGACGCAGCGCATTGCTGTCTGTGTTATTCTATGCCCAATGGGGGCTGACGCTGGGAGTCACAACCCTGGAACCCGACTATGAATTGACATATGGGCAGGCTCGTAGGCAAATCCACCTTTCCCATCCCGCTCTGACTATATTTTCAGATCGTGGCCTCGCTTTCATTCTTGCCCATCGCCGCAGAATGCCTAAAGCTCGCTTTCCAGAAGCACCACTGGCCCAGTCTTCGCTCCCTCCGCCTTGTACTTCTCCCACTGTCGCCCAGTCAATACAAGGAGCTATCGGAGGACGACGTGTTCCCCAATGAGTTCTGGAAAAATAAAACCAGGACGGCAGTCGTCGCCAGCATTCTCGGGCTGTCTTGGGTAGGCTGCACTGTACCAGATCGCCTTCCGAAGCGTACAACGATGAGAACCGTCGTCTACTACGCCTTTCCATCTATCAGATTTCCTGAGGTTCTTGAAGATACCGTCTGTAAGAAGCCGGAAGATTCAAATTCACACTTACATCTACACAACAAGCCCATCGAGATGAAGACTATGCTACCTTCATCCCTACCTGTGAGTCCCCAGATCATCATTTCAGACGAATTTGACCAACCAAGAGTCGCAGAGGACACCACTCTCCTCCGACTCTGCGACGTTCCTCTCGGGCGAAACGATTGTCGACGAGCCTGACAGCCTTTCATACACAGAGGAGAGCGTTGTAGTGATGACCGGAAGGCAGCCCAGTATGCAATCTGATTCTGGGATAAGATCCAGAACTTCATTGCCTCGGCCGGTCACAACTCCCCATCGGCGCGCCTTTAACGCCTTGTGGTGGCGTAGATAGCACGCTCCTCGATGTTTATCTACCGCATAGCGATTAGGACGGAGCATACAAGGCAGCCGAGATAAGAACAAAAGCTAGGAAGGTACCAGCAGGGTGTATGCGGACAAGTAGCTCTGACTAATTGGTATTGAATTGGCATGCAAATTTGTGCATCTGAGCGTCGACGACGTCCTCTCAAAGCGTTCTCCAATGCTTCCTCCTCAAGGAAATGCTGCCCTCGCCGACCGAAGTTGATGTCCGTGGTCTCTCGTATAGCCACATGTCCCATTCAAGCGGTCAACTCAAGGTTTCTGCCATCGCCACAAGGCCTCCAAGAGTCATATCACAACACACTCCGTCAGATTCCAGTCACCGACACGCACTGACACTTGGCCCGTGCGCCGTTCTACACGATATATAGACACGATTCCTTTCGATCCCCATCTCTTGTGCTCGGGCATGTACTGTCGCCAGTGAGGTTCCTACCGAGGCACAGTCCGTTTGCTGTTTGAAAACTCATCCGAACACGTCTGGTAGCCTGGCAGGCCATCAGCATTTTTGGAATTGTCATTCCCGGATATGCTGTCTTTTCCCCTGGGATGGCGCCTTGAAGGCTCCTGAAGGGAATGGAATTAATGCAGACGTGTGGGTATCTAATAGCTACTTTTGTAGTACGCATACTTCGGACGAGAGTGATTCTCTCATGAGTTCACTCGCCCGTTCTGCAGCCCGGTTGGATCAAGTTGCTCCGTTACTTCACAACAGAAAGGAGCGCACAGTGCGGGATTCAATACTGTTATAGCATATTGACTATCTAGTATACCTACCTCTTTCCTAATACCCAACATGCTCATGCTCATGCTCGTGCTCAATTAATCGACCGCACAGAGCAAGGATGCTCAACGTAGTGCCAAAAATATATCAAATGGTGTATCCGGAAAGTAGAATAAAGGGAAACTAGATTGCCGTGTAAAAAAAATGAAGAAACAAGAAAAAGGAAGAAAATGAAATGAAATGAGAGGGAAAGAGAAAGGATTGTACGTGTACCGTCCAAAGAAATAATAAACTAAAGGAGAAGACAAACCACCACCACCACCAACACCGCCGCTTCAAACTACCCCACGTCACCGATCAGCTCCAGGCGGGTACGCCCTCCGTCCCCCTTGCCCTTGGCCGCCATACAACTGCGTCCCACTAACACCACCTACAAGGCTCGGCGCGTTGCCCCCTCTCGACGCATACCCAGGCAGCGGCGGCATTGGGGGCACACCATTACCCCCGCCCCCTCCCATACCTGCACCGTAGCCGTAGCTCGAGTTGTTGTTGTTGAACCCAGGCGAGCCGACGGACGAGGCGTAGGTGTACCGTTCTGATGCTGTGTCTTCGTCGTATTCCGGTCCTGAGGGCGCGAGGAGCGGGTCTTTGACTTCCCACACGGCGGCTTTGGAGCCGACGGAGAACTCGAGGTCTTCGCGCTGTTGAGGGGTAGGGGCAGGTGTCAGTATTAGGTAATCAACGAAAAAGAAGAGAGAAAAGAAGGGAGGAGGGAAGGAGGGAAGGAGGAAGAAACGTACCGTGATACTGTCCCAGTACTTATACACCATCATCACGCTCAGCAGCACACACAGCGTGAAGAAGAACAGGCCATCGATATAATGCTTGATCGCATCGCAAATCGTCACGCTAAACGCGAACAAAAGCACCTGCGCCCCAGCATAGAACACCGTGCCAAAGATAATATCACCAATGGGCCACCGGTCCTCCAGAGTCCGGAAGACGAGCACGAGCTGGAGGATGATGTAGATGGGGACGCAGATGAGGGGCCAGATGATGTAGATGATGAACAAGGGGATGGCTTGGTGTAGTTGAACCCGAAGAGCTGCTTGAAGGTCGCGATGGCGATGAAGAGGGAGACGCCGAACACGACGAGGCAGGATATGCGTAGGAGCTGCAGTGGGTGCGTGGGTGGTGAGGAAGGGTTGTGGTAGAGGGAGAGAGAAGAGTAGACGCACCCATAGTGATAGAGGCGTGCCGTCCTCTGCGAATTGGAAACCTACGAAGCCGTTGATGAGGAGACAGCAGTACGTCGCTGCGACGAGGCCGGTATATATTGCTGCAAACCACTAGAGAGCCATCGGTTAGCAAAGCTTTTTGTAGGTTGATTGGACAGAGGTCTACGCACGGGGTAACTTGGATTGGCCGTAGGGATGACGCCTGAGTCGAGAAACATGGCCAGCAGCTCAATGGCTGCATACATCCAGAAGAACATAACAATCTCTTTCCGGCCGACGGCGGTGTATTTACTTCTGATGTGGAGGATCATAATGGCGGTCATGATGATGGCGACGATGTGTACGAAGGATGTTGCTAAAGGGAGGCGTCAGTCGCACTGCTCAGCGGAAGAAAGTTGCTACTCCGGAGAAAACGAGAAGACGGAGAGTTGAGTGGCACAGCAGAGATTCCAGGCTGACAAGAATGAGAGACGCAAGCAGGACAAAGCTAGGTTGTGGAAGAACTGGAAAACAAGCCCGACGTATGCGCCATCGAAGCCGCAAAATTCGTCTAGGTCTGTTGCGACCAAGCCGCTTTTCAAACCACTGAGGGGTGAAGAAGAAACAAGGAAAGATCAAGTCGTAGATAATACAACCGGCTGGAGCTGTGATCATTGATGTACCCCGATATCTTAAACTTGTAAAAGGAAGGTGAATTGCCGCAGGATGCATGGAACGCCGAGATGCAGGAAGACAGAAACGAAAGGAAGAGGAGAAACCATCGTGATCGACGGTAAATGGTGGCAAGCAAGGCTAGGGCGAACGGCTCAAACCCATAGCAAATAACAGAAAAGTGAAGAAAGGAGACAATCGAAAGATTTCGAGCCACATGTCTCCACGCCGGAGCAAGCTGCGATGAACGCAGTCCACAATAAGGCAGAAGAGCCATCACCGTTCGGATCGATTTACAACGGCGCATCACCACTGTCTAAGCAGCGAAGACAGAAAAACGAAGAAGCAACCAAAAGACGAATACGAAGCAGAGAGACAGAAAGAAATGCAAGAAAGGCAACGGGCAACGTACAGGGTTGGAAGATCAATGTTCCCGCAATATCAACATTCCGACTATAACATGTTGGCTCGACACCCTGTGCGGTGCCCACTAGTGGGCAGATGACGAGTGCCGCCGTCTCGCATATTGCGTTGAAGGACCCGAACTGGAATCCCATGGTTTTTTACGGTTGAGGTTGGGAGGCTGCTTGGGTGAATTAATTAAGGCGTTGTACTTGGCGTTAAGGGGTGGCCTGGCGGTCGGCGTCCACAGGCCGGGGGTAGTGGATTCGCTGGCAGATGCGATGGAAGAGAGGAGGCGGGAAGATGGAAAACCAGCTGTTGGGTGTCAGAGTCTGGGTGAGAGACTGGGTGATTTGGGTGGAGTGTAAGGTGATGATGTCGTCGTGATTCCTTGCGACTGGTGTCCGTCCGTCGAATGAAAGGCCTAAGACAGTCTGGTCGTTCTAGTGGTAGTGCACGCTCTCCCACTACACCCGTCGAATGAACCCGTTGTAATCCAGCTGCGGTGAAAGCGGCGTGCTCGGAGAATCAAGTGTCGTCAAGTGTCCAGTAAGAAAGCAAAGGGGTAAAAGAGGGGTATTTGGGTGCCAAAGAAGGATGAGCGAGCGACGTGGCGAGGAGGTGGTGAAGGAAAAGGGAAGTTGACGTCGACTGGCAGGAAGGGTGCTGGTGGCGGTGGGAAACAACGCCAAGACTAGTCCCGTACAAATCAAAACCCGTCAACCGCACAAGGCTGAGGACCCCGGAACTCCCGGCGGAGTTTAAGTACTTCTTTCCATTTCGGGATGCCGATGTCTGCCGCACCAACCCGTCCTCTTGCAATGTTCGGATTCTTCGTCTTAATCCTCCACTTCCGTCGTCCTGTTTCTTAATCGCGCCATTACCGTTCTTCAGTGAGACACAGGAGCTGCTCGTTCTCAACGTGGTTCAGCATGCATTGGTTCTGAACTCGCTTTCAAGTTTGAATCACGCCCACCATTCTTAAATTCTCTCGTTCGTCCTAGAGATCTGAGGGAAGACAATCTCGATATCGACGCGTTCCTAAGGTTACTTTGAAGGTAAACGATAATCATCTGCAACAGAAATCGGTGTGAATGACCATACATATACAGAATCTATCACAGAACCGAGCTCGAATCACCCAAACTCGCATCTGTTACCTTTTGTTAGAGTCCGTCCTTTCGACAACAAGATGAGGCGTCCGGAAGACGTCCATATCCCTTAGCCTACCTGCTAGAACCGCGACCACCGATTACGTCCTCAGGAATCCTTTGGCTATCACGACATAGAAGATCGAAGGATTCGGTACGTCGATTCTTTTAACTTTTATACACCATTTTCCACGAAGCTGAAGATATTCTAACTCTTGAACAGACCTTGTGCGCTACTTCGCGACCTCCTCAACCTCATTTTGTCTACAGTCGGTTCATGAACATCAGCCCGAGACCAGACCGTAACAAAACTATCTGGCATCACCGTGAAACCCTCGAGCATGGATACCCAGCACGCTGCAACTCCAGAATATGATCCCTCCCACAAGAATTCATCCATTTCCTCCGTAGTCATCAGCCCATTAGGACTGGAGGACGCCTTGCAGTTTGTTCGACCAAATCTGGTTCACGTATGTGTCGAAATATGCCTACGACGTTGATCCAGCCTCATGAGATCATGCTTCCCATCCAGCTGCACATCCCTCGAGCTCGAAGTCATGGCGATCAATAACCCACTGATTATTCGATGATGTCCAAAATACCTGCTTGTCGACGTCAAGAATTGAGCATCACCATGGAACCCCTTCTCGTCTTCCTAAGAGCACAACCCCACGGCGCATCTTACAAGCCCCTGAGATCAACGACCTTTCGACTACAGCCAACCCTACATACTACGATCGTTCTCATAAAAGGCGCAGCTCCCGCGTTCGCGAACGGTTTGACAGCGAACGTTTAACAATCTCGCCTCGGCATCCCTGTCCATGTCCTCTATAAGTTTTCTGGAATTTCAGAGCTCGAGATGAGGACATCCTAGCTGAATTCAATCGGTCAAAAGCCTCGCTGTCCTCATGTAGATGTGAAAGATCAGCGTTCTTGTCCAAAATCAGCACGGAATTTCATGGGCTTAGACAACAGGACCATGCAGTAAGCTGCCATGTGCCCACACATTGGATAGGACTCTAACCTGCTTTTGTGTCGGGTAGTGCCCCACTGTGGCTCACTGACGATTTCCAGCATATGTTCTACAAGGACGGCGCATCAACGGCAGCTGAGGTTTCCTCGCCTATCGGTAAAGATCGTAGCCTACGTATCTGCAACTGGGACATCTTGAGTAAAGGCGCGTCTCCTGTGCATGGTACACTCGCTCTCATTTCTAATCACCTAGCTCTGAATAGAAGCTTTTTAGTTCCATCTCCCTCTCCTCTTCTCTCCAAGCAGCGACCATCCCAAGAGGGCCGACCCGGGGCCGGAGGGCCGCGGACCGGACCTTAGACAGTCTAGTAATAACAACTTCACCTGACCTTTGAATTTCCTCTCGAGCTCCGGATCAAAGCGTGTGCGGGTGACAACAGCAAAGTGGATTACAACTCTGCTAATTTTTTGGAATTGGGTTGACAAGGAGGTGTTAAGCACTGACCAAGGCCATTCTCCAGAGGATTGGCAAGGGATTCGAGAAATTGCACGACTTCAGGGTCGTCCAACTCGCATCGATCGAGGTTGGTACACAAATCCAACACCATCAAATTCTCATAAAGCGGCCGAATTACCCAAAACGGCCGGGGACGAGACTACTCACCACGATGTCTCTCGTCTCCTCTCCCTCGTCTCTCACACTTAGCGCCCCCTCTTAGACATGTCCGACGCTGCTAAGCGATTCCTCCAAGACTTCGCTGACAACCCCGATCTCGACGGCGAGTCGTTTTATTTCCCCCGTCTACACCACACTTACACCTTCGGTTTAGATAGCACCAAGCTATTCGTGGCCGACTGTATAACTCTGCAAGGGGTGACCGGCGGCCCAACATCCCCAGGCTCCCCAGACCTCTCGCACCTCTCGTCCCGTACCCTCGGGTCCCCGGAGAGCGACCGCACCGTCAGCAGCGAGGACGCGGTTGAGTACCAGGAGCGGGCCTGGTACTACTACGGCATCACCTCCGAGGGCGACCATCCCGAGCTGCTCTACCGGTCGAACAAACAGGCGGACTACTGGGTCCCGCCGACAGGCAGACACGCCAACATGCCCACGAAGTCGGCTCGCCCTGCCCACGGCACGTCACTCGCCGCTGTCTGGGGTAAAGTCGGCCCCCTAGTCGATGACCTGGTCTTTTCCGTCGTCCGCAGGAGCTACTCCATCGACGTGGCTCGCTTCTTCACCGTCCCCCACGGAGAGGCCGACGACAAGGGCCTCGGTCCCGCTGTGGTGTGGGTGACGGTCGACCCCGCCCTGAACATTTCGCCCGACACGGCCCACGGCGTCTCGGGAGACATCCTCGACCTCCTCGGGAAGCACGGCGTTCACGACGCCCACGTCGAGTGGTGTGAAGGAGTGACTCTACGTAGCAGCGTAGCGCCGTAATGCATCTTCTTTGGTACAGGGCACTCCGATTGTATTACCAACTATTATGTACATGCACCACCAGTGCTATGTGCTGCTACATACCGTCCGGTGACCTCCCTGTAACCTCCCATATCTGTCCAGATATGGCCATTCTTAGACACTCGAACGGTGAACCATCCCGTCCTGTTCCTCTATTGCGCTCCTCGTAGGTTTCTTAATAGCCATAGTACTAAGTAGGTAGGGTAATGAAAAGACACATAATATATTGAGAAATACTGTTATGTAAATACAGGCATGGCTCGACGCCAATTGGTTATACCTGAAGCCAAGGTACTTACTACGCGGCGTACAGACAGCGAAATGATTCATGAAGGCATCCTCCCGTCCCACTGCTCCTCTATCTACGCCTCGGCACGGCCCACCAGGGTCTGTCGGTCGTGCATCTACGGACGGAGGGATGCTCGTTCGAGGTATTGACTAGCAGATTAGCAGCTCCTCAAAATATCCTGGTCGTTCTGGTGGTGGTGCACGTAGGCGTCCTTTTACTCCATCCGACGATTGAACTCATTTGAATCAACTTGAAATTGGTATGTTCAGAGCATCGAGCCTAGAGATCTTCAAGCGATCAGGGAGAAAGGTAGAGATGAAGGGGAGGCGTGCATTTGGGTTCTGGAGAAAGATGAGCAAGCGAGTGGCGGAAGTGGAGGACCTACCTGCCCGGCAAAGTCCGAGACCGCAATCAACTTTAACTCCCTCATGTTGACAATGATTGTGGTTCCACCCCCGGACGACGTCTGCGTCTTTGGAACGCCTCTGTTCTCGATATCCTCTTCTCTTATGCCCACACAGTGTTGGACGACGTGCGAGAACTTGAATCTTGACCAACATTTCGTTCAAACCATAACCAACTAGCAGATACCCGTGCGGCTGCACGGTGAAATCCGTAGATAATTTATAATTACTTCTTTGGTGTAGCCATGAAATTGGTTGACCCTTCAGGCTAGGCCAGTTGTCGTTGTTGTACTTAATCAAAGCGAACTCCCTTTCGCTTTGCGGGGGTAGTGGAGGCTGATTTCACACGTCAGGAGGTAATCTACGGGGAGACTGAAGGAAGGAGCGCCTCTGAACACCTGAGCACGCAAAATTAGTTCTGGAATGGGAAGATATCAACCTTCAGCAACGTACCTTGGGCCTCATGCTCTCCCACAGATTGTACACCATTGCCTTTGGTACCTTCGGTAACTTCCTCTAGTTGAAAAGTTAGCCAAAGAATATCAAGAAAAAAGGGGCTAACAACTTCGTACCCCTATTTTGGTGCAATTCTTCGTGGACAAACTCGACCATGTCCTCACCCTCTGAATCTGCAATCTCATCATCTGCATTCATAAGATGGGTTTACAACATAAGACACAAAGAAAACCCAAATTCTCACCTGAACACCTGAGTGCATCATCTACTGCCTGCCGAGGAGTCACTTCCTGCTCTGGCACTCGTCGATTTTGTTGATTAGGGGCTCCTGAAACATTTGGTTGGTATCATGCACCTGCCGGCTGTAGCATCTATACTTACCCCGAGTGCGAGGCGCAGGTTGGGAGGGGTTGGAAGAGTTGAAGCTGTAGCGATCCACATTCGTCGAGGTCATGATGATCGGCCAGGTGTTGCAGAGTGTTCGTGCTCCTGACATTGTTGTGCAGCCAGTGATCTTCTACTGGGAGGTAGTCGTACCCATCAGCAAATCCTGATCACACTACACCAGGTTACGCAGCACTCCGTAGCACTGTAGCACTGTAGTGGACATCCTTTTGTTCCTAGCGCCCTGCTTGGGCTACGTATCACACTCTGAATGCTACGGAATGCTACGGAGCACTCAGTACCATTGCACGGCGAGTCCATACTTTTGTCGTGCCCCCGTATAGAAACTGAAATAGGACATTTTCGTTGCTCAGAATAAATTAATGTTGGAATTGACTGTTATCCCAAATCCCACTTGACACCTTAATCGAAGAGTATATGCATTATGTAGAGCCGGGTTAATACAATTTGAACCCAATAAGGTACCATACTTATCTGCGATCTACAAGCCGCCTCACCGAGTCATCCTGATCACGGTGGACGCGGTGTGGACATGACGCTCTCATATATTCGTGCTTCCTGACAACCTAGAGACCACCCAATGCCAGGCGAGAATCAAGAATCGTCGACTCACCTGGTCAAAAGCAGTGGATTTGGGAATGAAGTTGAAGTCGAATGCTATTCATGGACGCAAAATTTTCGAGTCAGGGTGATAAGCTAGTGAAAAAAGAGCTTGAAGGAAACGCACATGAGTACCCCCTCCATGCGATTGAATGATTGGAAGGCTCCAAAGGTTTGATTTTAATCACTTCGCGGCCTGGGCAGCTCCATGCTGCAGCTCATTGAGCAATGAATGGAAGGAAAGACCGTAAGAAGGGGGGTTACACGCTCATGTCCGCACCCACCGATTTAGCTTCCACTGCCTGGAGCCCAACGTCGAACTTGTTTGCACCGTCGTCCTGTGAGGGCTTGGTGAGGGCCAGTCGAATGACGATGGGATAGTAACACAGACGCCGTACGCATGGTGTTGTTGCCACGAATAGGGAAGCGGTAGGAGCAGACGGTAGCGAGAGATGGTCATGGATGTGAGTTGAAGTTCAAGGCGTGGGACAGCAACTTCGAGGCTGATACCTTCTCGGGAAGTTCAACACAGGCGTGACCAGTTTAGGGGAGGTCTCGCAAACTTAGACGAAGAGAACGAGCAGATGGGACTTCTATGACTTAGATTTCGAGATAAGATCACATTACGTGAAGGAAGCGGACAAACTTCTTGGCCTCGCGTTTGCTACGGGATGCTATGGACCCACGCAGCATCCGCTACACGTCGCTCCAGAGCATTCTGCCATGGGTTGATAGCAATCCCATACTACAGGTTGCTACATCTTTTCAATTAGATAGTATAAGGCCCAGGACATATGCTATACCGCGCTATGACTGGAAAACAAGATTTGCTGATGCCTCTCCATGGATCCTCGTATGGACGTGTGGGCGATCAGGTTCCTGGGATGGCAAGATCAGTGCAGGATGGGTTGGCGGGACAGTTGGAGGTGGGGCACTCTGACGTGCTTCGCGCTCGCGAGCTCTGCGTCTTTTTTGGGCAAGAGATCAGGCATTTGGCTGGGCAGCAGGTGGTTGTGGTGTCAGCAGTGGAGTGAGAGGCGCAAGGCGAGGGCACATCTAATTGTTCATAGATTCAGGATATTGCACATATGTATAGCATGTTAACGACAACTCACCATTGTCCTGCGATTCGACGTGACGGATGTCGAGCTAGAGGCATGTGGAGCTCGATTTTCATCTCCATTGTTCTGTACGCGTCGGCGTCTTGGAGAGGCAAGTAGCTCGCTTTCCCGAGCAGTCCAACTGGACAACCGTGTTGCCGTCCTTTGAACATGTGCAGCTGCTGGGGGAGTTGGAGTTTCTGGTCGAGCAGCAGGGAGGCGGCGGCGGCATGGGCTCTGATTCGCATTTTGAGCGAGCTCTCGCAGAGCCTGGCCGGCTTTCTGCTGCTGCTTTTGAAGGGTAGTGAGAGCGTCCTCAGACCTGGTTTGCGTCTATCAGTGGCAGAAGCAGGACAAACAGCGATGTACCTACATGGATAGTCACCAACCCCGCTAAATGAAGTAGAGCAATACATCGCATGTCGTTGCGTCGGTGATGTAACTGCATCGGGGCAGACCCCTGCCAAAATTGATCGAATATTCACGAAAATCCGAGGCAGCAAGCGCACCTGAACCGCTTCTCTCCTAGTCGTGGCCTGCGAACACCATTATTAGGGGGTAACACCGAGCGGGAGTTTCAGGAGTGGGCAATCCCGATTCCCAGGGCTCCGGAGGCAACAGCACCAGTCTTTGAGAGGTGTAGAGGTGTAGTAGGCCTTGAATAGATCTCAGACACCGTGTTCTTTGTCGTGAAATTAGAAAAATCTATGTTAGCACACGCACGAAGTGTTGTGGAAGAGGTGAGTCGGCCTGAGAAGGATTTGAGCAGCCAATCAGATTGCAGGTTTTGCTTGTTTGTCTCAGCCAATCAGAAGGCTCCTTTTGCTCGAGCGTGAGAACCACTTCTGTTTAATATTATAGATATAGATAGATAGATAGATAGATTCACTCGCATCGAGTTCATAATGGGGTGACGATGGCTACAAGAAGCCCCCAGAGCTGTCAAGAAGGCAAGATTACCCCTTGCCCAGTACATCTATCTGCCTTTGAATGCGCCTACCCCGGGCAAGAAAACATCTTCGTCATGGCTGAATTTTTGGACGGTGTTTGGGAACTGGTGGCTTTGGGGTTCAGTACGCTCCTCTTCGCAATATTTGCTCTACTGTCCAGTACTGAAAGATATTTACTTCTCAGTGCTCGACCTCGATAGTCAACCCGCCTCGATTCGATCCAACGGAATCAAAAAGAAAGAAGTGAGGCAGAACCTCGTATGTCACGTCCGACTCGCACCTGGTACTCGTCGTCAAGATCGTTTTTCGGCATCCACGGTCTTACTCCTTGTCGAAAAGCGGCCCACGCAGGAGGACTTTCATTCACTGAGACGATCCGTCGGGTAATCAGGCAGCAAGTAACTCAAGTGCGTTTTTTGTGTTCTAATTTATCTCCTCCAACACCTTTATGCCTTCCAACTGCATATGCACCTAAGACGTCATTCTGACCGATCTTTCAGTTCTCTACAGACTACACGTGGAGGAACTCGACTCGAGTTCAACGCGGGCATCTACGATCCTTCGACATCAATCACGCCAACAACCACCATCATAAATTGGATACAAACTATGCTCAAACGATTCGATCAACCGTGACGTACTTTCCAACAATTTCGCTGCCGACACCCTCTTCGTCAACCTCTGGGACGTCGGCCTTAAATTGTGTGGCAACAAATGGCTTCTGAACGTCGCGATCCTCGCAAATATCGGTTCAGCTACGAAAGACCCCTAGTCTCAAGCTTCACGGCGGGAAGAATCTGGATTTTTCAATAAGATCGACCAGTAAGTTACCTTGTGCTCTCCGAATTGAAACTTGCGTCTCATTATCTCGACAGACGCCCCGAGTGCCGCTCAATTCCGACTACCCACAAACGTTTTCCAGCAGATTGTCAGCAAGTACGACGGTGTTCAGGTCGTTGCAATTCCCGCCCTTGCTTTTGCAGAGCGGTTTCCTCACGTCTTGGTCAAGATCATGTGTAATCTGAGGGCGGAGTATCTCGAGTAAGCAAATGGCATACTACTCGTCCTGATTTCTAAACACCTGTATATGCTAAACAGATACCGTTTATTTCCTCCTGATCCTCCTCGGTCGTGCCAAGAGGCTGCGAATAAGCCAAGAACCCAGTCTCTTCACCGGCCTCTTCCTATGTTATCGAGACACGATCATTCAGTGCCTAAGCACGTCATCTGTCGGCGCCTCAAGCTTCCAATAGCCAACGTCGGCCGGCACATCGTAGTCCACATCTAGACTCCTGTTTTGTGCCTTCCTCCCCCCCTCCGACCTCGACCTTGTGAAAATATTGGCCTACGCAAAGCTCGAGTTCCTCGCCTCAACTCTTTAGCGCAAATTCCGCCATCCAGAAACACTCCTCCAACAGCCTGCTATGTACTCGCCACAGACGTTGACGCTAATAATTCACATTTCCTGCCTGCATTCGTCTTCTTCTGGATGTATTGAGGTTGTCGTCAGAAGCTAGGACGTCATGGTCGCTATCTCAAAGGCACACTGTGGCCTGTTTATCAGCCATTATTTTGACGCAGATATCCCATTTGTAGCGACTGTTGGCGTTGGCGCGGCCGTCCGAACGATCTCCGACTTGCTGATTGTGGGTTTCGCGCTGCCGGAGACCCCTCCACCTCCACTTTCCTTTTTTTTTGCCTGAGGATTGGAGCCTTCGCGGGCACGCTCAAATGTCTGAAAGACTCCACGTACTCGATGCGGTAGGACTCGTATCCCGATATTATGGACCTTTGTATTAGGGGAAGGTGTATTGCAGAAACGGTATGGTCTTTCCTTGATCTCTACCTTTTGTGGGGGTGCTGATGGATATTTTCCAAGCCATTGGAAGCCGCAAAGGCGACAGCATTGGAGTATTGAATCGCTTGGACGTGAGACAGTCTTCAAGGTCCGGATGGCGATTGTCCGTTGGCTTCTGGTCGGTGTCTCGAGCTCATCTACATCATCCTACCGTATACTTCTCGTTTCTGTCTGTATCCGAACCAACGCGAATATTCCGACATGGTATCGAAGTGTAATACGGTCGAACAGTTGGGTATAACTGACAGAGTTTCAACAAAGAAATCGTAATATGAAGAAGAAGATTATTTATCGACAAAAAAGGCAAATCGGGCCTTATACACAAGAGGATGCATCACGCGGCCCACCCCACCGAGAAAGGAAGAAACAAGTCGTGCACGCCACACTGACGCTAGGTAGGACCAACGTTGCGAGTTTTTCTTTGTCAATTCTCTATTGTATATTCACTTTGGAAAGCCCTTGCTTTGCTTAGGAGACTGCGAGCCAGACCTCATTCCAGAAGCGCCTTCTCTTGTTACCGTCATCAAGTTCTCTAGCGACCCTGCGCCTCTGAATCCACGTCACAACTGTGCTACATTCTTCGTCTCCTCCTTGTCGCAGCTTCAGCATACAAGATCCCTCATGGCCGAGTACTTCGATCCTGGGTTCAAAGAATCTTTGGAGAACGTCAATGGAGACATATCTACACGTTGGCCCATCTTCCGCGATGAGAAACGACCCCAAGAAACCATCTACGATGTGATTACGAATCAACTCGCTGAGATGGATGGGCCAGATGACCTGGTATGCCCTCCTCTCAAATACTTGGTGCCACCGCCCATTCTGACCCTTTTTTCAACTTGTTTCAGCCGTACTGCCTGGACCTCTATTCCATGTGTTTGAGCTATATTCACCAGCACGACGCTGAAGAAAATTGCGAGATACATAGGTCTAGTATTCGGCAAGCATTGGTTATCCATGCCCCCGCTGTTCTGAAAGTAGTCTGGGAAGGATTCTTCATGATGTTTCCTTTTTTCCCGGACGATCTTGACCCTCAAATGATCGCATCTGCCATAAAGTTCGTCACAAAATTGTTCGACCCCTTCGACACCTGGGATGAAGGCGCGGAATCACCAGGCAATTGGCTCTTGTACGTTACGCTTTGGGGGCACCCCACATTATCATACTATAGACAAATTGCTCACTACAGAGTACGGCCCTTTCTGCAGCACCCTATGTCTTTGTTCCCCAGTTGTCGCCATCCTCGACCACTGTTTTTTCTTCGCGGATGATCACGAAATTTGTCAGAGCCGGGAGATACGAAGGTTCGTCCGCGACGAGGTCAATGACCCCATGGATGTGCACCCGCCTGAGGAATACTACAAACTGCTCAAAGTTGGCATAGTCCATGAGCGGTTCGATTATCTTCTTTCGAGCAATCTCCCCTCTGGTGCTCTCTCCGATGTACTCGAGGATCTCCTAGAGCGAGTGGCGGTCCCAGGTTCCCATCGCATTTGGGACAAGGCGCTAAACAGGGCAGTCGCTCTTCTCGACGATTGCGCCTGCGGTCGTGAAGGGATTGAGGGTCATCTGATGTGGGAGTACATATATCGCGTCCATTGCCTCATCAAGTAAGCCAGTGCACTCTGGAAAGGATTTTCCCCTCACTTTTCCTAGACGTGTTGTCAAACGTCGTTCCATTCCTATAAAGGTGGTTCTGACAGATATTTCACGAACTCAGCACGGGGCAGGGGTGGTTGCTTCTGCATTTATTGCAATGGCAAAAAGGAGTCGAGGTATTATTCCCCGCTCGGTCGAAACTAATAAAGAAGGTGAACATGCAGCTTTGTGCCTTCCTCAACTTGGCTAACATGAAGCTGTTGCTATTGGTGGGCAGGATGGTTTTAGAGGGGACCATCTTTCTTGTTCCTCTCATCCTAAAGGAGATCAAAGGGGACAAACGCTGGACTGCCTCAGATTTCGATTTCCTTGCACAGCTCACCAAGGCCAACGTCAGCGTCTGGAAGGCCACCTTCGACTCGCTGTCCTTGCTGGCGAAAAGTCCTGAATTGGACAAGGAGAGCGACCTACCCGGATTTCTATGTCTCTGGGCGCAGTATGGCACCCTTCTGGGAATACAGAACCTTGTCAACCCTATCCGTGGCTGCTGCAATGCCAACTGCTCCCTGTTCCTTCAGGAGACGGAGTTCTCCATTGGTCGATGTTCTGTATGCTCGAAGGTCTGGTACTGCAGCCAGGATTGTCAGAAAAAGTATAGATCCTCGTATTTTGACACTTCGATGAGTTGCTGAACATGTTTTTGTAGAGATTGGAAGCTTCATAAGCATTATTGTGTGAAAGGAGGGGCACAATAACTTGGTAGCGCTCAGTGGCGGTGTGTGTGAAGTCGCTCGTCAAATATGGTTCATGGGCACGTTTATGTCTCGTATTCACAATTTATTTTTCTGCTACGTCGACCAACGAATGATTGACATTCCTACCCTAAGACTCAGACCTCGCGCTCCTCAAGCATCTCGTTGAGCTCCAAGAAATCACGCTCGCTCAAGATGCTTTCCTCACGAGCAGCAGGGGCCTCCGCAGCAGGTGCCTCAGCCGGTGGTGCAGCAGCAGCAGCATCGGCGGGAGCACCAGCGCCAGCAGCAGCATCGGGAGACGCAGCTGCAGCCGCCGTCGCCTTCTTGCCGCCCTTACGGTGATGGCGGTGCTTGCGGTGCTTCCTGTGCTTCCTGTGCTTGCCACCGCGTCTCCTGCGCCCGCGCATCTCGAGCTCCTCGATGTCCTCGAACTCGCGTGCAGCGGGTGCCTCAGCGGGAGCGGCAGCAGCCTCGGCGGGTGCAGCAGCGCTCGCGTCGGGGGTCGCGCCACCAGCGGCAGCAGCAGCGTCGGGCGAGGCGGCGGTGGCAGCCTTCTTGCCTCGGCGCTTGCCACCCTTGCGGTGCTTCCTGTGTTTACGGCCCTTGCGACCCTTGCAACCCTTGCGTCCACGGCCTCCACGACGTCCCCGGCCCCGGCCCCGCGCCTCGAGCTCGTCAACGTCCTCGAACTCGCGTGCGGCGGGCGCTTCGGCAGGAGCGGCAGCGCCTGCAGCGTCGGCCGGAGCGGGGGCTCCAGCGCTAGCGTCGGGGGTAGCCGCCGCCGCTGCGTCGGGAGAGGCAGCAGCCTTCTTGCCCTTTCCGCCCTTACGGTGTTTGCGGTGTTTGCGGTGTTTCCTATGCTTTCGGTGGCGGCGCCGGCGGGCTTCGAGCTCGTTCAGGTCCTCGAGCTCACGCTCGAAGTTGGCGGGTTCAGACTCGACGATGTCGCGCGCTTCGACGCCGATGTATTCGAGATCGCGGACGAAGTTCGTGTAAGCCTGGATCCAACAGTGAGCGAAGAAAGAAGTCGATCGTCCATGGCTGGAACGCACCTGTTCGAGTTCACGCGCCTCGAGGTCTGTTTCCATCTCGCGTGCGTAGACAGAGTTTGATTCGGAAGCCTCCTAAAATCCAGATATAAGTTTCATAGTCAGCACGATCCCAAGCAGGTGCACTCACATTGGCGAGGACGCTGGACGCGCAGAGAACGATTGCAGCAAGGAAAGAGAGTGTGGTCGACTTGGAGAAGTACATTTTCGTTATGTGGATTCGAGCTTAGGACCAGCCTAACCATCGCACCCACCCTGTCAGTCTTCTTCCACTCAAGACAAGAGGAGAGAACGCACCTAGGTTGTGATATGGGTAATGCACCAGGCACTGGAAACCTCCCTTCCATCCACATCCGCCTTATATACGCCGCGTCCATCGGTGACAGGGATGGTGGAAGATAGAGTTTGGCCTTCTCCGACCGCAAGGCACTTCCTGGCAACCACAACAACGGCACGCCGGTGGGTGTAAGAGGGTGCGAGCGTAAGTGACGCGACATAGCACCGCCGTTCCCGCAGGACATCAGATTCGGTCTTGGGGTGTCATCTAAAGTTAGATTTTATCAGAACCTCTGAGTGCCGTGCGCCTGTCCCATCTCATTAGAAGCCCAATGGTAGACCACCGGACCCCACAATGCTGCGGTTGGTTGTGATCTACATACATACCACCAGCCATCTTATGTACGAGCCGTGAAGGTGCCGTCCGGTGTGAGTACGGCGGTACGCAAAGGACGACTGGAGATCCTCTCTAGGCGGGAGGTGATAAAGTTAACAATGGCCCTCTGGGTCTAGGGACGATTCGAATTCCGGGTTTTTTGAACGGGCGACATGAGTATCGCACTTCACGATGATCACGAAGAGAAGAAACGAAAAGACTGATAAATTTAGTTAGAAGAGTGGCATGAGCGCCGAGCGTATAGGTAGACGCAGAGGCGGTTCTACACACAAAAGTTGTAGCTAGCTGTGGACGATGGGCGATGGGCGGTGAGTGATAGGTAAGATCGACCAACAATTGAAATATTGATGCCGGAGATGTGCGCCACACACAACGCCACGCCAAGCGTGAGGCTGTGCAGCACCGCCGCGTTCGCCGAACTCTCACCGCACCCACACCGGTGTAAGCCTATTCCGTCTCAGGTTTGAACAGAGTCTATTGAATAGAACTAAAGGACGGTACACATCTGCGCTCGTCGTTATCCCAACCTATGAATGCCAATGTAGATCTTTATCCTCCCGCGGCAGCGTCTCTGTGGACGAGATAATGCAGAAGGACGAAAGTTTACAACCATCTGTGATGATTATCATACCTGGACTAACATTATTGCAGGGATATAAGGCTCTAAATTTGAACTTGGGGTCTATCAACTCCATGCTCGTTCCGTACGGACCAACGGAGGAAATTTCGCAGCAACGTTTAGCTAGGGGTTTAAAGTTGCTTTCCGGAGTTCAGAGACCACCGGGTCCCGGCACCCTTCTCGCCTTAATTCTCTCCGCCGGCGCGTTCGCTAGCTGTAGACTGAGAGTGAAGCACGTAGCCGAGGAACTTGAAAACGGAGTCGTAAATTAGTCGAAGACGAGCACGACGTCAGCTTTGCGCGTCCTGTTTGCCAGTGACGGTCTTTTCTCCCTTCACACCAGTATACGGGCTGATTTTCGAAATTTGAAGGAATTTTCAGTGGCCTTTTGTGATGCACGCCGCGCGAGCTCCGAGAACGAGTCAACGCGAGCGCAAGTCGGGCCCAACCCCTCCTCAAAGACCCATATGGTTTCTGCCGTCTGCCAAATCAAAGAACCACCGTTGAGATTTGTTTCTACTAACCCTACTTACAGTTCAGATCTATTCTTAGGTACTCGAGTCCTGCCCCTCCGGAAAAAACATTCTCATACAGTATACACCAGCTGCTGCATATCCAATATACACACCTTCTCAGGAAGAATAATTATGCAAACCAGTATCATACTTAAACAACACAAACTCAAACTCAAAGGAAGCAAACACGCAGCTCGAATATGACTTACTAAGACTACTTCGTCAAAAATCCATACAACGCCTCAAGATGGCGCGAATCCTCATCATGCTCTCTCTCGTCCAAGGCTTTCCTGATCTGGCCCAACGTTCTATTATACGCCTGTGAATCGCCAAGAAGCCACTCGCAATGGGCACTGTACATGAAGTCCGCGAGGTCGGCGGCGAGGTCGGCGGCGAGGTCATCGGAGAGGTCATTGGTAAGCGGAAAGACGCCGGAGTTTGTGTTCATGTTCACTGCGAGACGTTGGGGAGCGCCGCAGCCTGTCGTTGACGGTGATGGTGACGGTGTTGGGATAGGACTAGTTCCTAGTAGCTGCGCGAGGACCTTTTTCTGGGCCAGCTCGAGGAGGATACGGAGCAGGATGGGGGAGGAGAGCTGTTCGGCGTGGGCACGATAGAATATATAACGTGTTAGTAGGGAAGTCGGGTACTCGTACTCGACATCGTGTCAATGGGCTGTGATTCAGACGCACCGGCTCCTTGAACAGCTCCGGGTTTTCCCTCTTGCCTTCCATCCCAGCTTTTGCTTCGTCCAACTCAGCTTTCATCCTAGCCGCCAGCTCGGACAGCTCAGCGTTCATCCTCGCTTCCAGCTCATCCAGCTCGGCTTTCATCCCCGCCCTCATCTGTGCCGTCCCCGCCTTCGAGTCGCTTATAATTTGGTCCACCTGCCTCGCGGGATCGTTCTGCAGCTGTCGCTGAAGCTCAATCTCCAGCTCGATCTCCAGCTCGATTTCGCGCTCTGCGGGGGTCATGATGGTGGGTGTCCCTGCCATCATCTAGAAAAGTGTGTAGGAGTCGTTGGGAGAAGGATGGATGGTGGATGGTCGGCGGTGGATGTCCGAGTCGATGAACTTGAGCGAAGAGAAGCAGAGGTTTCAGAACCCAGTTATAGGTGCTGATGGCGTTTGGATACAAGAGCAGGGGAGGGAGGAAGGAAGGAAAGGCGAGTTCGCTCAGAATTAATATTGTCTCAGACGATTGAAAAACGTGATCGTCCGCCACTCCTTTCACAAATGAATAATCTAAAATCTAAAAATAACCCGTCAGTAACCCGCCTTGGGGAGTGAACGTTGAACATACATAAGCGCCTTTCAAGTTCAAGCGCTCTTCGGGACGGGATGTACGCAGGAAACTACGTTTCGGGTGGAAATTACTTTCAAGACAGACAGACAGTGCAAGAGTTTAGTACTTAGTACTTAGTGTCGGAGTTGGGATGGGAGTGCAACATATTCAGATTCAGAAAGACACCATAATACGTCTACTAAGTAGTATACTCTAGAGTAACGCGAGAATGTGCAGGAAATCACTTGGAGGGTATATTAAAGCTAAAGGTTCGAATGGACGGACGGACGTGCAGGAATCGTCAAGGATACGAACATGAATATTACAAGATAAAAAAGGGAGGAGAAACGAGCGACGTAAAAAGAAAAGTAAAAGTAAAAGTAAAAAGTGTTCATGAAAAGGGAGCGCGAGCGTAAACACCGAAGCCGAAAATCCAAGTCGACAGAGACCAATAAAGACATGAAAACATGAAACGAAGAACCGAAAGAAAACGGTGTCCGTATACTTCTCCACCCCCCCAACCACCCAGTCACAGAACCCTACCGCTCAACTTCGAAACTCGACCTCGCAGAATAATACGACCCGGAGCACAGCGAGCTCGTCTCGCTCTGTACGCCCCTGTCGTACCCTGGCCCACCTCGCGGCGAGCAGGGTGAGTCGAGGACAGCCCCGAGCTCGCGCAGGCGCGTGCGGACGCGCTGGTCTATCGAACTTGAAGATTGGAGTTGAGCGTGAGGGACGACAGTCTTGGTCGAACCGGAGGATGTGGTTGAGGTGGTTGAGGTCGCAGAGTCAGCGGTGGAGGGCGGCACGTATTGTGCACTCCTAGGAGCGGAGGTACTCGTGCGGGGCGACGACTTGGGGCTCGGCGACCCCCGAGGGGAAGGGGAAGAGGAAGACCCACTCATCCCCAGCGCGGCGAACGACACCAAGCTCGGGAAGGCGGGTGGGGCGGGGAACGCGCTCGCGAGCGGGAGGAGTCGTATGCGTGCTCATGGTGCGCCTCGGGGTCTGTGTCGTACGCGGTGTTGTACGAAGCTGTATCCGACAGGGACAGGGACAGAGTGGACGAGGCAGAATGGAAAGACGCCGAGGAGGAATCGCCGAGCGAGGACTGGGACGCGTGATGTGGCGGGAAGGCAGAGTAGGGCGACGGGTAATCGACGGGTGTCGGGGCAGCCCACGCGGAGGCGCTCGGGTGGGCGACGTGCAGGCCGCCATGAGGGTGGGCTTGGGAGGTGGGAGGGCGGAGGAGGGACGTGTTCAGGCTGAGCGTGGGCTGCATTTGCGGCACACTAGGTATCGGCATCGGCCCATTCGTCGGCGTCGTCGTCCCGCTCTTAGTGGTCGAGCCGCCCGACGTGCCGGAGGCGGTTGCCGTGCTTGCCGTGCTCGCCGTCGACGCGTTCGACTCGCGCCTGACACTGGCCGTTGTGCTGCGGCCCGATTCCGCCTCGGCCTTCTCCCTCTCCTCCTCCTTTTCCTCACCCGCCTCGGCCTTCTCCCTCTCCTCCTGCTCTTCACCGGCATCTCCCTCTCCCTGGACGACAACCACGCCTATCTCCGGCTCCATCGCACGCGTGACGATCCTCAACGCCGTCCCCGGCGTGCTCTTCTGCGGGCCGGAAGTGGGCGAGGAGAGCGACACGACGCGCCCGTTCCCGCCGACCCTCAACCCAGAACCTACGCCCAGCGAGGAGAGCGTGCATGCGTTCAAGGTGCTCATGAGCGACGTCGTGCGCCCGAGTCCGAGCGTCCTCCCTCCTTTGAACGCATCCGCCTTCATCGATATCGTCGGCGCGAACGGCAACGGCGCCCTCATCCTCTGTCCTCCCGACTTCCCCACTGGGAGCGTGCTGCTACTCCCACCCACACCGCCCGTGCTAAACCTCGCAGGCACCTTCGCGCTCATCATCATCGCAGCCGTCGTCGGCGACACCGGCGTCTGATTCTGCGCCGCTGGGGTCGACGTCGGCCTCGTCGACGCTGTGGGCCGTTCGCCTTCGCCTTCAGCCTTTTCGGCCCACGCTCTGATACGCTCCTTGACGGTCTGCGGGTGGACGCCTGCCGTTGACCTCGATGCTGGAGCTTGTTCGGTTTCGGTTTCGTTCTCGGAAGACGGACGAGTGGGCGACCGGAGCGCGTCGGCGCTGTGTGTCCTTTCCATCTCCTTTGCTACGGGTTCGACCTCAGAGAGTGTGGCTCCGTACGACCTCGCATGCTTCACCTTCTTCCCCAAGCCTACCCTCGGCCCCTCCCGCCTCAACAACGCCTCGAACCGCGCAAGGTCCGCCGAGAGCGCCTCCAGCTGCGCCATGTTGGAGTTCATGTTCATCGACGTCGCTGTTTGAATTTGGGTCGCGTTGCGTGATGTGGGTGTCCTCTCGTTAGGCCCCTCCAGGACTGGGAGATTGTCATCCTCAACTCCCACCACCTCCTGCTCCTCGCCCCAAACATCCTCCTCCCGTTCAAAGCACCTCCTCAAATCCGGTGCACTCTTCACCCCACTTACTCCCCCTCCCCCTCCCCCTCTCCTCTTCCCATCCCCATCCCCCATCCCACCTCCTCCACCCACTCTCCAACCCACTCCCGCTCTGCACGACCCTCGGCACGCACAGCACCACCTCCCTGACCTCCAACATTCCCATTCCTCTTGGTGTGTTGTTATTGATACCAGCGCCTGGATGGACGTGTGGGTACCCGAGTCCGTGTGTGGTGTCTTCTGACCAAGCGTGGGTGTCCTCTGAACCTGAACCGGAGGCAGAGGCCTCTTCGTGGTCGGGGTCGTGGTCGTGGTCGTGGTCGGGGTCATGGTCATGGTCGGGGTCGTGGTCGGCAGCGGGGTCGGCAGCGAGGGCCAAAGAAGACGCTCGCACGTTATCAACATCCACATCCACATCCACATCCTCCACCCTAATCTCCAAAGTCGCAGACTTAGACTTCAAAGTCCGCGTTAACGTTGTCAGCTCGGGGTCCGAGTGTCTTCCTCCACCTCGTCCTCGTCCTCTTTCTCTCGGCCTCACCGTACCAGGACCAGTACCGTTGGCAGCGGTAGCGGTAGCGGAGGTGCGGTCCTTGGGCGCTGGAGCTGGAGCTGGGAGGGGCAGAGACAGCGTCCAGTCCTCCGACTCGGAGGGAGGCGGTGGCGCCGCACGCCTCTGCACCACCTCGCGCCTCTGCACCACCTCATGTCTCTGCACCGAGGAAGAGGGCCCCGAAACGCTGCGTCGCGACTGCACCGCCCCCGGGTGGGCATACGAAGTCGAAGTCGAGGCCGCAGTGCGGGGGACCTGCAAAGTAGTCGTCCTCTTCCTCTTCCTCCGCTCACCCTCTTCAACGCGGTCCGCCGTGCCTGTACCCGTGCCCGTAGACAAGGACAAAGACAGGGACCTTAGCGCGCTCTCGCTCTTCGTCCGGCCCCGGATGGTCAAGCCCGCCCTCTCATCTGACCTCCTCTCATCCGGCCTCCTCTCATCGGCGCCGTTACCCAAGAACAAAGTCCACTCGTTCCCCGCCTTACTACTTCCGGTCTTGCGCGACGCAGTGACCTGTTGTCGTCCCACACCCAGTTTCGCCGTTGGAGTTGGAGCGAGGAGGTTGATAGAGTGTGCGTTGGCGAGTGTGTTGGCGTTGGCGTTGGCTGCTAGGAGTGCTGCGTCCACGTCTAGGTCTACGTCTTCTTCCTCCGCGTCCTCGTCCAAGTGGTACCCCGCAGAGTAAGAGTAACGCGCAAGCGTCGGCGTCAGCCCTCCGTCCATCTCCATCTCTAGTTCGTGCGCATCGAGACCGATGTCAAGCTCAGACAAGCCAGGATCGCCGTACGGGCCAGAATAGGCATACGCGTACGGGTGTACCCTCCCACCGTACTCCGCCTCGCTGCTCGACGACCCCCCGCCTCCGCCTGGAGAGGCGAAGTCGCGGATCTTGATCTTGGGCTGGGTCGCGCCTCGGTTGCGTGCTGCGCTCCTGCTCCTGCGTGCCGGACCTCCATTCGTCCGCGCTCCCGTGGGCTCCAGGGCGGAAGAAGACGAAGACGCAGACGCAGATACAGAAGAGGAGGAGAACGTCATACCAACAGGTAAATTTAAAGGCGACGGGTGCCGGTGCGCAGGCGGCCATTCGCGAGATGGGTGTGGGGTGAGGGTTTGTGTCTGTTCGTTATATAGGCCTTGCATTAGTATGTATTTCCTATTGGTTGTGGCAGGATGAAGAGAAAGGGAGAGAGGGAGGCGGAAGGGAAGAGAAAGGAAAGATGAAAAGACAGGAAAGAGGACGCACACTCCCAGCCTTGGGCGTGCTCGGCCCACTCCCAGCCTTGTTTCCATTACCATTGAAGTGCGGGCTAGGTGGTAAAGGCAACGGCGCACAGGGCGGCGGCGACGTCGGCGGGCTCGCGAGGGTCTGCCTTGACCTCGACCTCGACAAGTTGAGGCGCGAGTGGGATGGAGATAGCGATGGTTTGCTGCTGAGGGTGTGAGACTTGGGAGGTGTCTGCTAAACACGTCGTGCGTTCGTTCGTTCGTTAGCTTTTCTACGTAGGAAAAACAAAGTAAAGGAAGGCACGAACCTCCGCGTCTACACTGTCACTAGCGTCTGCTGCATCATCTTCATCCACTAACCCCAACACCTCGCCCACACTCCTCCCACTCCCGCTCTCCCCACTCGGACTCCCGCTCTGGTGCGTCAGCACGCTGAAGTAGGGCGTGCACGGCGTCACGGGCGAGCGCGTAGACGCAGTCGACGTTGGAGACGTAGGAGACGGGGGTAGTAGAGCCGCAGTCGATGTTGGCGATGGCGGAGATGGGGGCGAGGCAGCCGATGTTGGAGATAGAGGCGTGGGCGGGCGTTGCAGTTGATTCTGCAAGGGCGGCGGCATGGACCGGTTTTTGGTTTTTGGCCGAAGTCGCGTTTTGGGTGCGGACTTGGGTGAAATTGAATGTTCGGTGCTGGTGCTCTTCCTCGTCATTTCCTCCCTAGATGACCTCGACATATCTTCCCTAGAAGACCTCGTGGACTCCAAGCTCCTTTTCTCCGTAGACCTCAACGACTTCACGGATACAGACCGCACAGAAAGCACCTCGACGGCGTCCATCGACACCGGCACGCGCAGCTTGCGCTGGAGGCGCTCGTGCTGCAGGACGAGCGGGACGTACGGTGCGTAGGGGTCTTCGGGTGGGTCTGTCGGGTTGCTTTCCGCCAGCTGGTCGTTGGTTTCGGTTTCGGTTTCCTCCTCGTCCAGAGACGCTTCTGGAAGACGGCCTTGGAGCGAGGCGGAGTCTAGCGAAGGTCGTTCGCGTGATGGATGACGACCGAGGAAGAACGACGCGCTCGACCCGACGATCGACGCGGTGGCGCTGGCGCTGGCGCAGGAGTACTCCGAAGGCGACGTATCGGAAAGGTTCCCGTCTCCTCCACCTTCTTCATCCTTTTGCCTTGGGTGGTGGTAGTTGGGATGAACGCTGGCGTTGGCGTTGACGTTGACGGGCGTTGATGTAGATACAGATGCAGACGCCAATCCTTCAACCCCTCGTGCTGATGCGCCCTCCCCCGCCTGCACTTCCACGCCCGACGTCGCCAACCCACTCGTCCCATCCATCCCTCCATCCACCGCCCCCACCTCAGCCTCTCCATCCCCCTGCACACCCCCTCCGTCCACCGCCCCAACCTCCCCCTCTCCCCTTGGCGGAGACCCCGACCCCGACCCCGACCCTTTCCTCCGCCCCTTCCTCCTCCGTCTCTTCCCTCCTCCGCTCGACGTCGACCCTAAACTTGAGCTCGACGAGGACCCTTGTGGTGTTATGGAGCCATACGGCCCCTCAGCCCTCGACGCTTCACCAAACACAGGCGAGCTGCTCAGCGGCGAGATGCTCGGCAGGACCGGTAGGGTTGGCGTCGTTAACGACCTTGGGGCTGGGGGTGGAGAGAGCGGTAACGGCGGCAGCAGCGAGGACGAGTGGAAAGGGGGAGAAGACGAAGCGAGGGCCCGCGTGTTCCCCTTGGACAGCTGCCGCTTGATCTTGCCGAGGATGCCCTTGCCTGTGCTCCTCCCTAGTGAGGCATGTTTCTCTTTCGTGGGAGGTGGGGATGTAGGTGGTGTTGGTGTGGAAGACGACGGTAAGGTGAGGGTGTCCGCGTACGACTCGCCGTTCGCATTAGCGCTGCCGAGGGTGTTGGTATTAGAGAACCAGGAAGAGCCGGGCGTGGGTGTCGTAGGCGTCGTTGACCCCGGTGTATTCGCGTTCGCCTTCCCATACGAGCAAGAATTGTGCGGTGATGAAGGGGAAGACGAAGACGAAATCGCTGCCTTCCCGCCCATACACCCAGCCCCCAAGTCGACCGTCGACATCGACGCGGGCGGGGCGACGATGAGCATCTTCTCGTTCCTGTTCTTCTTCGTTCTCTCGTTCCTGTTCTTCGTTCTCTTGGATGATATATCAGGAGGTGGTGGTGGGTTATCAGAAACCGATTCAGAAACTGATATTGAGGACGGCCAGACGGGTGCTGATCCCGATGCACCTGCGCCTGATTCACGGTCACCGGGTGGTGAAGGAGAATGAGAATGAGGGGAGAGTGATGACGCTGACGTTGATGTTCGCGTTGACGCTGATGCTTGCGTTATGGCTGATGCTGACGTTGATGGACGCGGGCGGGGTTCTGACGCTGATGATATTGAAGGAGGTGATGATGATGATGGATTTGACGCTGATGGGTGGGACAGAGGGTGTATGTATAATGTTAGCCCACATGCATATGAAGAGGAATGGAAGCCTGAAGGGGCAGGGCAGACGCCAATAATGGCGTCCATAATTAAATAAATGAATAAAGGAAGATGGCGACGCGTAGGCGAGCTCGGGGGTCATATGTACGGATGAGGGAAGACGCGTAGCTACGCGCTACGCGAACGAGCTCATCGACACGGCTACGCGAGCCAGGGGACGATGACGGGTGACGGGTGTGTGGGGTGCGACGACTCACCACACCGCGTCGAACCAAAAACGCAACATCCACCGAAAGTCGAAAATCAGAAAAGAACTCACCAGTACAACCAGGAATCTGCTCCCAAAGCGTAGTATGGCTCGGGAGTAGTACTCTGTCTCTGCCTCTGTCTCTGCCTCTGTCTCCGTCTCTGCCTCTGTCTCTGTCTCTGTCTCTGTCTCTGTCTCTGTCTCTGTCTCTGCCTCTGCCTCTTCGACTTCTACTTCTACTTCGACTCCGACTTCGACTGGGGGTGTGAACGGGCCCGTCGGCTTCCTCGCTGCACTCGGGAGCACTAGTTGTGAACCCTGCGGCTGCGGGACTTGTGTCGTTGTCGTTGGGCGTTGGTCTTGTCAATGTGAGAAGTGCGGGAATTATGTCGTTGGGAGTTGGACTTGTGTCGTTGGGAGTTGGACTTGTGTCGCTGGGAGTTGGACTTGTGGAAAGTGCGGGAGTACTAGTTATGAGTGGGTCGGGGTAGGTAGTAGCTGCTGCTGCCGGTAGTTCTCCGGCGGGATTAGAAGAGGAAGTTGCTTCAGCTGAAGCAGGGGAGGGAGGACGAGAATTTGAGGATAGGTCCAGGAAGGAGTGCAGGTGGGAGTTGGAGATTGGCGGGCGGTGACGTTGACGTTGACGGTGACGTTGGCGGTGAGATTGGGATTGGGATGGAGGTTTTTCGAAGAAGTCGAAGTCGAAGGCGAAGAAGTCCTGGGCAGCTCGGTGTTTGGGTTGGGAATACGAGGTCGAGCGAAAGGTTGGGGCAGGGTTTGGCGTTCGTGGTGGGAGACCGACTGAGTGTGAGTGTGAAAAGCTCAGGCCAACGCTTCCATGTGCTTTCTCAGCCTGCGTGTCGGTGTGGTTTTCTCGAATTCCTGGATCTCGTGCGGGTGCTGATGTTCGGCAACCTATTAGAGAGCGAGCAGGCGAGCGAGGGTGATGGTGATGACGATGTGATATATAAGAAGTTCAAGGAATATGTTGGGAATATGTTAGCAAGCGAGCGAGGAAGCGAGCGTGAAAATGGAATGGTAACGAGCAAGGAGCGTGGGTGATTAGGCTGGGCTCGAGCGAGCGAGCGAATTAGGCCCTAAGGCGAATTAGAGAGAATTAGAGTGGGAGAGGAGGGTCGCCACGAGTCCAAAATCCCAAGTCCTGAACGTGAACGAGGTCAAGGTCGAAGACAAGGACTGTGCACCACGATGATCGATCCGCACCACAAAGGGGGCAAGACCAAAGGGAACCAAATCCCAGAAAACAAATCAATTGAACGAGTGCAGGATCAGGGACGCCATCAAGGGCTACGCTTAGGAGGTTTTAGCGCCCTTTGTTTTTTTTTTCTGGATCCAAGTCTTTTCTGGGCCAAATTTTCTCTTTTCGGCCAACGCCGACACCGGAATCAAAAGAGAATGGATTGGATGCCGAAGGGAGATGGATGGATGGGATGGGTGCGTTGGACACCGGCGGGCTGGTGCGCGGTGGAGGATGGAATTGGGGATGGAGGAGAGGAGGACGGAGAGGGTGGGAAGAGCTTCAGAGCGAGAACGCACCTTGGCATGAACCCTTCCAGCGGCGTTTGCGTAATCCCCACTTCCTCCTCGAACTCGAACTCGAACGTTGCCCACCCCCATTTGCTCAAAGTCCGCCTCTCCTACGCCGACGTACAACGGTATATCACCACCCGCACCCACAGACCTTGTCAAACCTGCAGAAGCACCTGCAGGTCCAGGGCCAGGGAGGAAGCCCACACAGGGTCCGTCGAGCGCGAGCGTGCTGGAGACGAGGGAGGTGAATTCGTCGAGGGAGAAGGCGGGCATAGAAGGAGGAGAGGAGAGAAGACGGGGTGAGTGGGCGGCGAAAGGTTCGTACGATTATGGGCTTGCAGGATTTCTTGAACTACTAGGGTATTAGATTACTACTCTAGAGAACGAACTCTACTGGACGTTCGACACAATCAATTGGATGACGATCAAAGCACTACCTTCAAATCCTTTGCGTTTCCTTTCTTTCTCCTCACTAACACCGTACCACCGGGACCGCGTGGTTTACCTGCGAATCCCACTCCTGGATCCCCTCCTCCTCCCCTCTCCTCGGATCACCAACTTTCCTGCATCTTTCCCTCCCCTCCTATCCGTCTCCCGGCCCGCCGTCTGCGCTCTATCAACTGCCAACACTTCGATCAAAGTATTAGCGTTGGGTCGTAAATTAAATCTTCATCTATCACGCACACCTGCCAGCGCTGCGCTCGCGTCACCCTCACCGAATGCTCTTTCGGACGCGCCTTTGAGAGTCGACTCCTCAGCGCTAAGCGCTGTACTTGGACACGGTATGGTACGGCGCTCTATCCTCCTTTCGTGCGTCCCTTTACCTCTCACGTCTCCATTGCACGATGTAAATCATACTTAACGTCACCTAGACTAAGAGTCTCTCTCCACGAAAGGCAGGCAGTGAACGAAGGGTCGCAAATCCCTTCTCTGCCTCGTCCTCGTCCTCATTCTCATTGCTCGTTCATGCCTCACTAGGCTTCGTCTCGCATTACAAATTTACTCTAAATTCTCCCTGACCTCTTCTCTGCCAACACTCACCTCATCTATCCTTAGTAGTAGTAACCTCGCAACCGCGAAGCCCCATCTAAAACATTAACTACACCTCCTCAAATTAAAACGAAGCCCAAGCCGATTCCTCGATTCTTTCTGATGACGATATGGTGATTCGGGTACGGACCATCCTTTTAACCTCCAAACTGAGCTTTAGCAAGCAACCTAACAGAGTTTTGACAGAGCTGCACTAGACCGTTCAGTTTGGTCATGCTTTAGCCTACCCCGGAACGCCACGGTGCAGAGCACTACACGCGCGCGCACCCACGGTTCAGGCGCCCACTCGAGCGCTCGTGCTTAAGCTCGCATCTGACTATCCGACTCGTGTGCACCATGCCTCGAGCAATTCCGACTCGGAGGCGACTATGCAACCGCAACGTCAACCTTTGAACCTGGCTCGGAGCGCCTAAAATTAAGAACGACAGAAAGAACGAGTCCGAGTCTACCTGCACCGTGCGTGTACGCGTCTTCCAGTGCACCCCCGTAATACGTTCTGCGCCACACGACACAGGCTCACCATACATACACGCGGCTTCGGAAAGAGTCGAACCGAGGGTCTCTGCTACTCTGCTCTACTCTGCGTCTGGACTTTCTACTCTAGAATCATCGTATCATGTGGGCGACTGGCGTCTCTCTGGGGTTATGGACCGCGCGTACAGATGTGCGTCGAGGTGCGTTTGTCCTTAGCCGTTGGGCTTCATGCCGACTCCGTTCTGTTCGGTTCTGTTTGGCTGAGAGTCGGGTGGAGGCGCTGGGAAGTCGACATGTTCTCTCCTGAGCCGCATTCTTTGAGCTCTCTGTTTCCCTAGATGTAAGTAGCTTCATTCACGATCTTGTTTCTTACTTACTACTGAACGGACTGTAACTCGGACAGAAATGTTGACACTCAATCAATCATTGACGGCGCGATGATTTAAATAAGTATTCGTTCCGTTCATTCGTTCTAGGTCACACCCACCCAAAGGCGTGTTCCAGGAGCTATATTTCAGCCAGTGTACAACACCCTAAAAGCCAAGTTCCTCGTCGCCCAGTGCCTATGGCAAAATGATGCGCTCAGCACCGGATTTGGCAGCGTCAAGCGCCGTACCCTGACTCTCGTTAAATCGGCCGGAGTTCGAGCAGCTCTACGGCGCAGGGGAGTACTTACCCTCGGGGATGAAGACCACCCTCATCAGGCGGGCGGACTTGGAGCCCGCCGCTGTCCCCGACACCGACGTACTTACATGGGATGGTAAGTGGGCGCCTATGCGAGGGAGGTTATTTTTAGATTTTATGGCACAACGAGAGAGACAATCACGTTTTCCACCTAACTTTCTCTGGACTTCTACCAGCCTCTGGGACTCTACGCTCCCAACACCGCCGGTAGGCGATGTCGCTGGCCTTCTACGGGGTACCCTCAGCCATCTGCGCAAGTTTTGATATGCATCCAGGGAGAGCAAGATTACCGAATGCTGGAGTACATAGCATCGCAAGCGAAAGAAACCTTCGAAGAACTTACGGTTCATTATTATCTGGGTGAGCTAACTGCGCGTCTGTTCATTCCATTTCTTCCGGCAGATTCAGATGTTTTGCAGATGGCCCAGATACTATATTGCTTGAACCTTCGCACCACATGGATTTCACATCGATGGGAAGCCTGCAGCGGATAACGATGTCGTATGATCAAATGGAGCCTCCTCTTCACTTGAGCTTCCCCTCAGCTCGTGAGCAAGCGAATGTATTCTTCAACGTGTTATCCATACCAAGTTCCTTGAAAGTTCTGGTGTTGGATTTGTGTACCAACCTCGATCGATGCGAGTTGGACGACCCTGAAGTCGTGCAATTTCTCGAATCCCTTGCCAATCCTCTGGAGAATGGCCCTTGGTCAGTGCTTAGCACCTCCTTGTCAACCCAATTCCAAAAAATTAGCAGAGTTGTAATCCACTTTGCTTTTGTCACCCGCACACGCTTTGATCCGGAGCTCGAGAGGAAATTCAAAGGTCAGGTGAAGTTGTCGATGATGAAGAGGAGCGCACTGCCTTACCTATTGGGTTCCGAATGCACTACTGTGTTTGAAGTGGTTGCAGAATGCCCGTACATCGGTAATTAACTTTCTTACACACACTATGGAGAGCCTGATAGCGGTTTGCATGTAGTAGTAGTAGTAGTATACCGGCATGGTCCACTCGCTGAACACCGGTTTTCCGGGATTATCAGTACACGGGCAAGCGTTGGTGTGATGTAAAATAGTTGGTCGAGCGTCCCAGCTAGCACTTAGCACTGGATAGACGCGTCGAGGTCGCCCTGTCAGCGCTTGAAAGGCGCTTATGCATGTTCACTCCCCTTTCCGAGTTCTCGAGAACTGAGCCGCCAAGCTCATCAGCAGTTCTGTTCTCAACGACCATGTGACGCCGCGAGCACGGTGAGCTACTAGAAGATTCTTGGACTGACGTCGCGCAACGCGCATCGCGAACAGATGATTGTCTTTTAGTGGTTCTGCCATATGGATTCACGGGCTCAAAACGGTAACGAACGTTGGTAAAAACAGGGCAATGCATTGAATGCATCGCTTCGCATACGCACTCACTGTCAGGTATGTATATAAAAGACCTGGCTATGCGACCTCGGCGATGATCAGACACGATGTTGGCCCTTTCCCTCTTCTGTGTCCTCGCCGTGCCCATTGGCATCTTCGCCGTCCCCACGCCAGTGCCAGAAGACGCCTTCTCTCTGGCAAAGCGTGCGGTGTGTGGCTCGACGGCAGGTATCAACCCGCTGCCTATCCATTCGCACAATGACTGTAAGTACACCAAGTTGAATGTACACTCAAGCCACGACTGACAAGCCGAATATGTACACATTACAGACACCCGCAATGTCGCGCTGTGCGATGCGCTCGCAAATTCGGCGTCGAGTATCGAGGCGGACCTCTGGTGGCGCGATAACACCCTCTTTGTGCGTTACCGTATTACCCTGCATTTCAGATGCTTTCTGGATTAGATCTGGCGTTAACTTGAAATCGCCACATACTAGGTAGCGCACTTTGAGTTTGAGCGCGATTCGCGGCGCACACTCCAGTCACTGTATGTGGAGCCGCTCCTGGCGCTCCTCAATGCGGCCAACCCGGGCGGGGTCAAGCCAGGCGTGAGGCCAAAGTACGCAGCTCTACTACTTATTCGCGGAATTGAATAAAGCAGTCTGACGAACGAGCGTCTGGCAGAGGCCTCTGGCCATCGTCGCCCAACACAGCGTTGCAACTCTTGATTGAGCCTAAGTCTGACGGCAATGCGTAAGTAAAGCAAACGCTGCTGCATACTTGTCTTTCTGTCAATCCAATCTAATTCTCAACATACCCACCCATACGCAGTGCCTTCCCAGCGATCGTCGCCGCTCTCAAGCCGCTTGCCGACGCAGGCTACCTAACCTCCTTCAGCAACGGCGTCCTCACCCCATCCGCCATCACCGTCGTCGGGACGGGCAACACGCCCCTCGCACGCGTCCAATCCCAGAACCCACGCACCTTCTTCTTCGACGCGCCCCTCACCGCGCTCGCCCCCGGCTCCAACACGCACTTCACCAGCACCCTCTCCCCGCTCGCGTCCGCTGACTACATGTCCGTCGTCGGCTGGCTGGGCATCGGGAGTCTCAGCGCGGACAAGAAGGCGACGATTAGACGATTGGTGGGCGATGCGCATGCGCGGGGGATCAAGGTGAGGTTCTGGGGCTCGCCGGGCAGGATTTTGGGGATCAACGGGCCGATGAAGGCGGTGTGGAAGGAGCTGTTGGATGCGGGTGTGGATTGGATGAATGTGGATAATCTGACGACGGCGAGGGATTATTATCTTGATTACAAGAAGTAGTTGAAGGAAGGAAGGTTGGTTGAGTGGTTGTTGGGAATAATATAAATCCTTCGGAACTGGAAAGAATCTCATCTAGCCGTGGTATTATCGTGTAAGTAATTGTGGGGAGTGCTGATTCTGCTCAAGTCGATAAACTCTTTCGTTTTAGAGGTCTTCATAGTCGTCGTTCCCCCCAACGCACGCAAATCCACATCTGCGCTCTCTCCGTGAAACCCAGCGCCGTCCGGTATATTTAGCAGGACCCCACCCCTTCGAGGCACGTACTTCAAGATGGTTTTTCAGCGAGAGACGATCACGTTTTTCGTCTGAGACAATTTGAATTCAGATTTCGGATTCTTGGCAGCTGGCCCTCTCCCCTCTCCTTTATCCTAAACGACATCAACGCCAACCTTGCGTCGACTCGTTCTCTGCGTTTGCGGGGTGTGAATTGGCACGAAGGGGGATTGAAATTCGAAATTCCTACGGACGAAAAACAAGTTGCCTTGTCGCTCAAAATGAAAACAAATAGCAAATGAGAGACATGAACACGTCCAGGAGCGATGCTCCTACCCGAAAGTTCCCAAATCACCGCTTGTGCTTCGCTTGTCCCTCCAAACAATAATGTTTATGAAGCTTCCAGTCTCTACGAAGATATTTCAGCAACTTGTCGAAAGATGAGAGGGCTTAATCGTTCGTACTTTTGCTGGCAATCTTTGCTGTAATACCAGACCTTCGTGCATAGAGAGCATCGACCAATCGAGAATTCTGTTGCCTGAAGAAACCGAGGGCAGTCAGCATTACAGCAGCCAAGAATAGGGTCGACGAGGTTCTGAATTCCCAGAAGGGCGCCGTACTGGGCCCAGAGACCTATAAACAAGGGCAAGGAATTCTCTTCGTGCAGTTCAGGACTTTTCTCAAGTAAAGACAGCGAATCGAAGGTCGCCTTCCAGACGGAGACGTTCGCCTTGGCGAGTTCTGCGAGGAAGTTGGAATCCGAGGCAGTCCAGTCCTTGTCCTCCTTGTCCTCTTTCATGATGAGAGGAAGAAGGAAGATTGTTGAATATAAAATATCTGTCAAGGTCAATTTTCATTAGCTAGGCTGGGGAGGGCAAAATTAGACCCCATTGCTCACCATGTTCATCGGTTGCAAATGAGGGTGGGATACTATAAGGGCACATTTTTGCTGCGGCAAGAAAGGCAGAAGCAACCACCTTCGCACGAGTTCGCGAAATGAGGCTTAGAACATCCCTCAATGCAGCGGACTGAAGCTTGGCAACAAGTCTAAAGAGAGTGAGCAAAAGTGAGGGGAGAAGATCTTCCTGGAGCGCAATGGCTTACTCGATGATTCTATGGACACCGTGTATATATTCCCAGAACACATGGCTCTCGACCTTTTCATGACCGGAGGCACATTTGTCGACAAGCGTGACTGCCTCAGTCAGGGCCTTGTCCCAGATGGGATGACATCGCCCAGGAGATCCTGGAGTACACCGAATAGAGCGCCAGAGGAGAGATTGCTGGAAAGTAGGCAGTCAAATCGTTTACGGACCATATCGACTGAGAGCAATTTGTAGTAATCCTTCGGCTGATTCACCCCCAAGGGGTCATTGAGCTCGCGGACAAATCTCCGTATGTCCCAGCTGCGTTGACGAACTTCGCGATCATCTGCGAAAAAGAAACAGTGGTCGACGATCGCGACGACTGGGGAACAAAGACACAGACTCCTGCAGAAAGGGCAGTACCCTATAGTGAGCGACTTGTCATTCGAGTATGTGGGCGCCGCCTAAAGTGTAACATACCATAGCCAAGTGCATGGGCCTTCTTGCGCATCCTCCCAGGATTTGTAGAGGTCGAACAGTTTTGTCACGAAATTTGTCGCGGAGGAGATCATTTGAGGGTCAAGATCATCCGGGAAAAAAGGAAACATAAAGAAGAATCCTTCCCAGACCTCTTTCAGAATGGCGGGGGCATGGATTTCCAATGCTCGGCGGACACAAGCCCTGTTGATCTTGAGTTTTCCTTTGGGGTCATACTGGCAAATATAGCCCAGACACATGGAATAGAGGTCCAGGCAGTACGGCTGAAACAAGTATTAAGAAAAGGTCAGAACGGGGGCGGTAGCATTAAGTATTTGCGAGGAAGACATACGAGGTCATCTGGCCCATCCATCTCAGCGATTTTCTTCGTAATCACATCGCAGATGACTTCTTGGGGTCGTTTCTCATCGCGGAAGATGGGCCAACGAGTAGATACGTCTCCATTGACGTTCTCCAAAGATCCTTTGAACCCAGGATCGAAGTACTCAGCCATAAGGGATATTGTGTGCTGAAGCTGCGACAAGGAAGAAACAAAAGAATGCCACACAGTTGTGACGTGTATTCAGGGTCGCCAGAGAACTTGATGAATCATGATGCTTCTGGAATGAGGTGTGGCTCGGTGCATGGCCAGACGCGATTTGGAGGCGATGGTTCGTAGCCTGACTTTCAAAAGAGAATAGAGAACTGACAAAGAAATTTGTAAACTCACCACCGTCATAGTCGTAGCACCGATGTGGCGCTTTCTTCCTTTCTCGGTGTGGGTGATTCTCGGTGTGGGTGATGCATGCTCTTGCTGTTTTCTTTTGGCCTTTTTCATTTATGTAAATAACGCCCTTCTTCATACTATGATTTCTTTGTTGAAACTTCGTCGAATCACATCGATTATCCCCAACTATTCGGCCACATTTCCCTTGGCTACCATGCCCCAAGGTTCGCGTTGGTTCCGTTGTAGTTTCGTATAGGGGCGAGCAAATGACATCGTTCTAATAGCATGACGAAGAGAGATTGCAACGTGAAATACATGGTGGGATAATGTAGATGAGCTCGAAATACCGACCAGAAGCCAACGGAGAATCGCCACCCGAAGCTTAAGGGCTTTCTCATGTCCGAGCGATTCATTCTTGTCAGCTTCCAACGACTTTGAAGAAATACATCAGCACCATCACTCAAGGTAAAGATCGGGTAAAGATTATACCTCTTCTAGAGCACATCTTCTGACTAATACCAAGTTCCGCAATTCTGGTAAGTAGACCTAAGGAGAGCTCGCGCGGAGAATGAGACAAACGCAGACAAAAACTGCATGCCAGCGTTGGCGGTGGGTTGCCCATGGCGTTGACTGCAGTACCTAGGAACCTGGAGGCGTGGCAATGTTTATGCTCATGCGAGGTAATCAAGCGGCAGGCTCTCGAATGATTCGATGAGGATGGGCTGGCTTGAGAATCCTTCGCGTTCTTGGCTGATAAGCAATGAAATTGCTTTACAGACGCTACATCCTTCGAGTTGAACGATGTTGTGCTTGCCGACGGTTTGTGTTGGATCGTTTTTGATCGCTTCTGAGCAATGCCGGACGTCGTCTGTTCGAGAAAGTGAGAAATCAGTCCTAATTTTGAAAGAACAGAAGACAGCCTACTACTGTATGATTCTGGTGGAGGGACCCACGTTTTCCGGAAGCTTGATGTTTGGGCCCTTCATTCGGACGCACATTCAACGAGGATTTTGGTGGTCTTGCCTGCCACTTGTCGCTGGACAGGATCTCTGCTGCAACACACATCCCAAGGCCGAAGGTCTAGAGGACGGCAAAGGGTAAATCATGGGCGAGGTTTTTGGAGAGTAGGCTGTCGGTTGTCGAATCATCCGGGGAACGACTGTCGAATTTACTGCAGTAGTCGTTGGGGTGATCGAAGTCGAGCTTGAGTGCCACCGAAGGGCTCCGTTAGGCTGCTTCGTCAAATAAGAACTGGCGGCCGCGGGTTGAAGTCGGAATGACATCGTCATAGGTACATAAACAGCTGAAAGGGAAGAGCGAGGTCATCAGCTTAGAACAGGGGGGGAGGAGATTGAAAACGAAGAACGCACTTATTATTGAGATAATTAGTTGATAAGTCTGCCCGTTGTCCTCCCACTCATGCTCAATATCAAGAAGATTGGTGGCGAGGGTTGCAGTGTATGAGATTCCTCTTGCTCTTGCATAAGCTGCTTTTCAACCAGTAACAGTAACACGAGAGTGAATACCCCCCCCAACGTTCTTGAACACAGTTTGGAGTTGCAGGGTGTGGCCTTGGTTCGACGTCGTACGCAGAGTTGGAGCATACAGAGTGCACCTCAACGAGCGGTCATTTGGATGAAAAGGCTGTCCTTCAGTCATCGTTCGGTCGACGGAGAAGTTTGGAGGTATGAAGTCTTGCGGATCGGGTGGTGCTGCGAGCATGCACGCGAGCAGTGGTGGCGGCTTGTTCGAGCGTTCGCGGATGGTGAGGGATTCTCTCCAGGCTTCAGTGATGCTGGAAGCGTAAATAGCGGTTTGCTCTGGGTTACTGGCAGAAGTCGGGAAAATTCCATCTGGTCGAACTATCCTCAGCCTTGCAGAAAATAGCACATCTGAACGGAGAACATACCGAGTCCTCCAGCCTTCAATTCACCCTCCAATTTCACGCGATCACGGTACAAGGCTTCTTCTAGTTGCAGCCATGATGAATGTCGATAGAAACACCTACTTGACGCCCACAAGGACGTCACAGAAAGCAGGAGCCATGCAATGGACGTAAGTTGTTGGGAGGTCGATCCGAGAGGAAAGGTGGTTTGAGGGCTCGCCAGGAGGTCCTGAACGTTGAACCTGATTAAAGAATAGCAATTTATCAAACTTCGAACCAAGCCGCAGAATGGGAATACGTCGATTAAAATGAGACGGCGGAAGGATGTGGACAAGTGGTGGATTGAGCGCAGTCAAAGAAACCGACCAAAGGTTGAACTGAGTTTCGGCGTCCTCCGTGTCTCCGGCCCGTTCCTGCCGCTGGGCACAAGCCAGACGAGTCGACGTCAAGCTTTCTTCTGTTTGTCTTCAACCACCCGCCACATCGTTCGCTGACACGTCGCTCTTTCGTCCTGAAGCTTTCTTATTAGAGTTACTCAATGGACACACGTTGCAATGTGACGAGACGCGATGCCCGACGTTGTGGATAAGTAGGAGCCAACGGTCCTCACCGGAAACATGCATGTTCACGTCCAGCAAAGGTGACTCGCTTTTCAGTGCGATGAGTGAGCATATGAAGCATTGAGAAACATCCTTTCTGACCCCATTGTGTAGTGGCTGGCATAAATCATAGCTGTCTGACCTATCTCGATGCTTTGGGCCAGTGAAAAAACTGGGTTATGTCCTCATTTATTTCGCTTTCTGTACAACGTAGGCCGTCTGTTCTTCTGGTACATCTCAGTGTGTGTTTTAATCTAAGCTTTCACAATTTTCAGGGAACTTCGAAACGCCTCTCTATCAAATCGACTCTTTGTTACACGATTATCGACTCGCGAACCCTCTTCCCATTGCCCGTTACCCCATTCTCATCTAGTGAGTGTGCTCAGTCCTTTGATTCTTCGGATTCCGTATCCTCCTCAGTATCAGGCTCAAGATCCTGCACCTCGGGGTAAAAGCGTTCCCCATGTTCATTGAGTCTCTGTAGACGGCTCGTCCTGTTGCCACCAGGTTGCCCCGGGCTCCCGCTCGCCAACGGCCGCGCACGCAAGCGCGTGGAGCTTCCAGGTGTCGGGCTGCCGGCCCCATCTCGAGGTAAGGGCGCGAACGGCATCGAGCCCGTGCTCATGTCGGACATGTCGCTGGGGCTTGCAAGTGTATTCGCATCGCCGAGGTGGGTAACGGGGCTCGGGATTGTACGTGTGGAGGAAGGGCTCGCCATTTCGACGGTCCTGGTTGGCGAGTTACGGCCACGGCGCGGGCTCATGTCCATGAGGTCGGAGGATTGCGGGTCGCTGGAATCATCCAGACGGTCGCGACCCTCCTGCTCTGAGCTCGGGCCCTCCACTGCACTGTGCCAGTCCTCGTCCCATGGCACGGGCATGGACGCGGCGATGTGAGCCGTGGCTGTTCCCAGAAGTGCATTTGGGAGTCCCGCGTTCAGTATCTTGCGCATCTTGTAGATGAGAAGCCATTTGCATTTGGTTGGACGCCGGAGTATTGTAAGTGTAAGTCAGGCTCCATCCGCGCTCCGTGAGCGCGTCATCCTCAAATCCCTCAGGCTTTCAGGACTCGAGCCTTATATTCCTCTGTTATGTCTCGAAAAAAGGCTGATTCTGCGTTCTTCGTGTGGCTCCCAGGTGTGAAGTACGTCACAAAGTCATCCTCTTCTGGGGAAGATATCTCGCTTGGGTCATCGTACACGCCCTCCTCCGTCTTTGCCGCAGTCCGTGAAGGTAGTTTGCGTGGCACAACTGGATTTGCTGCACGTCCTGGACCCGGGCCCTTGTCAGATTCAGTGTAACTGTTCTCATCCTCTTCCTGGTCTGTACGCGAAGTTTTTGCCGCTACAGATTCTTTTTCTTCCGGACGAATACCAGGCCCACTTTGGTTGGACGCAGTTCCGCCGAGATCTTTCACGTCATCCCTTGTGACGATGCAATATTCCCAAAAGTCGCCTATCATTGCGAGAAGGAGGGCTTCAGTCAAAGTTGGATATTTCTGAAACAGTGCTGACGCCTGCAAGGCGAGTTGCGCCTTTGCTTCTTCAAATTGATTTTTGATCAGGTACGTGAACAATCCCCTGGCAGAGCAATCCATTCTTGGGAGCGGTTTGACTTCTACTATCGCAGGGAGGCAGTACATTTTTAAGGGGTCCTGATATCTCACACTACCCTGAGGCATGAGAGGACTAGGAGACGCTTGAGGCCCATCCTCGGGGATGCGAGGGATCGACATAGCAAGCGCAAAATCTGGGACACCGCGAGGTTTGGCCTTCCTTTCTTCCTTTCCCTTTGTTTTCGCGAGATACGCCTGCTGTACGACAGCAACGTATGGGCCGAATTCGGGCAGGTCGAACCACGCCTTTAATAGGTTCTCAATATAGCGATAGCTTGACCATTCATGGAGTCGGGGGAATTCTGGGTTCGCCGCCTTGCTGGTCATTTGGGCGTGCGCGACTCGAAGTTCTTTGTACTGCTTGGATTCGGGGTCGGCCAGTGCAGGCGGTCGAAATTTTGCGTGGTCGTCGACGATTTCTCGGTTTGTAGATCCTGTGCGCGAAGCTGACATGGTGGTTTGGAGAAGTGAGAGTGCTGTTGTTCTTTTGCTTGCTGTCCTTCGAAGTAACGAAGTATGCACCGTTTATATATCGCTTTCCCAATGCGCCGCCGCGGCGTCCTGTATTTTCTTTTGCCTCTGATTATGGACTGAGACGCCGCAAAGCTTGGTAAGATATTTTTTACGCAGTGCATCCTATCTCGAGCGCCGCAAGTATCCTTTCCCAAAGAGTTAACAGTGGTGGACTTTTGGAAGGACACAAGCGTACACGAGGCGTGCCACGAGTTTTCGGAGATCGGAAAGTCAACCAGAGTTTGCTGGTAGATGCCTGACCGAGTTTCAAGCGCCACACAACAGTTTGCCTAAATAGCCCACTCGAGCATCGCAAGCGACACCACAGCGACCCAACAAAATCAACAACACCCGAACGTTAACATACAACACTGGAATGCCGCAGAGCACCCAGGACCAATCTTCCTCCCAAGACTCTCAACAGGTCCGACCACAGGTTGGACCAGATTCAGATGCCGCGGCTGAACCCCACCCACCTCTCCCGTGTCTGACAGCGCCTACCAGGTTCAGAAGCACACTTCCTCTAGAGCCTCAATACCGGAACCACCCCCACTTCATACGCCAAGTATATGGCGCTATCATAACAAACAAATTTCGCATGCGATATGCAGAGAAAGTGTCTGGACTCCCCAAGGGTTCAATCAAGACCTACCAGGAAGCTCAGGTCATACTCGCAAGAAGGCATCCGCTCCAAGGGCTTGTCAATGTGCAGGTGCGGTGGAAGGTCCCGAAGAATGACCCCCATGAGGTGTGGCCCATTGCGATTATTGAGAGGTTTGTCCCCGTCATTCCCATGAGCGGGGACTGGGAGGGTGAAGACATAGGTTTGGAGATCGCCGAAGGGAATCAGGCGCTCACGGTGGAGGAAGTAGAGGAAAGGATCAAGGAAAAGACAAGGGATATGATGGGCTTGCGAGGACTCCTGCGGTTCAGGTGGTTCAATTTGTATGAGCTCGAGTCAGAGGGTCAAGTAGATGACCCAGATGCGCTCTGGAAGAACAATTTTAGGGATGAATGAGATGATTCACGAGAGTAGATTTCCTTGAGTCTGGGGTAGTACAATTAGTAGACTCGACAGACCGTCTAGAATTTGAAATACTGTGAACGTACCAATCGATCTTCGAGCTTTCATATAACATCAATGCAACTTACAGGAAGATCATTTGCATAGAGAAAGCTCAGTAACTCGCAATGAACACCTTGGTTTGCTACGTCAGCTGTTATATATATAAGCACACCGACCGATGAAGAGATAATGAACCATATGCCACCATAACCACTGAAAGGTTCCAGAATATTTTATCCGATCCATGGCAGTACAGGTGAGTCCTTCAACTCGCGACGCAACAGAGCTTGACAAGGGTCAATATGCACGTTGCCCCTCATCCCATGTCTCGTCCAGCAGTCGGAAGTGAACCAATTTCAAAATAGATACAACTGGCGCATAGAATATCCTACATGTATTTGAAAGATATCATTCAGCATTTCCGGAACCCTCCACAAGATGATTCGACCTTTTATGTTTCAGCAACGCGAAAAGCCCTGCTACTAAGTAGGACTTGTTAGATGAGACCAACCAAAGAAGAATATTTAGGCTTCCTCGCGCTGCTTGCGCTTTGGGCCTCCTTGAACTCCTTGATAAGGTCCCGGTTACCTTCAGGCACTGTGAGCGAGAGGTCAGCTTGACCGCTATCCGCAATTCTGAGGAGATCGCTGCTATAGCCACGAACTATCCTAGCTGCACGCCCTGAGTCCAAGGTAATCCCTAGATGCTGCAAGGTTGGCAGCCGGCGCCGGGGAGCAACATGCCCATCCTCCCTCTCTGACTCTGACTCTCCGAGTCTCGTTGGTCTATGTATAGGGAAGAGGGAGAGTACGGCCTTCCAGGAGAAATTAGTGCAATCGCTTGATACGTGGAATGACAGCGAACGAAGGCGAGGGAGAAAATGGTTTTCGCTGTCGCTGCTGCTGCTGCTGCTGCTGCTGCTTTGTACATGCTGTGCTGCGACGCACTGCGATTTTGGGTGCAGGAGGCCGAGAAAGTGGTGATCCACAGTAAACCGAACGAGGGAGAGCGATTCGAGGAGGGGGAAGGGTGGCTTCCCCAAGAGCTGGATGAGATCCGCTTGCCTTATCCTGATCCCCTCCAAGCAGAGCACGGTGAGATGACACCCCCAGCGGTCGAGGGAAAGGCGCACGGCCTCGATGTCGTCCTCGATGTCGTCCGTTCCAGTATGCTTATATGACAGTGTGGTGAGAGAAGGGAGATAGAGGAACCTGGACAAAAGATCCACGCTGCCGCTGGCGACGTTGAGCGAGAGTAGGTGGTGGACGATGGGTTCATCGGGGATTTGGTTTGGGTGTGCAATTTCGTTCTGTGACAAGGCCTCCTCCAGCTGGCATTCAACCATCCCCCGAGCTGTTCGGAATAGTGTGACGCATTCTGCGACACACAACCCTCCGAGCCGGATGTGCGTAGCGTTCGCCCAGTTGATCTTCGTGGCGCTGAACGAGAATCCACGCACGTCGATTTTGGCCGGCGAGGGAAGCACGTTGTCGAGGACGAACTGTTGGGGGACTCTTCGAGAGGACGTCGTCACTGTCGCGATGTACAGGGTTTGTAAAGCAGGAGCTCCTGTGCCGTCGCCCCGGACTTGGGAAACCAATGATGCAGTGACTTCGGCGAGAGTTAACTTTCTCCAGCGCGAGGAGTGTTGATTTATGAGTTCGATGATAGGGTCAGGACCCTTTGATCCCTTTCGAGACGCAACAGTCTTGATGTGCACCGATAGAGGGAGCACCTTCGAGCGTGCGAGCCATGCGCTCGCTGCATCTAGCTGGCAAGGATCGTAGGTTGATCTGAGATATACGGTCATGCAGGTCCAGAGGTGCGGTATCGACCATGCAATGTCCTGCCACATTTTGCTGATAGATCCTAAAAGTAAAGGCATGGGAGGAAGTGTGACTTTGTTCTTGCCCTTCTTCTTGGAATTTCGAGGAGAGATGCTGCCATCATCGTCTGGCATACAGAATCTGAAGATCCTGGCTATCAACTCCAGAGGGAGCTTCCTTGTGAGCCTGTCATGTACTGCATTCAGCTTCGCCTTCATCGCCTTGCGCTCGCCGAGTAATCGTTCAAGGCGTGATTTGTTTTCGCAGACCTCAAACTCTAATCGATCGACCGTTGATTGGGCTTCGAGGATTTCACCGTCCAATTTGCAGAGGGATGAACACTGGGCGCAGTGCTCTCTGTGGATAGATGTGCTGGTTGGGCGGGTGGGCTGGGTGTCCAAGGAAGAGATGGGATTCATTGCTACTCGCTGTTCTGCTACTATAGATGCCAGCATACTTCCTATTAGCCCTGCTGAATACCAAGAGAGTAGACCGTACCGAGTTTTATTAGCTCTTATAAACGAGTTCGATGAAGAGTTTCAATTCAATCGTGTGCGTTGAGAACAGGCCATGGCATAGTGGGCGCCTATGGGAGAGCTCATCAACACATCCCAGCACGTGATCACAACGCGTCGCCTCGTTATGTTTGATACTATATAGGGGCCAGTTTTTATAGCCTATGTTCAATAGCAGAAGAATGTATTTGAAATGTGAAAATAAAGCTAAAATAGCAGAAAAATTGTATTGTCAAAAAAAGAAAAATACGGGCGAAAGGCAAGAACAATTCAATACGACTCGGTTACTCTTCAATAATTCCCTCCAGGTTTCGACGCTTGACGCCCATCGCTTCCACGAACGTCTTGAAGGTTATCTGGCCATTACACGTCGCGTGGTCGTACTCGACGTACTTGAGTGACCGAATAGACGGAATACTCTTGAAGGCGGCAAGGAACATGTCGTACAATGGGAGGACCCAGTCATTCCACACCGACACAAAATGAGGCAGCACGGTTTTCTCGACGTGAACCACTTGATCATAGAAGAAAAACGCCCCTTTGTGATTGCTTGCCTCCTGTAGATCATTCCATTTCTGAAGACACTTTGGAGTGGGTTTCAACTTCGGTCCATCGGGACTGAGCGTGTACTGGGTGCACGCCCATATGAGAACGTAGAAGAAGGATTCAAGGTCGTAGCGGTAGTGGTGAGTAGCTGGAATTGGTGATCCTTCAATCTGAACTTTGATAAGGTCGGTGGCCATGAACGACGGGGTTCCTGTACGATGGTTGGCATTGCTAGAGACGATTTCTCCATGCTCATTGAGCTCTGAGCCGAGGTCGAAGTCGTTGAGGATACCTCGAACATTTGGCTTTGTGCTCATGCTATCCGGAGAAGGGGAGCTGCTTGCCTTCTCGGTGCGCGATCGAGCGAACATGAGATTGTTTTCACTAATGTCACGATGAAGGACCCGACCAGTTTCGTATGCGTGATGATGGCCTGTAGAAACACGCTCAGTAGTGTTCAGGATAAGAATAAATCAAGACTTACATTCGAGATATTCGAGGAAAATTTGCTTGAATTCTTCAACGCTGGCGGCTTCGTAGAGCTTCTTGTATAACCCTGAAACAAGAATATGGAGGCCGCGATCTTGGATGGTATCCTCCGGATCTGGGTCCTTTAGTAGTCCATTATCCCGAAGTTTCTGTCGAGGAATTCCTAGTTGCTCAGAGGTGAATTGAGCGTCGAAAACTAATTCGAGAAGGTGGCTGTTCCAGTAAGCTGGCAAACGGCTATGAAGATTTTTGATGATCGTCGCCTCGTTCTGACGAACAGGGTATTGCCAGCTCATTTTTACGGCATGGAAAGCAGAGAGCCGATGGATGCGAGAAAACCTGCAGCAACGTAGGTGCCACGACCAATGATCGCCTTGTAGACGTGTAGAACCTTCGTGATCACAAAGATAATGTCCTTCGACTTATCGTCAAGATTCTTGCCATCCTCAGGGGTCTTGAACTCGTGAACGAATGGGTCAAACCCGGCTTGCTTCATGTTGGCCTGACTGAGGGTAAACAGCCCAACAGCAAGTTTCGGAGGCCCATCCGGTTTGGAGAAGTCGAATTTGTCGGTTCGAATGACAGCACCACGGTCGTAGTACCAGACTCGTGGCGGTCCCGTCAATGAAGATCCCGGTCGTGTAATGACGGCTGGAGGCACCGAGGCACTCCAGTGCATAGTTGGCAAATTGAAGTTGATCGCCAGTGACCTTCAGGTGGCACCTTTTCGACGCTGGCTCTTCGTTAGGAGTGTCAATAGCATCAATGGCGCGCTTGGATCCGGTGCTTGTCGAAGCGGAGGGAACTCCGGCAGAAGTTGCAGATTGTCGGCTGCCCGATACCTTCGAGAGTGAAATAGCCCCAGGGCAACTCGCAGTTTGAGGATGACTAAAAACGTCATCATCGTGGCTTGGACCGGCGTCGTCTTCGAAAATAGGATCTAGGCGAGAAGCATTAGTTTTGGCTTTCTTCTTGCTTTTCATCATCTGCGACTGATTCGCCGTCGACCGACTCACTGCTGCCTTGGGTATTCTCATCGATTTTCACCCCGCCAACCTCGCCGCGTGGCGACGGACCTGGATACGAGCTGCCGTTAACTTGAACTCCAGGGTGCTCTTCGTCTCATCCCATCGAAGGTCATTGAGCGGCTTCCACCCACGTAGTAGGTCTGGCTTTCGTCCTGTGCACAAATCGTAGACGCTCTTGAGGATATGCCGACCTTGGCCGTCCTAGAAATCATCTTTTATTGCCTCATCTGCATCAAGACCGAGGAACTTGCAAATGTCCTCGAGCAGCCTCTCAGAGATCTCGCGGAAAGGCTCGTGCAAGGGAGGTTCTTCCTCCCTCTTCGTGATATTCTGGTAGACGTCTTGATAATTATTCAGCGCTTCGGGTAAAATGGACCATGATTTCTCGAGGATGGAGGTGATGGTAGTGTTGTCGAGGCCCCACACATGATGCGTAAAGGTCTCGACGGGAATGGGAGAGTAGAGATAGCCTGCAAGCTCAATCTTGAGAGCCTTCCTTGTTTCTGAGACGCTGGCGTTCGGGCGATTAGTCGCGTTTGCCTTAGTAGGCGTCCGCATAAACACATCCGAATCTGCAAAGCGAAATTGAGCCAGGCGATTTGACGGATAACTGAGGTGCTGCTTACCAGATGATGATTATGACGTTGTATAGTTGGACTCAGAGGTATGGGATAAGAGGGATGAGTTAGATGATGTAGAACCAGACGAAGCATCTGGATGGAATGAGCCATGTTGGATTTTTGTAGGTGAACGAGTGGCACTGGAAAGCCACAGAGAACATGCAGCGCGTGCTGCAAAGCGAGGATAATGAGTCAGCCTCCCGGTAGAACACTGTTCCTATAAGGTGCTTAGACTCTGGAAAACACGATTTGTGACCTCCTTCACATGGAGGGCGATGTGGTGCAGGTCAAGGAAGAAATGCCATCTTCATGTTGTGCAGGCATCCACGTGATCGCGTTTTAGACCTACCACCGGCCCGCCGATAGCCGAATCTCCAGCTGAGCGGTCGGTAATCGACGTAGTCAGAATTGCCATGTTTGAACCTTAATGTATGGATATCTGCTAGGCTGTGGTATGATAGTTTGACTAGGTTTATCTGATCGTCTCTGGCGCGTGTCAGAATAATCCCGAGGACGTCGACTTTGCGCTCATCAACCCCGTTGTAATGATTGTTCCTTGGCGCCGACCGCCATTGAGAGGTGTCATCGCCGCGTTCATGGTTTCGATGACAAGGCGCCGAATCTACGTTTCTAAAGACTGGACGAGAACTAGAGGCTCATCTTCAAAACCAATGGCTGAAGTCATCGATTGCGTGGTGCCTGCCGTCGCCTAATCTATTAGCTTCTCTAAGACTAGAATGTCCCTCGATGTCGCCTCGGAGGGTCTACTCGAGTCACTGAATCGTGAATTGCACCAACTACAGAGCACTCCCAGAATTCTGTCTTGATAGCTGCTGTAAAACTCATTGGACGAAAACGAGAGACTTACCGTCACGAGTGTCCTCAGACATTCGTGATCTCTCAATATGTGCCTCCCGTGATGAAGGCACGTCCTTGAGGAAGATTAAACATGGAGGACGCTGGCGGGCCAGTCTGTCTTCGACGATCTGGCGTTGATCCATCCAGCAGAGTCTGGCGTTGATCGATGTTGCATCAAACAGTGTAGAAGTGGAGGTTTGGTATGCGTAAATAGTCCACCATATGGTAGATATCTTCTTCCTGAGACAGACCTAGCACTGTCTGCGATGACAAAATACCTCCATCTCGCAAATGCTTGATGAAAAAGGATACCTGGTCCAACAGAATAAAGAAGGAGCTGCGACCGGCGTATTTTGGAGGCATACTTCGAACGATCCGGGTGAAAGACGATAGGGCACCCCAGTCTCAAGTTCGCGACTAGTTCCAATAACGTTGTGGGCCCGCCATCAGGCGAAATTATCTTCTGACAATGGCATTTTAGGGATTGAAACGTCTCAGGAAAGTAAAAATGAGATGATCGGACCTGCAGCATCTTCTCCGCCGACCTCTTCTCTACTTATATCTTCCTTAGAGTGGGTATCAAGTCTCCGAATAACCTCCTTCATGGCATCGCGCATGATCATCCATGGAGTCTCGAACTGGACCACTCTTCCCCCACCAGATCTGGCATAGCCACTGGATTTGCTTTCATCGCCCCCGAGCATTGTTTTCTCCGGTTCTTTGGGGTCGGAGGACTTTGATGAGGTAGAGAGAGGGCGCAATCCACGCAGAGTTCCATGGAGGGCATCCCAAACGCACTTGGACACTTCCGCGTTTATTCGTGCGACCTGGCCTCGAGCACGACCTCGGGATAAGCATTTGAGGCCAGCAAGAAGAGTACGGGCATCGCGAAACCGGGCGTCGTCCGTATTTAGGTTTTCCATGATGTATGTCTGAAGAAAAACGCAGAGCTTGTTGAGGTGATGCGAGAACGCCAGAGTATCTTTAAATGCCTTCCATGGGCCAAGACAAAGTCAACTTGGGTGAAAAAGCACTAAAGTGGACAGTGGCGTACCGGGGCAGAGTCCAAACACTGTAAGAATGGGCCTACCCAGTCCCAATGGAAAATCCAGTCCTTGAACTCCGGATCTCCAGGCTGCCGATGGAAGACATAGGTCGGGTCGAATTTCATGACAGAGTCGAGGAGGAAAGGATCTGGAGGAGTGTTGTAAGATGCCCAGAAAAAACCAGTGCGGTGTATCATTTCGCAGTCGATGCTGTGCTCGCAGGTGAAATCCATCTTGCATCCGCATCTAATTACAACTGTAAGCACAATGTGGAAGGAGGCAATACTCGGGGCACTTGCCTGTTAGTCATGTAGGAGCTTTCCTTTAGTACCCTCAAACAACCAACCGCAATAGCAACACATGCTCTGTCCAGGTCCACCGAAAGCTGGCGTGCTCGGTTTCGATCGAGTAAAAACTCGGAGAATGGCGACTCGTGCATAATCCTGAGCGTAGGGTATGTCGCTGCAATGTTCCGTGCATTCGCTGGGACGTGCGTACTGGCGAGGAAATTCACACCTTCCTCCAAGCATACCAACGCCCTCAAGTCCTTGAGTGAAAGCCGGACTTGTCCTTCCCTCATGCCAAGCACGCGTTCAATGAATGTCGGTGTCACGTACGGGTCCCTATCCGGCACCTTGACTGGCGAAGGAAGTGCAGCACGCGTCCGAGCCGCGAGGAGCACACCCAGGATGCTCATGAGGGCTTTCCGCCGGTCAGTCGAGCACAATGTTTGGTGGGCAAGAATCGCACTAGGGCCAGGGCATGCACATGCGTATGCTGCGGAGAGAATCTTGTGGTACAAGTCATCGAGGGTCGCGAAAGGTGAGTTTGCTTCGGACTGGCCTTCGTTGGACGATGAAGGAGGCGACACACCAAGGACGATGTCGAGCCTGTCCTTAGGCCAGGCATGCCCAGCTCCGATGTAGTCCATTGCGACGGAGGGGTAGATGAAGCCCCTCGAGGATCTGTGAACCAAAGTCCTGAGCACGTACTTGCCAGGCCACTCTGAATCCACCTGCGTTGGCGACTGTACTTCCGTGGTCGAGGTAAAGGGTATGGAGGCGGCCTTGATGTGTCGCCCTAACGGATGCTTCCGTCTGATCTCGCGGAACCGTGCTTCGATGAAAGTTCTGATATCCTTGTTGGCGTCGGGGTGGTCGTCCAAGGCAATATGCTTCGGCATGAGCTTGAGAGCTTGTGCGTCATGTTCGAAGAAGTTCTTGATGTCATGTCCAGGTCGACTGAGGATGAGAAACTTGAATCTTCCGTCCAGCTTGGCGATAGCATCGCAGATGGCTCGAAGAATACGTGTAGGGTGCCGGGACACGTCGAGGCCGTCGATCATAACCAATCTACACCATTGGCTGGTTTGACCCTTCTCGATCAAGGATAGCATGACAAACGGCTCGACGACAAGTTTTGCGAAGTGCACTTCAGGGGGCTTGTCCAATAGACTGCTGTCCGCCTGTAGGGCATCCAAGACGTGGGGTTGTACATCTGGTGTCGACATGATGATCTGGTACGCGATCGTCGACAGGACAGGGTGTTCGCCATACCTCTTGTCGTCCAGCATGAAACTAGCAGCCAACATCCCACTTTGAGGAAGGCTCTCTGCAAGTGTCCTCGCGACGGCCGTCTTTCCTACGCCAACCGATCCAGACACCCATGTTATTCTAGTCGACTGTGGGGAAGCATCCTGGATCCACTTTCGCAAGTCCTTGAGGAGGCGAACGCGTGTCTTTGGATGGCATCTCGGAGGTTCGGGCCCAGCGTGATCGTACGAGTCGTGCGTGGCACGGTGCTCTACGTGCCTGTTGAATGCGGTGTCGATTGCTGATTTAGGGCCCCTGATGAGACGAATGTACAGATTGGCGAGCACGCAGAATCGGGGGCACCTTGGTTAGGCGTTGGCTCGGCCACGGGGTGGTTTACCACCATCGTGAAAGCACCTCCTGCTATCAGGGTATTGGCGTTCGTGAGGTCGAACATGCTCATTGATCTCGGCGGCGGTTGAGCAGACATGATGAGAGGATGATTGGTGAGATAGGAATTCCTCGGAATGCGGATGTGAGGCCTCCATGAGGGTTGGCACGGCAGGCCACGAGGTGGATGTACGCGTGATCATGACAGTCTCGTGCCAATCTTCGATGGCTTATGCCCTTGAAGTGTTTGACAATCCTTTGGTGAGATTTGAGCCAATCTGTGAGAGTTTGAGGATTAGAATTTGAGTAAGGACGGTTCGTATATCACCTACCTGGGGCCTGACAACCAGAGCGAGCTGAGGTGCTCGTACCTTTTCATGGAAGTTCTCGTCCGGGCTAATGGGGATGACGTTCAATATCAACCAGGCAGAAATACCAATACCCACGTACAGAATATTTTCTGCTATTGTGGTACAACTCTCATTTGTTCTTCCTCTCTACAGCTCCTGTCACCACCATCCACATCAATCGGGATTCCTGGAAGGTGTTTTCAAGAGAGATCTTTGCAAGCGCAGTCGTGGGACACTCCCCGCATGCTCCGTGGGCTCTTTTTCTGACGTTGAGATGGACAGATAGATCCTATATGCGTCAAATATGAGAATCGTTCAAGAATAAACCCCAGAGAGACCCTCACCGGCCGAAATTTTCAATCATGGCGCAAAGAGTTGGATGAAAGATCGGAGGCGCAAAAAGACACAAACAAGCAAGTGCCCTGGTTCAAATTCCCGCGCTCCTCCTTGACTCCTTGGTCCTATACAAGCGGCTATACTTCAACGTTTCAACTCTCCACCTCGTAGAGAATAATTCGTTGTTTCGGGAAGGTATTGTGAAAACAAAAAAATCGCTCCTCGATACCTCAGCTGACCCAAAATAGCTCCGCCTTCGACCTTCAGATAATCGCAATGGCTTCTCACGACGAACTGGGCGATGTCGTTGTTGGAAAGAAATCGGGCTCACAGTCAGTCAGGATCTCCTTATCTTTGCTTCCTGTCCGGAGCCCTACTGCAAAATCCCAGCGGCCAGCCAACCATAATCAACCATCATGACATCTCCAGTCCTCGCCGGCCCTCCAGGCGACTGCTGCCTTCAAGGCGTGAAGCATTTTGGTGGCGCCATTGGAAAGACCGTCATTATCGCCGACGTTGAGACCTACATCACCGAGCCTCCAGCGAACACAACGGGGCTGAAGAAAGTCATCCTCTTCTTTGCCGATGTCTGGGGCCCGTTCCACAACAGTGCAAAGCTGCTACAGGATTACTTTGCGTCTCATGGCGCGTCTCTTGTCCTCGATCCAGTTGAGTTTGCGCTAATTCCCACCCGTTCCGATGTCCTTAGGCTTCACGGTGCTCGGCATAGATTACTTCTTCGGCGACCCGATTTACCTGCACACTGAGGAGGCGGACTTCAACAGGCAGGCATGGTTCACCAAATACCGAAAACTCGCCGGAGATGCGACGCCTAAGTGGATCAAGGCTGTTAGAGAGATCTATGGTGGGTTGGCAAACATATCACGGCTGGACCTCTCTAACTGTTTGTTAGGTGAAGATGCGATTTACAGCGCCGTAGGTTAGAGAATAACGTGCTTTTTCAAGGAAGATGAAGCTTATCCGCTTTTTTATCCAGGGTATTGCTTTGGCGGACCCTTTGCGCTCGACATAGCTACGACAGACGACGTTGTTGCATGTATGCCTCTGCACCTCCCGCACCATGCTAGATATGAAGCTCAAAACTCTCTTCTTCAACAGCGGCGTTTGCCCATCCTGCATTCTTGAACGAGGACCACTTCAGGAATTTAAAGAGTATATCCTATGCATGAAACTTAATTACATGCTTCATAAGCTTACCAACCCATCTAGAGCCGCTTCTCCTCTCTTGTGCAGGTTAGGATCATCCCTCAACTCAGAATGCATATACACTTCCACCTCCAATTTCTTCAGAAACCGACCATACTTTCCCAACCGAATCCCGTCGTCGAGCCGAGGATATCCTGGCCGAGATCAAAGCAACCTACCACGACCAACTCTTCTCAAGCATCGTTCATGGTTTCGCCACCCGTGGCGACCCCGAGGTCGAGAATAGTCGTGAGTAACCCACGGTTCCACTGCTTGGAGTTTGTATCGACGTTCAACCTCTAGGTTGGGCAAAAGAGGAATCGGCGAGGAGTATAATTGAATGGTTCAAACGTTTCAGCAAGCAATGAAGTCGAGTTTGCAAAGCGTCCATACCCAGTGTAAAGTAGTGATGAATGACGTCGATTCTTCGCGTTATCCTGCACTTTTGATGATCTGGCTCCCATGGAACTTACCATTCGGCGAAGGGATCGCATGACCAGTCTTCCGAGCATGCCACCATGATAAGCAGCAGCACACTATAGCACACTATCCACCCTCAACGTCCAGAAATAAAGTAGAGACACGCTCTCACGAAGAAGTGCTCTCCAATTGCCAGGGACCCGCGCCGGGTTGAACCCTATCCCATAGCTTGCCTCTTTACGACCACTGCCTAAACGCAAGAGCATCTCAAGTAAAAGGCCTAATTCAAATCGAAGGCCTGATTTTCACTCCAGTACAATGACGAACGACGACTCTCCAGTTCTCGCCGCTCCAGGAGACTGCTGTTTTCAACTTGTGAAGCATTCGGGCGAACCGGTTGGGAGAAAAACTACAATAGGAGGTTTCGAGACGTATATCTCAGAACCTCTGGCGGATATAGCAGGTCCAAAGAAAGTCCTGCTCTACTTTTCGGACCTTTTCGGACCTTTCTTTATCAATGCGAAGCTGGTACAGGATTACTTTGCTTCTCATGGTACGATCTCTCTTATCTTTCAGCTATGGACTTCCTGTTATTCTTGTATCCACTAATGCGTCGACGTTAGGGTTCATCGTGCTTGGGATCGATTACTTCTTCGGAGACTCCATTGGCTGCCATCTCGACGATCCGACGTTTGACAGGTCTGGATGGATTTATAAGGCGAGGAAGCGCGCAAAGGAGGAGGCTCCGAGGTGGTTCCCACAGGTGAGAACGCTGTATGGTGTGCATGCCCTGTTGTTCCTGCGTCTTTTCCTGAAATCTAATCTTGACTACTAGGACCGGACACGATCTACTGTGCAGTGGGTAGGTGTCATTTCGCTGAAAACAACCTACGTGCGAATTATTCAGAACGTTGATTCTCCAAAGGCGTCTGTTTTGGTGCTGCATTCGCACTTGACCTTGCCGCGACTGAAGACATAGTGGCGGGTGAGTGCAACACTGGACACTACTTTAAAAAATGAAGAATCCGACTGTCTCTGCAGCCGCATTCGCGCACCCTGGAGCAGCGAACGAAGATCATTTCAAGAAACTGAAAAGTACGTTTCCTCGTGGATCCTTCTCTTCTTCTTGAGTTCAAACTGAGACTATATTTCGCGTTTCAAGAACCCTTGCTCATGTTATGTGCTGGTTCGCAGTTCACTTTGTCACTTCTTCCACTTTTCAGGGTCATGCTCTAACGATAGAAACTGACAATTCCTTTCCCGTGAAGTCTCGCCGGCGCGCAGAGGACATTCTGATCGAGATCAAAGCCACTTACCAGATCAAGGTGTATTCCGGGGTGTCGCATGGGTTCGCCACTCGGGGCGACCCTGAGGTGGAGAATAGCCGTAAGTCCAAGCGCCGTTGCTTTGTCATACTTTTTTGCGTTGATTTAACCCGTATTGTCTGATTTCTTGCGGCGGCTAGGGTGGGCAAAGGAGAACTCGGCAAGGAGCATGATCGAGTGGTGCAATCGCTTCAGCAAGAGTTCATGATTCAAGTTGGAAAATGTACGACAACGAAGTTTTCATCACTTTTTTTGGGAAAGGGCGGACCGCCAATTCCGAGTCATCATGACTTTAAGCGCTTTGATTGAGTTTGTGGTACCGATCCTCGCGTGAGCGCTCTACATTCTGTTGTGTAAACGGGGCAAGATGGACAATGGCATCCCTGCTTTCTGACTCCTTTTTGTGTTCGCAGAAAGGTGGCTTCCTGGAATCCGGGCATATGTAGAACAATGTGCCTTGCTCATCATCGTTGTCACGTCTCTCGCCACCGAGTGGCGTCGCGTCCAAACAAAGCGTCAATTACCTCATTAGGCAGCTCCGCTTGACCATGCCACACGCTGGCCACACATCGGCCACAAAACACAGGACTATAAAGGTTAAATTCCGCCTCCCTTGCATGTACTACCTATCAGTAACCTTCTTTCACCTCCACCACGATGTATCCTCGCTCTGTGAACGGCCACGCTCATCAGTATAAGAAAACCTCGATGGGTTCGATCTCGTCCCCAGGCTCCACGTATTCGAGTCTCCTCTCTCCAGCAACGACCACAAACTCGTCCCTCTATACATCCGTCAACAATCAAACCTCCAATACTGTATTAGCTAATAGTTCAAGCTTTATGGACTACCTCATGAGCTTGGATGATGTCCCTCTCGCCGATCCGAACCTCAACGCCGCCATTCCGAACAACAGCCAGGTCTACCACGCTGGAGGAATTCCACCGTCCTTTTTCAATCAGGTGTCTAACGAAGGATACTTCAACACCGGAAGTCCTACTTTCTCCAATAGCGCACCTGCGTACCCCATGAATTCTACCGTGCTCTCGCGCAATCCGAGCGTGTCTTCCGACTTCGGTGGATCTCAGTTCTCGTACGCGACAACTGTACCAGCTACTCCCAGTACTTTTTCCCCAGCCGCCTTTAATTCATCTCGAGCATCTTCCGTCTCTTCTTCTTCCACAACTTCTCCCCCTACTCCTCTTATATCTCCTCGTGATAGTCCGGCGTACGCTTCTTCGCGTTCTCTTGGCGCAAAGGAAGACAAAAACAAAACTAAAGTTCAGATGAAGCGCACTCTTACACGGAGGGACACAGAATTGATAGACCCACCAACAGTACCTTCAAATGCCCCAATCACAGTAACGTGCTCGAAGGTGAGCCTATGCGCTATTACAACCGGGGTTTCATGTCTCATGACTAAATGGCTCCAAAGAAATCGTTCTCGCTTCCATGCAGTAAAGTTGGCGTGTTGCAAGGAAATTGGCCTAACAGGACAAGCGCTCCCATTCCGACCGGCTTCATGGAAGAAGAGGTCCCGGTCCGCATCCCTCTACCAAACTATGTGGTCGATGGGGGCGGATACACGCTCCCCAAGACAGAAATCATCATGTTCAAACCTATTCCAGACAAAAAGCAGGCCCTTCACGCTACCCCGATGGTGGATTGCCTGAGCGGTTGGGGTTTAGAGGACCCTGACGCCGTGATTGAATTCCAGCGTTACCAAATGGATTCCGACTCTATCATTCAACTCAAGATTATCTGGCCTTCGTACCCCAAACTTCATTGGGTGGCGGAAATCCCAGCCTTCTCTCGGTTTGCGGGAAAGTCGGATAGGACGCCCATCACGCGCCGTGAGCTTGCGTACTGGATCGCGGTGGTCTACCAGAATTTCACCTTGGTATGTTCCGCCGCTCGTTCATTTGCAAGACTTTTCGATTTCTCATATTTCTGCATGACTTAGGCGTGCAACATTGGATCCTACATGGACGAAACCATACAGTGTCGCCCAGATGATCGCTGGCGCCTAGCACCTGGCTGGTACACTTTCGAGAGGATGCGGCTCTGCTCTATCCGGAACACTGGCGGCCTCTGGCAGGCAGAGATTCGTGTGCTGACGGATCTCGACTATGACCGCTATAACTTTAGGATGCCTATGCGACCATATGACGCCCTAACGGAAGCTCATTCCCCTGTCTCCGGTGCTTCCCCTTCTCAGAAGAAAAAGTCGCCCGCGAGGCGCTGACTGCGAAAGTCAATTCAATTGAAGAGAAGATCCTTTCACGTCTGTTACTGTTACATACCTACTGCCACATGTAGCCCAGACATTCCACAAACCGTAACACGTAATTGACCTACTGTAAGTACTTAAATTCTACTTTAGCGCGACTGTACCTAGAAGAATAAATAAATAGACCCTGCTACTACAGTGTCAATAACGAGTCGACGTTGGTGTACGAGAAAACGTTCCGGTATGAACGCTAGCATAATTCCGCGGTATTCCGCCCACTGGCAGAGATGCAGTTCGACTATTTATATGACCAAGGAGCGCAGTGCTCTCATTGAACAGGATGTAGGGTGGCTTCGGAGCTTGGCGGCACTCGACGATTCTGTAATCAAGATTTGCTCTCTTCGTGACTTAGGGAATGATAAATCGATTTACCCGCTCATCATGGTCGACGTGATTGACCGTCTCGCCTGAATCTTGGTATGATTGTCTTGGTACTGGTCCGTTTCATCGACGATTTCTTCGGAGATAATTTCCTGCGTGCGAGGATGAAAATTGATCTTAGAAATGGTGAAGGGTGACATAATTACCTCGATGATATCTTCAAGGGTAATGATGCCAATCGCACCGCCTGGTTTACCGGGGGTAAGGCTGACCAAAAGCAAGTGAGCACGTCCTATTTGGCTGGAGCAAACACTGAGTTCCATTTAAAAACGACGTCACTAAAAAGAACCCACAAATAATCCAGAGCCTGGAAACAATTGATCGACGGATGCGCTTCAGGGAGAATGGATAGCGGAAAGGCGGATACAGGCAGAGCTCTACTTGGATCGTATGTCAACAGTTTCTTGATTAGCAAGAGACCGACGAAGAACGTGGGGTTTCCTGGTTCGTGAACTGGGAAACGGGAGTAACCACTCTGTAAACTATCCCACAAGGAACGTGATTGATTCGAGCAACGAACAAAGAGAAGAAATTCTTACATTGCAGCAACAGCGTCGTAGTCGAGGATATCATCCGCACTGAGGATTACGACATCCTATTCAAAGGACACTTCGGTAGATATTCTTCGGGCGTGCAGGGATAAGGTTAGAGCTTACTCGAAGGGGCGTCATGATCATCTCAACGTTCTTCGTATTAAGCTCCAGCACCCCGTTCAAGATAGCGATCTCGCCATTGCGAAGCGGCTCCTCTCCCGCTTGGTGGAGCTGCAGGAAAGATTTGAGCTCGGCCTTCTTGTACATATGGTACTGATCTGCGCCGAGAACGAGGTCCAGCAGCTTCGCGATGGGGTAGGCAATGGGCGCTAATTATATAAAAACATTAACTTAAAGGGAGGTTAGCGACAGAGAAATTAGAACGCACCAAAGAGGTACATTAAAACTATCACCAACGGTGCACATGTCGCTCCGACGAAGAGTCCATATCGGACGCTGATCGCCTGTGGGATGATCCTGGTATCTCGTCAGAAAGGGATCTCAAAGAGAAGGAGGGCAGCCCACTTACTCTCTGTATAAGCAAACAAAATGAATGATGCGCTCAGTATTTATCATCGAACCAGAAGACGAACCCGAAGATAACTAGCCCGGAGGTGGTGTCAGGAGATCGGATGCAAGGATGGTACGGGAATGCTCACCAATGGCTGTCGTTGAGATGGCGATGGCTGCCACACCGCCTCCAAGCTGGAAGAGTAAAATGTACTCTCTGGATGGTGTAGAAAAGGAAGGAAGGGCGGCTTACAGCATTGTCCAAAAAGATTGGCAAGCTTTCGTTGACAATCTACGATTCTGACATTACGATGCCTGTTATCGTATGGGTCAAGGGACGTACCACATTCCCGATAAGGAGGACCTACGGAATTCGATTAGAAAAGCTGAGAGGCGAGAAATGGGTGTCGCATACCACGAGAACCCAGTGGCGGCCCTTATGAATGAGATTGAGAACTGATGAAATTAGTTGGTGAGAGGGCGAAAGGAAGATATAGTAAATCACTGACCTTTTTGGGCGTTACGCTTCTCGTTCATGTCCTCAGACGATGTTGCAAGTACTCGAAGGTGTAATTCATCAAGACCCATCAGACCCAGCGTCAATCTTTGTGAACGGTTAGGATGTTAAGGCTGATAGATTGAATGATCGACAAACCCAGCAAATACACCTCCAGCTAGGACAAGGAAAGTGCTGATTATAAGGTGGTACCAAAATTCTCTTGACCCCGTTTCGGCTCCGCCGTTCCCGGCTGCGATCCCAGTCTTGAAGGTGCGGAGGAAGGGTGAAGCAATAGCCGCCCTAGCGAGGAGTGTGCATAGTGCAAGCCCGTTTCTCCTGATAGCCATAGGTAAAGAGGCACCGTACGGGAGGAGGAAAAAGGGATGGTGGGGGATTTCAAGACGGGGAAAGCTGTCTATTTAAGGCTTCATGAAACTGACGTTCGCAACCACCCGCGGCGCGATAAACCTCCTGCCAAGCGACTATATGTCGCCCTCTATCTTCATGAGATCGTTATTGCGATGGGCAGGCGGTCATGATTCGACGCACCCACCAGCAAAATCGTCGCAAGGCGAAAGATACGCTTTTTGCGCGATTTTCGCCTGGCTATCAGCGTCTTTGGTGGACACACCGGCGCCAAGCAAATGCAGTCTGAGCTACCCACCCGCGCATCTGGTGGAAATGCGTCATTTAAGTCAGTTCTTCTTCTGGAACCGTCGCAGAAGGTGCGACATCCGTGTCTTGGCGTCCTCGTTTCGAGCATGTGAGGCCCCCAATCATGACCACTGGGACAACACCCGCATCTTTAGGACCAAGGCGTCAGTGCGCTCGTCTTCGATTGGAGATGATTCTCACCACTAAAAGGTCTACTGCATCCCAATATCGCCAAGCCCGTGATGGAGGAGCTGATAAAGCGTCATTGAAAGTGTGTGCTGAGAACTGGCTCGTCATTTCTTCTCCACAATGCATGAGCGCCAACGACGGTTTGCTATTGACGACCAGAAAAATCGATGTCGTCACTTCAGTTGGGTGGAGCTGGCTCTGTTTAGTTATAGTTAGGACCAAGCTAGGTGGATCGAACGCCGAAGGAGGCCAGGAAGAATTTTTGAAGGAATTGAAATACGTATTTGCTGACTTACTATGGGAGTAAGGGAAGTTTTATCGAGGCAACAGCTTCTCAAAGCAGATTTCCGCTCTTGTTCTCGCCTGAAGGTTCTTTACCAGGTCTGAAATGCATGCTCGGTGTTCGAGACGTTCAAGACTTAGCAAGAGGCCTAGGATTGCAATTCGTGAACTTGCGAGAGTACGTCAACAAAAGGCCACCGGGGGTAATGCTTCAGCAATATCGTACCTTCCACTGACGTGGATATCAAGACTTCAAAGCTTCAGGTAAGATATGCCCGCAATGTTGAATGAACTGGAAAGCATGATGTGGTCCGACAGTGAGGAGAGAAAGATACGGCTAGGTGACGCAATGGAGACAGCCGGCGATCACCGACAACTTTCCCACAAGCCTTCGATTGCCGCAACGAATGACCTGACCACGCCTTTCGGGTTTCCAGAAACCCAGATAGCAGAAACCCTTGGAATCCTTGTAGTATGTACTTCCACAAAACATACAAAATATGTACGAGTACGGGGCTGGCATCCGTAATGTTCTATGGAAGGGCCTGGGTTATTTTTAGTCTCCCCAGGAGACGAGATTGATAACCCGGAAATCCCGCGCGACGCCACACCCTTGATTTACTTGTGCCGAGGGCGGAAGGTCTGGCACCCGACGCGCCCTCTCCTCTCAAACAGCGCCTGCAACCATGTCAAAGTCATTCCTTCGCTGCACCAAGGGAAATTAAGTGGTACTTATACTCTAATTGATACCATGTATACCATTCGAAGAGATGGAAGCATCGCTCGGAGAACAAGGGATTACTTTGTACTACAGGCCAAGATCTTAATATTTAATCTCGGCTGCGTGGAAAATCTCTCAGGAATCTCCAATGCCCCGCGGAGTACCTAAAATCCCTGGTGGGAAGACATACCAACAAGTTCGTGAACCACAAATAGAGGCAAGGGTCGTTAACGCCCTCTCTTGTTCTCATCGCACCTCTTGCTCAGTCTGTACGCTGTTTCCCGCTCGTTTCAACCGGAATGGGTGGGTCCGGGTTGACTCTACACGACGTGGGGTTGAACGGGCACAACACGGCAGGTGCTATGCTCATCGGCTCAACTATCTCATACATGTGAGTTCATGTGCTTTACTCGGTCATACTGTTGGTACTGAACGCGTCTCCCGCAGTCTGTACGGGGTGGTAGTTTGCCAAGTCATTTACTACTTTCACCACTTTACAAAAGACCCTTATCTATTGAAAATTAATGTACGCCTTCGTTTTTTGCTCGAAGGGCGCGATTAAAATATGCCGAGAACAGGTTGCGCTCGTTTGTCTCGTGAGTCCTGGAACCGACATTCCCTCATGTGCCCAGTTCACGCGTAATAGGCCGAGACAGTGAACGTTTTCTTGATGAGTGCGGCTCTTTGGTACTACTTAATTCGAAGAGGAGCGGATATGTCATTCGAGGGATTTATCTTCTGCAATGACTGGTGCGTTTACCCTTTCTTCTACCCTGTCATCACAACTCTGGCTGATTTTTTTAGGACTCTGATGGTAGGTATCTTACAACTCGGATTTCAAAAAGGTCTGACATTTCGTTTCTATAGGCGCAATCTGTCCCTACAGTTGGTCACTTTCCCCTTCGAATAGCGGAGCAGCGAGAGGATTGATAATATCACAGGAAATAACCTGTCTTCTGGTGGAAGCGTGTGTTGCATCTTTTCTATGTCAACTGCCATTCATGCGCCTGCGACTAGATTTTTCATCTCACGAATGTGGCGAAGTAAGAGACACCTCTCCTCTCTATTCGGCCGACTCACCTTCGTGCACCCAGTTGCGGATTCCAAGTACATCGCCTGTCTTACGGTATGGATCCTTATCCGTTTCTCTCGAAGCAGTCGGCTAAGGCCCTCGAAGACCATTCCTTTTTTGAGCGGATGGGGTATGTTAGCCTTTCGACATCTTTCAGTCTCATTTCACACCATTACCATTGTAATGCAGGCCTCAATATTGCTTACGCTGTTGGGATGTGAGTCATTCCTTATTTCTTTCATTATTATTATTTTCGGAGTACAAGCCAACTGAGCGCCTTGGTAGGTATCGATACAGATGTTATCCGGATTTCAAGGCCAACGACGTAGACTTTTTTCTCCCACTGTTTAATTTCGACTAGTTAACATTTGCGAACGCAGCCGTGGCTTTTCTCTTCCTATGGCTCGCGGATCGTCTCAGACGGCCTTATCGCCGGCACGATGCTATACATGCTCTATAAAAGACGCCCAGACTCAGTTAGTACGTCTCTAGACTTTCCGTCGTCTCACTCTAGCATATCTCATGTCTTGCCCGATTTCGAAGGACGAGAAAGGAGACGCCTGGGCGCACAAGACGCGCACCCTGAAGATGATCAACCTCCTCAGCATCTGGGCGGTCTCGACGGGGCTGCTGATGTGGTATGGCCATGGTATGCATCATTTTTAGTAGCGCCATTGACGCCAGCGGGATGTGGATAGGTTGTCGGCGATCGCGTTTTTAGTTTCTGTGCGTTAAAGGCGACCCTTTTTGGAGTGAATGATAGTGACCACGAACGGATGATAGTACCTCGTCGTTCCGACTACACAAGTGCCCCCTGCAGTCTATCTTCTGCGTGGACGAAGTGAGCTTCCTTCCGTCTTCCTTTGCCTTCAGTTCCTCAATTACACCCTGACAGTTCCTGCAAACACTATGCTTGCGGTGTACGTCCTTAGCCTTCTCCATTAGCTCACTTTGTCATTCCATATACCCTCATAGCCTGAACATCCGACAACACATGCGTAAAATCACCCACGAGTCGATCGCGCTCACGGACGAGGTGATGAGACGGCGGCTTGACCAGACCACAAATACAGGGACAGGCTTTAACACGCCGAGAGGGATTACTGTCACTAGCCATGTTACAAAAAATATCGACAGCTAAGTGTAGAGCGTTGCTACTGTATAGTGGACTTCGGACAGCCCGGTGCTTCGCCGTTTTCCCGTTAATCACTATTTATTTAATTTGTACCACGTAGAGTTCCTATTACCTACCTGGATGTCCCTGTCCCTATTCTGATAATTCGAAATGTCATCGTTGTAGATACCATTCGATCCCCGCTGCACGAAAGGTCTGTTTGTCAGCCTAGGGCGTAGAGTCAGTCCCTCTCCCCAGGGTGATCGCTTGATTCGCCTCAGAAATGATGAATTGAAGGGCAGGCCGCAGCATCCTAAACGGTCCGACGATCGGCTGCCACGAAGGAACTAAATGCCAAAGTCGCATACCAGCATCCTACCATACTACGAATCGTACTACGAAGTTCAAACTTCATAGTTATCGATTGGTTATCAAAGAGGTCAAAAAGAGGCCCCGAGGCGATGACCGAAATAACCGGTTTCTCTAAGCGCCCGCCGGCCAGTCCCGAGGTGCACCATGTGGACAAACCAGCTTGGCCAATGGACGAGCGCTTATCATTCACTGAGGCATGAAGGAGCTAGCACGAGCATTCGATTGGAACCATTTCAGCGCACGACTCTCCGTGGAATGTGCCTTAATCGATTCGACCGATTTCGTAGGCGTCCTGAATACGAAGGGAGAGGACAATCACGAGCGCGCGCATGACAGTGCAAGCTACACGCTCCCATAGTGTATCGCCGCCCGTGCGTCAACCGAGCCCGAGCGCGTGACGATGCTCTCGACCAGCGAAGACGTCTCGAGGAACGAGCTCCGGCGTCGGCGTCGATGCTCCACGATACTTCATAGCGCAGCACGTAAGCAAGAACGACAGTCGAGAGAAGAGGCGCATACGCACCCGCTGAGCGTCCTTGTCGGCCATATCCTCCGCACCCGCCGCTTGCTGTGGTTGTCCTCATAGAGGTCCGTCTCGTCGACGATCTCTTCTGAGATGATTTCCTGCGGGATGGCAAGGTTTGTCATCCCTTTTACTTTAACGACGAGGAGACAGAAGATACGGGGAACGAGCGAGAGGGAGAACGCGGAAGGAGAACGCACCGCACCTCGATGACGTCCTCCAATGTAATCACCCCTATGGCTCCGCCTGGCTTCCCTGGCGTCCGACTGATCAAGAGAAGGTGAGCGCGTCCTGTTTGGCTGTAAGAGATAGAGTCAACGGGCTGCTGTCAAAGTTGATAACTGTGGGTCAGGATAGAGCACTCACAAGTAGTCCAATGCCTGGAAGCAGTTAATCGACGGCGAAGCTTCTGGGAGGACCGACAGCGGGAATGCGGAGACGGGGAGCGCGCGCTTCGGGTCGTACGTCAGGAGCTTAGTCACAGGAAGGAGACATTAGCGCCCAAGGCAAAGATGAACGAATGGACGACGCGTGTCCAGACCGGGCCGGACGTGATGCACGTCAAAGATTGACACCCACCTTCTTGACGAGTAGTATCCCAATAAAGGCATCTTTGTTGCATTTTTCGTGCACTGGGATTCGCGAGTAGCCGCTCTGCAATCTATTCGCAAGGTAAGAACTTCCCAAGTGAGAACGAAGCAGGACAATTACATCGCATGGACAGCTGGATAATCGAGTATAGCGTTGGCCGCGAGGATGACAGTGTCCTAGAAATTCTGGCTTAGTGGTGTCTATCCTCATCTGATACTGACTGCGTGACTGACCTTCAAGGGAGTCATAATGCTCTCCACCTTCTTAGTATTCAACTCCAACACGCCATTAAGAATCGTGATCTCCTCGTCCCTGAGTGGTTCGTCACCTGTGCGATGGAATTGGAGGAAGCTCTTCAGTTCAGCCTTCTTGTACGTCGTGTGCGTGTGAGTCCCAAGGACAGCGTCAAGCAAGCGTGCGATAGGCCATGCCACTGGTGCTGCAAGCGGGTGTAATGAAAATGCGTAGCTGAGGAAGGTCGGACCGGAGCTCACCTAGGATGTACATGAGCCCTAACACGAGCGACGCGCAGCGTGCGCCGATCGCTAGGCCGTATCGTACACTGAGGGCCTGTGGGATTATCCTGTGACATCGAGCCGAGTGTCAATTGAAATTGGACAAGGCGGGAGAAACACAATGTCAGCCGTGGGTTTCGTCGACTGCTGGTGGAGGCGGCAAGGGAAAGGCAAGGAACTTACTCTCTATGAAGGACAAATGAGGCACGTCAGAAACCAGAATATTATTCAGACATGAGAGGCATACCCGAAAATAACTCCAGGAGGCGAGCAGGTCGGAAATGGACTTTCAATGCATTCCAGATAGATGACTTACCAATAGCCGTAGTGGAAATAGCGATGGCGAGATAGCCGCCACCGATCTGGTGAGGCGAATAATGTCAAGACTAGCGGAGGAACGCCTAGTAGACAACGTACCGCGCTGTCGAGAAAGATGGGCAAGCTCTCATTCACGATCTACATTCGGCAGCACGTCAAATTCGTCGTCAGTAACGTTTCTCGCATCTCGGCGCGAAATGGACGCATGCTATTAGACATACCACATTGCACAACAGTAGTACCTAGTAGCATAACGCACACCTATTCAGTTTGTTCCGCAGACTTCAAATGAGAAACACGCACCACAAGTACCCAATGTTTCCCTTTCTGCATCAACTTCAGCACCGTCTGCGCGTTCCGCCTTTCCCTCTTATCCTCCGAAGATGTTGCGAGTACACGTAGATGCAGTTCGTCGAGCCCCATCAAACCTAGTGTAAGCCTACGAAAAAGTTTGAATAAGCTTTCGGTCGAAGACAAGAGAAACGGGGCACGAAGAGAGAAAACCCCATAACACGGAACTCGCACCCGGCAAGGCCGGGTAAAATTACCCACAACTCACCCTGCAAACACTCCCCCAGCCAGGACAAGACACGCGCTCACGCCGACGTGGTACCAGAACTCCGGCGAGCCAGGCTCAGCGCCTGGATGGCCCGTCTTGTGCTTACCCGCCACACGATAGATAGGCCCACACTCGTCCAGGGATAAGCATGTCGTCAGTGGAAGACCATTCGCAGACGGTGCACGAGCGGCGATTGTGAGACAGAGAACGCTGAGAAGCAATGGTAGTGGCATGCGAAAAGCGAACTGGATATAACGCTGGGACGACCAAAGGCGGTGGTCGCGTTAGTGGACGTCTGGCGGACAAAACTGAGCAAGGGGAGAGAAGCGAAAGAGAAGAAGGGAGAGTGGGAGAACCGAAGTCATGGTCAGACTGGAAGGGTCGTGTAATATGTATTCTGTCTTCCCTGCAAGCCGCCAAGATCAGGGCCCCGGACCGGAATGCCGCCACTTACTCACGTTCATTTGAATTGGAGATCCCAAACGTGTCTCGTATAATTACTAGTGAGACTAAAACAAGTATGCATGCGAATATTTTGACTTCGCTAAAACCCTTCCTACTCAGCGGAAATGGTTCCATGTCGATTGCACGAAATGGCCTAAATTCTAATTATTCTTTGCTCCGTGTATTCCGATGATGTCGAGGACATATAATTAACTTTGACCGCCATACGAAATGTTTTTTTATGAGGCAGATCAACCTGCGGAATCCCGCTGAACGGAATGCCGCAGAGACTGGGAAGAGCCCTCACCTTCACGACCAGTGTTTTGGTATCAGTACGCCAAAATGATTTACACTGAATACGGACCATTCAAACGAACTTCCGGAACTCCTTGTACCGCCGGCATGCGGCTACCTTGAGAACATGCGATTAGTGTCGTACTTTTGCGATTGGTGTACGTATCATCCGAAGGTCCGACTATACCGACCTTCGTGTATCGTAGAAGAGTAAGAAAGGCTTGGCGCGTTCAAGAAGGGCAGAACACCCGCTGGTGGGTAGCAGGACTTGATGATCGTCTCCATGGATGAGCCAGGTCCTCTTGACACTAGTGCAGTGCTAAGATCTATAGAGAAGCTGTGCATTTGCGACTTTATCTGATACAATGGCCCATTTAATTCGATACCCGTCACCTTGCTGTGTAAATGATGTCTGCTGAAGATTCTGAATTCTGGTGAACTTTATTTCTGTGGAGAATATTCAAATAGTCACTAGTCATGGTTTATACCGCTGCCGCAATCGTTGGACCCACGTATTCAAGATGCCTTACGTAGTCCGAAGATTTGTCTGTCGTTGCCGGTGCCGGACGGCCACTTGGATCACTTGAATCGCCCTTTTTGGAATTATTTTCTAATTATAGAAACACGAGGGCATGGTGCGCTGTCCACCTAACGTCCCTGGAGATTAACTGATGTTCAAGCGCTCCTCCGTGTCGGACCAATGAGATGCAGTGTTGTCGCGGATCAGAACGACTGGAATACATATGTATTTCGAGCAACCCGTTGACAACTGTTCAAATCAGAAGAGCACTGGCAAGTGGCATCACCTCTGATAGTTGCAATGATACATAGATATTATATCATTAAGGATCAAATAGGTGGACGGGCTGTTCGTCAAATGGTCCTCAGGCCTCAGTATTGAACGGTTCCATTCAGCGATGATATTTTGAAAAAGAACAGTTGTTCATCCGTCGATCCCTGGATACCTGTCAGATTACTTGCATCATCGTATTTAGCATTGGCCATGTCAACTTAAAGGGTGGCATCTCGCCTCGGCGTTCCCTCACCATCTGAATCCCTCCCCATTTCTTTGTACACCATGCAGCTCGATGACGCCGACTCGAGCCTGGCCTTTAAAGGTGCATGGAAACACTTTGGCCCAAGCTCAAAAGGAACAAAATCGGCTTACAATAAGACTCTCTCCATGAGCGAGAGTGCTGGAGATACTGTCACCATAAAATTCACTGGTGCGTTGTTCCAACTCTCCTCTCGGTATTAGCGGGACATTGCTACAAGTGTGTAAGCAGGAACTTCGATAGCAGTTCGGGGTTGGCTCCTGAGATCGAGCAACTCTACCGTCATGCCGGTGTCTTCCTATAGCGTCGATAATGGCCCATCTGTTGTGTACGCGCCGCTCAACTCCGACATGGGGACGGCCCTGCCAATCGTATTTTTCTCCTCTTCGAATCTGGACCCGGGACCGCACACACTTGTCGTCAAGAACGAGAGAAAAGGTGGAAGATATTACTTGGACTACCTTGAAGTCGCTCCGTCAGATGTGCCTTGCGAGATGGAAGGTGAGTCGCTTTCCGGCCAAATGATACATCCGTATACATACTACGCCTTACTCATTCTTTCGCCTTCCTTCCTTCCTTCCCATTCGCGAATAAATCTTCTCCCTTCTCCGCGTCTTCGAACTCGAGTCCAGAGTTCACGCGTCCCAAACTAACTGGGATTCCACTGAGGGGAGAATCGCTGTCGCTGTGGTGTCCATATTGGCCGTGGTGATAATCCTAACTCTAATCTTCCTGAGGATGCGACGGCACAGGATCCTAAAATCGGACACGGAGAAAAATATGGGTGCGTGATGTGCTTACTGCGCACCCTCCGCAATTCACTTCCTCACATCAGAGCCAACATCTAAAGTCACCTTTGCTCCACCGTGCAAAAACAATGAAACACACATCGCGGCCAAATGAATATCAATTTTGTATTCGGACAATTTATCTGGACACAATACACGAGCTCTTTGTTTCATAACTATTTCCTCCTCAACACGGTCATTTCGTGGACTCTCGGATAGGCAGAGTAGGTACTTTGGTGCAGTGGGCACGGGGTACACGTGTTAGTAGTATTCTGGTAGTATTTAATGTTGTCTCCCTCTACCACCGCAAATGCTATCCAAACCTTCGTATGTGGTCCTACCCTGAGGCAAAATTATAGGAACCCTCTATCCCCTTCCACATCTACTGGCAGTTTTGAGGGATCGCCAAGCTGGGTCCAGACCAAAGTGACGTAATATTACGTGAGATATTCGGTTTCAACTGCATCCCAACAAGTGCTTTGCTCAACTCTTCAACTTGCCTTCGTGTTTTTCGATGAGAAAGACCAATTTGGCTCCTCTCTTATTTCTCCTCCGGACTGCTATTGCATCGCCTTTTTTCAAAATCACCGTAGTAGGACACGGAGAAGATGGAGAACCCGCAAAGCCCGGCTCAACTGAGTTCTACTCAAAACTCATCATCAGCGCGGTCCTCGTTCTTGCAGGAGGCGTCTTTGCCGGGTGCGTATTTTCCATTTTCAGCGATTATGCTGGTCAACTGAGGGGTTCTGATGGCTAGGCTGACTCTCGGTCTTATGGGCCTGGACGAACTCCACCTTCGCGTACTTGCCACGTCTTCGGAGAACTTGAACGAGAAGAAGAATGCTCAGAAAGGCGAGCCAACCGGTCGTTTGGGAGGCATATCGTATTGACCAAGATTTAAAGTGCTCAATTTGATGCGCAAGGGACGTCATTGGGTTCTCGTGGTATGCATTTCTCTCCTCGGTCGTGTTCTTCTTTCCACCATAGCGCTATCATCCCTTTAGGTCCTCCTATTAGCCAACGTCGTACGTGGTTTTGCTTCGTTGTGCTTCATTATCCTCTCATTCAATTCTTTAGATCATCAACGAAAGTTTGCCCATCTTCCTAGACGGTGCTGTGGGTGTGGTTACTCCCTGGGGTGGTCCATGTTTGAACTTCGCCTTGGCAGATTGGCGGAGGTGTTGCTGCTGTTGCCATTTCGACTACCGCTATCGGTAAGTCCTCGATTCTTCTGTTATATGTGCGCTGACGGGGCTGCGTGTAGTCATCTTTGGGTATGTCTCAGTCCTTCACAAGAAGCCTTTGTCCTGAACCTCGCCCTTCGTCGTGATTCCCAGAGAGTGAGCCGATTTCGCTTGTCCTTGGCTCGCCGAGACTAACGACGCGTCAGAGTCATCCCTCAAGCTCTCAGCGTTCGCTATGGGCTCTCTATCGGCGCAACTTGCGCTCCTTTCGTCCTTGGGATGATGTACCTCTTCTGTTCGTCCCGTTAACCCCCTCCTTCCCCGGACTCATTGACTTTCTGCCTCTCAGCAGCCATCGCCTGGCCCATGGCGAAGCTCCTCGACTTCGCCCTTGGTGCCAACGAGCAACATACGTACAAGAAGGCAGAGCTAAAATCATTCCTTCAGTTCCACCGCACGGGTGAGGAGCCGCTCCGCGACGACGAGATTGCGATTCTGAATGGAGTCTTGGAGTTGAACACCAAGAATGTGGAGGCAATCATGACACCGCTGAAAGTTTGTGTGCACTTTGTTCGAGGAAAGGACGAAAATGTTGATGAGTGTGGGATAGGATACGGTCATCTTGAGTGCGGACGCGATTTTGGACCATAAGGCCGTCGATGCCATGTTCGTCCCTTTGTTTCTACTCCACTTATTGCCTGTTCTTATCCACATCTTGCACCCAGTCTCCTTAGCGGCTACTCTCGTTTCCCCGTTCACGAACCAGGCAACCCGCTCGCGTTCGTCGGCCTGTTGCTTATCAAAAAGGTCAGCTCATTTTTCACACATAATCCCTCTGTCGCTCAGGGTTTATTTAGCTCCTCACCTACGACCCGAGCAAAGCTCTTCCCGTCTCCGCCTTCCCATTATCCATCCTGCCCGAAGCTAAACCTTCAATTAACTGCTTCCAAGCCCTGGATTACTTGTACGTGCCTACATTTAACCGTTCAAGGAAATCGACTTAACCGTCCAAAGTCAAACTGGTCGCGCACATCTTCTCTTGATCAGCCGTACGCCTGGTCTCGCCGGAGGTGCCATCGGTGTTATCACCCTCGAAGGTTCGTCACTTCGTCACTTTCCTCTCTATTCCAAGGGATTATTCTGATTCGATCTGGTTGTGTTAGACATAATCGAGGAGATCATATCAGAAGAGATCGTTGACGAGACGGATCGCTACGAGGACAACATCAGCAAAAAGCGCGCCAAGAGGGCTACGACGGCTGCTATCATGCGAGGGTGGGTTCAGTCTTCCTTCAGCTTGACTCTCTTCGAGATATTGACGCGTCGTTCAGAATTGTTGAACGGGAACGAAGGCGCGACACTAAAGACTCCGTATCCGAACGCACGCCCCTACTTGCGGGCATCCCAGAGTCAGGTGACAACAGATTACCGAGCGCGAGCAGTACAAACGAGCAGAATTATGGCGGTGTCGTTAGCGAGTCGCCGAAGGACTCATAACGGGAGGGGAGGGTGTTGCGCGGAGCTGGAAGATGCTGTTTATATAATTTGCTTTTTGATTCTTGTTCGAACGCTCTCTTCTGTTGCTCGGTATTCAGTATCCAGTAGTTATAGATCTTAGCAAAGGTGACTCTACATGCATCACGACGCGCTCAGTCATCGTCCATGGTTGGGAGGATTCGTTAGGCATGACCATTCGGGACACTTTCCAGTCTTATATTGCTGTGGCTGGAATGCTCTTGCTCAAGTTTTTTCACGTGCTCCTGCAGGTGCATTATTAGCAGGCTATTTGTCGGTCTGTAGGCATGTAGCGCACCTCCAGAGCAAACAGATGGGAGTCGTATGAGTCGGGCGATAGCTCGCGTACAGACTCGGCGAGTTTGAATAGGTAATCCTGGTCGATTATCCTGTTGAAAACAATACAAGAAAAGAACAGAAATATTTCTTCACCTTGTTGGGGCCTGAGGGACCGATGGTCTTCCAGATGGTATAGGCGAGGGAGTCTAGTGGTTCAGAGCCAACTTGTATTTATGTTTGTTCAGATGGAAATGCAAATAGTGGGACAAGGATTGGCGCACTGAAGGAGGGGTTGCCGTTTCGGCCGACGTAGCACTGTTGGTAGGCCAGTCAACTTAATTACGACAGGTTCTCTGCGGTGAGAGATGAGGTATCCGTACGAATGCCTGCAATAAAATTACGAGGAAGATTTGAATGAGCTGGATATTTTGTTCACTTGGAGTGCAAGCTGACGTTGTAAATGATGATTGTTTCTGCACCTTCTGGGCTTATTCCGTGGATGTCAAGAGTCTCCATGGTATACCCATCCTGAAGGCTTTGACATGAGCACATATGCAATGCGAAGTACCTGGCAAACCTTTTCTCGATAATCTACGACAAAAACGATGAGATCTCATCCAGCCAGCAATTCGGATACAGGGTAATAGCTACCAAGGTAGTCCCTCACTTCAGCCTCGTACGCTGGGTCAATCGTATATGCTACTCCTGTCCGATTGCATCAGCCATATATCTTATACAAGTTTAATATCGAGAAAGAAGGATCACCCCAGACAACATCATCATCTGGAAACGCATCCTGCCTCGAATTCCTTCAGTACTAGTATTATCGTGACGTACGCTGGGTAGTGCGTAGCTCACACTTGCTGAGAACTTGTCCCAGTCTTCTTTATGGACGAGTGTCACTACTCTTCCTGGGTTCTATGGGTTTAGTTCATTTTTAAAAAGAAGGCTTTATGAGATGAGGCACTCGTAGAGGAGGATTACGCCATACGAACCTCGGGCGTCCCACGGTGATCATGAGATTTCTGCGCAAAACGGCGCACGTAGCCTTTCAGAAATCCTGGAACTGAAGGGTTGTTAGTAGAAAGAATGTCGAAACGATGGGGCGGGGTGCAACCTTGCGCGATAACGTGGGGAGGAGGCTACAAGGGCCATACGCTGTTCAGTCTTGCACCAGAAACGTTAAAGAAGTTTGATCTTACCTTGAAGATCAGAGATCCGTAGCCAAAGACGACGAATGGTTCACTCATAGTGTTTGAAGGAACTATGGCAGAATGACGTCGATCTCAGAAATTTCTGCCTCTTGCACCTCTGGTAGGGCTCAAGAATACCCCAAAGACGCTTATGAACAAGTCTATAGTACCGGAGAGAAAAGCAGATCTGGGACTGGCAAAGGGTTATTAGCGCAAAAATAGGTTGTAGAGCCAATACGGCGTACTTTGGAGGAACACGGCTCTTCAATGCGATCTTCCTGGATGGTTTATCCTCAAGTACCTGACGGTCAACAAGAAAGGGACGTGAATTCGCGCCCCTGACTCGAGTAACCTGGCAAACGCCGCATTACGTCAGTTATGAGATTTCCGTTCTCTGACTGGCTCATCGTTCCTTCCCTGAATTCACCTTTTCGCGAACTTCATGACTCTTTAATTGCCTGAGGTACTTATACCCATATATGCTCATCATCACTGGGATCTCGCGAAGACTTATACTCCAGCTTCGACCCGCCACCGCTCGGAAGAATTTACCGACTTTTATCTACACCAGACGACAAATGGCCAACACACTACCTCAAATTCGCGCTCTTCCAGAATCGGTGGTCGAAGGACCGGTTCTGAAGAAACCAAGATTAGAAACCGATGTCATCCCAACCCCCGCCGAGGTGGAGGCACTGGCCAAGGAGGGCACACCGATGGATGAAGTGGTGCAGGAGGTGATAGAAGAAGCGAAGCTGAACGGTGCTGGCGGCAAGAAAGGCATGAAGAGCAAAAAGACCAAGAAGAAGGACCCCCCGCTTCCGGACCCTTGCTCTGCGGCCGATGTGTTGTACAGGGAAATCAGGGAGCTGCTCGGAGAGGAGACGGTGGACCGGATAACGGAGGCGGGTAACGCGTTTAAGGCGCCGTATATGGTTGGGGAAGAGGTCGTTGTGAGGATCGAGATGATTGGGTCTGGAGGTACGGTTTGAGATTTTCCATTTTTCGAGTGCGACTTGATTTATGCATGCTACAGGTTCTGGTATTGCCGTCGCACCAGAGGAGAAAGGGCCATGGGCCATCGTAGTTCCTTGCGCGCTTCCTGGAGAAACAGTACACGTCCGCATTGGAAGATACGAGAAAATGCACTCCTGTGCTTCAGTTGTCGAGGTTGTTAGCCCGAACACAGAGCTTCGCGATGACTCGCGAGTGCGGTGTAAATATTTTGGGACGTGTGGCGGATGTCAGTACCAGGTTCGTTTCAAACACTGGAGAATACCATTTTGACTCATCTATGGCGTGTATAGATGCTATCCGGAGAGAATCAGCTGAAACTAAAGAGGGACGTTATCGAGAAGGCGTACAAAACTTATTCCAGTGCGTCGTTGCACCTCACTATATTGTGCTTATATGCGACACATCATAGACCTCCCCAAGTCTTCCATACCCACCGTCGAGTCGACTATCGAGTCGCCTTTGGTCTACGCGTACCGAACTAAAATCACGCCACACTTCGAACGTCCGCCCAAATATGCCAAAAAGCAAGATGTCATCAGCGGGTCACAACCACCGTGGCTGAAGATTGGGTTCAACGTTGCAAATAGCAATTCGACAATGGATATTGAGGTCAGTATGTCCCTACTCGAACTATCAATGGTTGCTCATGGTCTCGTGTAGGAATGCCCTATTGCAACGTCGGTGTTGAATGAAAAGTATAAATCAGATAGAACAGAGATAATCCAGTACGTTCCAACCTTCTTTAATCATTCCAGCACCGCGTTCAACGCCACCCAGAAATATCTTTTCTTATAAGAAGGGTGTTTCGCTAATGTATCGCGATTCCCTGGATCCCGCCTTCGACGCCAAAAAGATGATGTTGCCACCTGTTGACAAGCTTTCAGAAGCCTTCACGAAACACGTATGTGTCACAGACCAAAAAGGCGTTTCACGCGAACTAGTGGGCGATAAACTCTTTCAATACACAGCCGGAGGATTTTTTCAAAACAACAACGCCGTGCTCCCTCTCCTGGTCGACCACGTACGTGATCTGATTGACTCTGGGGAGGGTCGAGATCATCCAACACACCTCGTGGACACGTATTGCGGCGCCGGCCTCTTCGCGATCTCACTCTCAGACAAGTTCACCAAAGTCGCCGGCATCGAGCTGTCGCAAAGCTCCATCGCTTCAGCTAAGGAGAATGCCACGCTTAACGGAATCCCCGAAGAGAAAATCTCCTTCCTTTCTGGCGAAGCTCAGAACATCTTCGCAGCCGTCCGCGATTTTCCTCCCGAACGCACGATCGTCGTCATTGATCCACCCCGCAAGGGCTGTGACGAGCTTTTCTTGAAACAGCTCCTCGACTTCCGGTGTAACGCCGTCGTGTACGTCAGCTGCAACGTCCACTCACAGGCAAGAGACATCGGCGAGATCGTCCGACGGACAGAAAGAGATGGAGAGGGTCGGAGGTACCGGATGGAGAGCCTGCGCGGGTTCGACCTCTTCCCACAGACTGCACATGTCGAGTCGGTTGCACTGCTGCGATTATACTGAAAACACTGTTATCCGGCGGTTTTTTTCGTGACTGTTCAAGATCGACAGACATTCACAACTAAGCAACTCCGTCAAAATGAATTCGGCCGTGTATACATCCCTTCTCACCCACCGAGAACCCGACGCCAGAAGTTCAGCACTAGACGGAGGTGTCCTTGGTATCAATGATGTTCTGTCATAAGAGCAACCTATCGGCCGAAGAAATTATCAGCGTTGTAATGCAGGCACCTTGACGATGGAGCGTTGGCTCTGTTCACTGTCATCCCTGGCGTTGGACTCAAACGCGACCTTTGATTCGATGTGGCACTACTGCGAGACAAATAGAGTATGTAAAGCGTCCGCGACACATGGTCATCAGCTGCACATACGAGATAAGATAAGATTAGATCGAAGTCAATTTTTTGGATCCATGGCGCCCCAAACCTCAGCCGTTTAAAATGACTCACGCCTCGAGCTTGAATCTTTAACTTCACCACCATCAGCCAAAACCGCTTCGTTGAATATTCCAGCACTCACACATCCATGGCCATCTCAAAACCGACCGCAAATGGCAATACTCATGCTGAAGTCGCACCAGTCGAACTCGATGTGGGTTCTGTCCATATGGTACAACGTCGCGACCCTAACAAGAGTGATATGTGCAGGCCTCGAAGGTCATAATCAACCTCGCGGATGAGCTCAAGCCTCTAGCTGCGCCAGAGACTCTAAAATTCGGAGAGGTGCAATTCTAGCTTGTTGAACCCGCATCCGAATGCTAAACGCCACACCAGACCAAGACAGATCATATGCTGATCGTTCATTACGACCCGGTGCATGGATGGGGTGCTCCAGAGATCAAGCCGTACGGTCCATTGACGCTAGACCCAATGAGTTCGTGTTTCCAGTACTGCCCAAACGTGTTCGAGGGGATGAAGGCGCGTCGCCTGTCCGAAACCGTCTATCCCATAATTAATGTCTGCGCGTCGACAGGCGTACCTCGGCCCAAATGGAGAAGCGCGGTTGTTCCGACCAATGTTGAACATGGAGCGTCTAGTGCGTTCGGCGGATCGAGTGGCTTTGCCTGTGGGTGCACTCAGTTTGTACCAGAGCCTGGAGGATTAGCTGACGCTTCCCAGCCCTTTGACCACAACCAGCTCCTCATCCTCATCAAACGTCTGATCCAAGTTGACTCAAGGTGGATACCTGGCCTACCAGGATACAGTCTGTACATCAGACCAACTATCATCGGAACACGACCTGGTGAGTTCAACGTTTCGATATGCGAACCCTCCTGACGAATCTTACAGCACTGGGAGTGACTGCTTCCGATAGCGCTTGCATATTCGTCGTCCTTTCACCAGCAGGTCCCTATTTCAGTGCAGGCGCGAAGGGGATTTCTTTGCTAGCCGTCGGAGAAAGCGTGCGTTCGTGGCCTGGAGGGACCGGTGGCCACAAACTCGGTTTGAACTATGCGCCTGGCTTCCAACCCCAGCGTATAGCCGCAAAGCAGGGGTACGACCAGATTCTGTGGCTACTGGGCGATGACGAGAAAGTTACAGAAGTCGGCGCGATGAATTTCTTCCTGGCTGCAAAGCGCGATGATGGTGACGTCGACCTCATCACACCCCCACTAGACGGAACCATTCTACCTGGCCTGACACGCGCCTCGACGATCGCGCTCGCACAGGCGCACACTACCGGCCGGATAACACTCCCTGGCGTGCCCGGGAGCACGAAGTTGCACATGCACGAACGGCCCTTGACGATGAGCGAGATCGCGTCGTTATTCGACCAAGGCAAGGTGTTGGAGGCGTTTGGGGTGGGCACGGCAGTCATCGTCGCTCCAGTAGGTAGGATTGGGTGGAAAGGCCGTGACTTCGTCTTCCCTGTGTACAAGGAGGCTCTGGGCCCGATCGGCAAGGGCATGTGGAACATGATCACGGACATCCAGACCGAAAAGGTCGAATTCGATGGCTGGAGCGTGGTTTGCTCGTAGGCGGTTCGCTCAAGTGGCAACTCCTTGCGTCGAGCAAAGAAATAGGTCGCGGCATCGATCTTCTGTTTGTGGTTTGTGGGCGAGGGTTGAGTTTATTTCCGTGTCATATATCTGTCAAGTTAATCTATATATCTTCACTTCCAGTTTTCCGCCCGTGTCTTCCCTTCGGAAGCAATCTCAAGTGACCATCGTTGATTTTGCAATTCATGAGGTCTTGAAGCCTCGAGGCTTGTTGGTTCATCGATAAACACCTTTCATTCTCCGCCCCATGATGTTGTCCACCACAGAACAAAGATCGGCCAAGGTGTGAAATGGGAAGCGCGGAGCGTCTCTTTCTGCGCTGATCAAGATCCTAATATTACACGAAGCATGGCTCTCGAAAAGTCTCCATTGTTCGACCTGCCTCGTTCTCAAAGCGTGCTCCTGGGTGATCTGCTAAACGGTGTCATAGAAGCCCGGTAGGCTCTGGTGTATGACGCTTAACAGTTACCTCTCTTTCCAAGCTCTCTTTACTTTAGGGGCTCGATCTTTCTTCTTTAGTGGACACCGCAACGTTCCGTTGACTCACGTAGAGCCACCCTCTCTCGTTCTCGCCTCTGACTCTACCTTGAGCCACTCTGTCCACTCGTCGCGGGATACCCTTTGCCCTGTTGCCTGGTGTCTTACGTTCCTGCAAACTTCGCTGGGACTGCCTCTCTTTCTCTTTGGGGACATTCAGCACAGCACAGCACATCATAAAAGATTTCAGTCAGGCCAACTTTGAGGCCAACTTTGAGGCCAACGACCATGGTCAATTTCCTCCAACCCTCGGAACTAGAACGTCGTCTCCTACGGTGGACAAGCTCCTCATACGTCCCTCGTTACCCATTCTTCGACACTCCCACCCCAGGATCCGGCACTCCGAGCTCCGTATCTCCTGTCTCACCAAATAGAAGTGTCGAAGACCTGGGACGGTGGTTCAACGACGTCGAGCTTGCGTCGAGTGATTGTGACGTACCGATGGAGCAGTATCCTGATGTCGCCATGTATTTCTTGAAGGGAGACTTGAAGGAGGTCATGAAGGAACGGAAGGATGCGTACCTCAAGCAGACGAAGAGGCACTTTTGGGATTGGAGGGACTTTAAGGAAGATTTGAAGAGGCTTGTTGGTAGGTTCGATTTATATTTACCGACGTAATATTTTCTGATCAGCCCCTTTTCAGTTGAGGCAGCAAAGAGTGAGTACACTTTCCTTTCGTGGCAGGTCATGGCAGGTCATCATGCGCCACACGAGAGCTCAGCATACTGAATGTTGACTGGCACAGTCGTCTCCGCTGCACCAAGCATGTCGAATATTGCGAGCGATACGATGCAGCAATTACGACTCGCACATCCGTATATTGCATCTTCAGTGAAGTTGGGCTTGATCGTCGGCGGGACGGCAGTCCTCCTTCCGATGTTGGGATCAATGACCTGGAGGAAGCTTAATCCACCTGTACTTAATGCACCACAGTAGCGTACTCTCTATTAAGCTCTCGCTTGATGATCTTCCTGTCTTTCGCAATGATCCCGTACGCTAACCGTACGCAAGTAGGTTTAATCTCGAATAACGAGGCTATCATACGTGTAGAAATTGCCTACTTATGGTACTATAAATTGAAAAGCACAATGGAGAATGCCCTACACCTCTGCAAATCCAGCTCTCGGTGCTCATTGAATATTGAACTCTCGAAGCTTTTGCCAGCGGTTGACTTGGTCACTCAGAGTCGACAAATTTCGCTGTTCGGCGAGCATATGTAATCCTAATGCGGTTCAAGTTATTAGTGACTGCTAAGAGAAATAAAGACAATATTTTTCTTCAATGGCGAAAGCTACAAGGTGCTTGACAAGTGCGATGTACCGTGGAGTACCATCCTCAACTTCACCTTGTCCTCACTTCACTCTTTGTTCCGATACCCTAAGTCTACGCCGCTTCGTTTGCTTTCACTAGTTGAAGCAAGTATCTTGTCCCCTACCTTGGACAAATACGCGAGACGACCGAAAAGGGGTTACACTTGGACAAGCAAGCGCAAATAGGCTTCGCGTCTCGAAGACGGAATTAGTGTTGACACCGGCGAGCACGACGCAAGCAGCACTCAAACCACGCCCCAGTCTCGCGGAGGAGCGAGTTTATATTATAATAACTAGGTGAGCGGTCCTCTTTGTGGACAAGGCACCACAGAATGGCCGCTGAACAAGGTTTCTTTCAGCATTATTTTACGACCTACCGACGACCTACTCGACGCTCGCTTGTCGCGCCTTTCAACCTCTGGAAGAGGTCAAAATCGACACGGAACTCGATTAAATCCACAGCTGAAGCCGTGTCTACGCGCACTTCGACGGATATGGATTCACAACCAAGTCTGACGAATGGCTCGTCGAACCACCACGATTCGCCACCAGCGGAGCCGACATCCTCGTTCGACCCCGACATATTTCGACGATATTTGGTTGCATTGCTACCGCCAGTGATAGGTGCCCAACCATCGGATCTCGAGTCGTTGTTCGACGATGAGTTCAACGAACGGGTGGCTCGATTTGCTGCCGAAACGGGAGGCGTCATTTACGTTGTGCAAGTTAAGGAAGAGAGTGAAGGTGCGACTCGACGGCTCGTTGAAATCCTCGGTCACTCAAATTCTGTTCGACAGACGACTCAACGCCCATTTACACTTATCACCTCACGTCACTGCTCACCTACCACCCCTCACACCTAACCACATTAGCACTGATCAAACGCGGACCTACACTCGACCCACTGACGCCACTTGCATCCCAACTTCACTTTTTGAACTTGTTTGGAGGGGAGGAGACACCATACGAGAGCTTGCACGCTGTCGTGAGCTGTGGAGTGAAACCATGGTTCGATGCTTTCGTCGGGGCTCGAGGTACAGGGAAGGATGGCGACACGAAAATGGGTGAGTACTCCTGGTCCTTCGAACGAAATCAGCTTCTTAATATTAACAGGTATCCCAATGACGAAGAAGAAGTTCGCTGAGCTAGAGCTATCTTTACTACATCTACAGCAAAATGTCGAGATCCCAGAAACACACCTCATCATCCACCCTGTCATCCAACGAGCCGTCGAGCAAGCTACCGCCGCCGGAACACGACCTAATATCTCACATATCCCTGCCAAGCTGCTAAACGACAGTTCATTCCTCAATACGCTACATGGCCATGTCAATGCGTGGATCAAGTCTATCCAATCCGTCACGAAGCTAACAAGAGATGTTTCGTCGGGAACAGCGTCGCAGGAGATCAACTTTTGGTTAAGTTTGGAGAGGGCACTGGAAGGCATCGAGAACCAGCTGCGGAGCGAGGAGGTCAACATGGTCATGGACTGCCTACGAAACGCGAAACGGTTCCATGCCACCGTCAGCTTCATCGCAGACACAGGTTTGAAGGATGCAACAGACTTAGGTCAGTGAATTCATCTTCTCAAGAGGCCATGCTCTAATGTACCTTTTCTCTCCCAGTTCACAAATACAATCAGCTAATGAAAGACTTTCCCCTGAATGAACTCCTTTCCGCCACCGACCTCGACAAAATCCAAGAATCCCTTGTCCTCATCTTCGGTCACATCAACCGCAAACTCCGCCTCTCACCCTACCCCATCCGCCGAGCCCTACCCCTTGTTGAAGCCATCTCGCGTGACTTCAACGACCAACTTCTTCGCATCCTCACCTCACACCGACTTCCATACACACCATACGACACCTTCGAGCGGCTTCTATCACAAACGACGAACATCTTCCGGACATGGGACGACCAGATCAAGGAGTTTACGAACGTCGCACGCGAGGTGACAAGGAAACGGAACGAGAAATTCATCCCGATCAAAGTCGCCCCCGCTCATGCGAAGCTGCAGGAGAGGACGCGGTACCTGAGGGACTGGAGGAAGCAGCATGAGCAGCTGGCTGTGATGACGGGACCGACGAAGGGTCTGGGGGGTGTTGGGATGGAAGTAGGTGGGATGGACATGGAAGAGGAGGTTAAAGAGGCGTATGAGGTCGTGAAGAGGATCGATGTGCTAGACGTCAGCATTGGTAAGTCAGGCTCTTTCTGCGAGGAGACTCGTTTGGGTTGATGCTGATTTTTTGCTGTTGTTGTGTGTAGAGGGCACGGAGATTTGGGTGGCAGCTGAGAACGCGTACAACGAGCGGGTGTCAAGAGTGGAGAATCAAATCATTGCACGACTGAGGGACAGGCTGGGTACGGCCCGAAATGCGAATGAAATGTTCCGTGTTTTCTCGAAATTCAATGCCCTTTTCGTGCGGCCGAAGGTGGGCAACAAATTATGTTATGTCTGTCCGTTTACTAACAATGGTGTTTGTAGATTCGTGGTGCTATTCAAGAATACCAAACTCAACTCATCGACTCGGTCAAGGAAGACATCAAGCATCTACACGAGAAGGTAATTTTAATCCTTTCAGAACCCCATGTATCTCATACATGCTCTTCGTCAGTTCAAAACCCAATACCGATTCTCAGAAGCCTACCACATGTCCCAAATGCGCGACCTACCACCAATAGCAGGAGCCATCATCTGGGCCCGACAGATTGAACGGCAACTCCAAACCTACATGAAGCGTGTCGAAGACGTGCTGGGTAAAGGTTGGGAGCACTACGCCGAAGGCCAAAAACTCCAATCCGAATCTAGCGCCTTCCGTAAAAAGCTGGACACACGGCCGGTGTTCGAGGCATGGATGCAGGACATCAACCGGCGGAACATGGGCGTCGACGGCCGGCTGTTCGAGATCGTGCGCCTGCGCGGAGGCGGCTTTCAGCTCGCGGTCAATTTCGACCCGCAGATCATCACCCTCTTCAAGGAGGTGCGCAACCTGCTGTGGCTCAACTTCCAGGTGCCGCATGCGATCACGAATATGGCGAAAGATGCGAAGAGGGTGTACCCACATGCTGTTAGTCTGATGGAGACGGTCAGGACGTATGGCCAGACGCTGGATTTGGTGGAGAATAATAAGGGCATTGAGTGGTTGGTGGCGGAGTATAGGAATGAGTCGCAGAGAATGATCAGCAAAGGTGCGTTGTAGCTGCCTTGTTTGATGATAAAGGGTGTTGACATTTGGGTAGGCATGAACATCCGATGGGACCACTTCGTCACCAACCAATACGACACGTCAAGATACGTACCTAGCGCCGATGGACGGGATAATCGCCACATCCAGTTCGTCAGGGAATTCGCCAGTGTGGTCTCAGTGCTGCAGGTCTGCTATTCTACTCACAATTTAGATGCATTTCTTCATTGAACGCATAAAATTCTAGGACAAGACGAACAACGTTATCGACCTATATAAGGACATCCTACGGGCTGTCGAGGATCTTGCGACATGTTCGTACACGCCTGAAGCATTCTCCGAACTCTTGGGCAAGATCCAAGCTGCTGTACGCTCGTTTCCTTATTCAATGCCTTGTTTCAAAACTTAATCCTTTTTTCTTGTAGATTGACCGTCTGAACCTGGAAGGCTATGCCAACCTCGACTACTGGGTGGCCGAACTGGACAAACGAATCGAGGGTATCCTCCTGCAAAGACTGACGCACATAATCCAAGCGTGGTGCTCCGAGTTCGATCGGACAGACGATGGCGATACCAGGAGGGATGTTGCGCCGCTCAGAGATATCACAAATAAGCGGAGAGGAGATAAGAGGATTAAGGAGGAGAAGGTGCCTTCTTTCATTGTTTGCAACATGATTTCGCCTGACTCAGTCGCGGTCTTCTCGTTCAGTTCATGGAGGGCCATATGACGCTCAAGCCCATCGTCCACGAAATCCGGATACAAAATCAAGTCATCTTCCTGGACCCACCTATAGAATATGCGCGAGCAACTTGGATCAAGCAGCTGCATGACTGGCTTGGGGTTGTTTGTCGGCTACGGCGAATCCAGAGCTCGCGGTATGAGATTGGGTTGCAGATGCAGGGTTCTTCGGCGGTGGAGACGACGTATACTTCCCTAGTGAGCCTCCGTATGCGTTGTCTAGGGAAAATAATACTAACGAACAAATACAGCTAACGAAATTCGCCGACAACAGCACCCTCGAGCGACCATTCGCTCTAATCGAGACCAAGGTCCAACACCTGAAAGACTACGTCGGAAAATGGCTGCAATTCCAATCGCTATGGGATCTCGAAGCCGAATACGTGTTCAACCGCCTCGGCGACTCGCTCGCCAACTGGCAGCAGCTGCTGACCGAGATCAAGAAGGCCCGGTCGACGTTCGACACCTCGGACACGCAGAAGTCGTTCGGCGTGTGCGTCATTGACTACGAGCAGGTGCAGGCGAGGGTGAACGCCAAGTACGATGCGTGGCAGAGGGATATCCTGAGCAGGTTCGGAGTGAAGCTGGGCAATGCGATGAAGGAGATGCATGCGTCGATCCTTAAGGCGAGGAATGATCTCGAGCATCATTCGATAGAAGGCTTGGTTGGTGGCGGCGGTCGACGTTTCTGAGGGGGCGTATGTTCACTTCGTTTATGTTCTCTTTGTTCTTTCCCATTCTCTTACTGTTTTCTTCCAGCCTATATTATGCATGCATTACTCTCGTTTCCCATGCCTTGATTTTTTTTATCCTTGATACCACCGTCCGTCTGGGACTTTCACTCGCTTACCACATTTATATTTTGTTTTCACAACGCACTCCTGTAATCCTTAATTTTGGAATCACGATTTTACGACTCAAAATGACGACCAGGAGTCCGAGCAAGAGGGGGTGGTGGAAAGGCGTCACGTGATACTACGGAAGGACCAAACAACGCACCTGGCCCGTGCGTTTGTTTACATGGTATATAAAGGAGACTTGGTCGTTGGTGATCCCCATCTCTTGTGCTCGGGCATGTACTGTCGCCAGTGAGGTTTCTACCGAGGCACAGTCTTTTTGCTGATTGCAAATTATACATCCGAACCCGTCTGTTAGCTTCGGCTTCCAGCAATTTTTGGAAAAAAACCCTTTACTAACCTTTTATTTCTTTTCTCTTGGGATAGCTGCCTGTGGGCGCTTGAAGGGGTTCGAAACTAGCTTAGCCTCGTAGCGGCTACTGATACACAATACAATGTCAATTCTTCATATGATCTGAATGTTGTAAGTCTTGTGCAAGATGAATTTAATCTCTATGTTGGATTGTGAAGAAAGGAATGATTTCTCCTTCAATATGTTGTCCTGAACATTTACAGGAAATGTAAGAATCATAGCATGAGAAGTAGATAAAAAGACAAGAAGACAAGAAGCTCACCTCAGTCGTTTGGGAAGCAAATGGCTGAGGGAGATGATGAGAGTCCACAGCTTATATACAGAGTAGCTACCATGTCCGTAGAGTACTTGAAAAGAAGCAAAACAAGAGAGAAAAAAGAGATTGAATATCCCAGGGATCGAATGGAGGGGGAATGCGCAATGAGGAATAGCGCAGGTACACGAAGAAATGGGAGGCAATGCGATACGGAGAGTAAACAAAAGAGAGTTGCTAATGCATACTTATGGCGAGATGGCAGCGCTAAAGGCGCGGGCACCAAAATGGAGCGGACGCGGCTCGTGTTTGCCGTCCATATTCCAATAAGAAATCTACACTTGGCAAGGTGGCGGAGAGTCTGACTGGGCAGATTGGTTCGAAACATCAGTATCACCCTCAGAGCCATCTTATCATCCTTAGACTCTGAGACGAGGATTGTTGCGCCAGCGACCACTGTTCTAATAGCTGACAGTACTGAGGCCAGGGTTGGCGCAGCAGCAGTTGCACCAATGGATTGACAGAGGGAAAATAACCCAGTTGTCGCCCCGCCATAGAAGACTGATTGCAGACCAGCTGCTATTGAACCTGGCATGCAATTCCTGTCAGCGAATGCGCATATAAAGGGAGTAAGGCTCACCGCCGGCCACTCCTGCTGCTGTAAATCCCAGAGCGTTGAGGCCACCCACAACGATCGCCGGAGCCAGAGCAGCTCCTCCTACAGCGACCAGTCCGACTCCGACAACTTTTGTGGCAATTGGGTGGTACTCTCGAAGTTGTTGTAGGAAGGACGGTCTGCCAGCTAAAGAGAGTAAGTGCCTGTACTTTTCCGCGAGACTGACAGCGCGAATACCTATGTCACCTATTGACGAATTAAAGTTGCGAAGTGAGTCGAAGTAGCAACGACTTGAAGAAACACGCACCAAGCACTTCCTCAAGAGCCTTACAAAACCCAGCCCAATCCCAAACCTCCACCCCGAGATCACGTCGCGCCTGCCTCCTCTGCCGCATCGCCATATTCATTTCTCCCTCCAGCAGCAAAATCATCGCGTCAGACCATTGGGCCTGTGGAATTCCGGCGTCCTTCAAGTCTCGCTCGACGCGGAACAGCCAAGCAGATAGGTTAACCGACGTAGGCTGAGGATAAGAGAGGGTTTCGCCTGTCATAATGCGGGAATAGTGACCTGTGGAGAATAAGTAAAAGGGAGGTGAGAGTCAAGAGCAAAGATGACTCGTAGATAAGCGCCCACCGTCGTCTCGTCACGCGCACGGACGCAGAGCTAAAAATAGATTGCTCGCGCTCAGAGAAACAATCTGCTTCGCCCTCGGTCCTGCTTTTAGAAATATATAATATAGGTACAACAAATTTTTACAACTACAAAAGAGTAAGAGATGTATGTTCGAGGAACGAACTACGTCTTAGCACCCAGGGAAACCAAACTTCCCGCTGCATCCACCACATACACCTTCCCATCTCCGAACGTCGCCCTCGAATATCTATTCGCCCCATTCATCGGCGGAAGTTCGATTTGCTTCAGGACTCCATCTTCACCAGGTATCGCATGCCAGGCTCTCAAACCTAGAACGGGATCCGTGACCCATACAATCCCAGTGCCCGGTTCGTCCTTGTACGAAGTCACCGTTGCGATACCCGTCCCTCGTTGCTCGGAGCTCGACACCCCGGATTGACCAGCGAAGACAAATTTTGGCGTCCCATCGTCGGTAATGGTGAACCTGTGCGCAACAACGGGTTTATTGGTCGGCGCGGCGTAGATGTAGCCACCGTCCAGTGGGTAAGAACCGATACCGCCGTAGACTTCGCCGTCTGTTATGATCGACTGGAGGACTGCGTCTGTTCCGTCGAGGCCCTGACGGTAGCCGCCTAAGTTCGAGAGGTCGAAGACGTAGATCTTGAAGCTCCTGCTGGCGACAGCGGCAATGCGTGATACGGTGCTGGTGTTGAAGTATGGAGAAAGGAGTTGGAATCCGCCAGAACCTATGCAAGAGAATGTGATCCCATTCAGAGGTATACCTAATCCAAGGCGACTTACCGAAATCCATCCCTTCTTCGTGCTGGTAGTTGTACGGGCGGAAGAAGTCCACTAATTTAAGATCGCCATCCGCCGTCGGTATGACGCGCGCTGCGACCTCAGACAAGACGGACAGGCTCGCGTTGCCGAACCTTGGGGTTGTGTCAGTGACCGGGTCGCTCGAACCGGCACCGTTGGACTGCACAAGCTACGATGAGGATGTCCATTGAAAGAGAAGCAGAATATGGAGGGCGTACAGAGGCGAAAAAGATACTGGTGCCGTCGGTCGCGAGACCCTGTCCGGCTTGCCATATCCCACCGGGGCCGCCTCCATGAAAGGCTGTCCATTCTTCGGTAAACAGAGATTCAGGACCGGCTTGGGTAACCCAGTTTGTGACAACCTAGAATCAGGTATATAAGTGTCATCATTCTCTGTACTTAGTCGAGTCGAACCCAAAAATCTCACTTTCTTTTGTTTTACGTCTATCCCCAGGATTGTTCCAGCTATCGCACCAACCCGGTCAGCTCGATAACCACGAATCAAATCACATATGACTAACTGAGATTGAATCCTCCACACCCGCCCCCAAATGCGCCGTACACAACGTCGCCAAGTTTGATGAGGGACGGTCGTTGCAGAATGATCCCGCCAATGAAGTACCTTCGCGGGTCGTTGCTGGCAGGGAGACCGTCAACGAGAATCGGGAAGCCTTCCCTATCTTCAAGGGTGTTCACGTCGACGGCGTAGAAGTAGTACACCCCGTTTATTATGCCGGTGGGTAAGTGATCCCGATAATATCTATCCAGGCCAATTAGCTTGGGTGCAGATGAAATTGAGACTACGACTCACGGTATATGTGACTTCGCGAAGAAGTAAGCCGTATCGGTGTCAGGGTCAATCGTCGGTGTGCCCAGGACCCCAAGCGTCCTGATAGGGAGGTAAAACTAGTACGTACAGACAAATCAAGGGATCCGACGCACTCCGAGACCATGGTGCAGAAGGGCTGTGCCATGTTGAACGGTTCAGTGACCTGCCTTTCCCTCAATATCTCTCCCGTCTCCGCATCAAGGGTACGCAGGATATTCTCGGTCGACGCAAGGAAGACAATCTGCTTGTTTGTAGACGGAGGCGTGTAAATCAATGGTCTAGCATAATGCTGGCGACATACGTCGTTAGAATATTCACAATAATTTCTATGAATCTAGCTCACTGTTTCGCCTGGGTTGGAGTCTACCTTCCACCGTAGACCGAATTGGGGGCTGTCGACGACGGCGGGGTCTAGATTGTGATTTCCGCCTGCATACCCGGATTGGCCAAGGTCGACGTCCATCCAGGAATCGGATGGCGCCAGACAATCCACTCGCCCGCCGAAGAAACCAGCGGCAGCAAGGAACAGTAAGAATCGTCTGCGAACCATTCTGTCAGGTGCAAGCACTGCGATACAACCGACGAAGAAAGATACTGACTTGGAGCCGCAACGGGGCTTAAAATCCTAGAGAATTGTTCCTCGACTGCGCTCCGGCAATGCTCTGGAAGAATTGTGAAATATCCGACCACCGAGTTGGGTCCGCGCACGTCGAAATATCGCGTTTTGAATGATGTTTTAGCCGGCCTAGATTTGAACGTTGAACCTTGACTCATTATACTGACGGGGGGTTCTTTATTATAATTGAACTAGTCCTTCACGCATGGCTAATAAGGAGAAGCATAGAAGTCAGAAATGGCCTTGGCAGACAACGATAGGATTCACCTAGGGTCTTCTTCTCGGGGTTTACCACGTCGTTCTGGGGTATTCTAAGACGCCTTCAATGACTGACACGTTTTCAAGCCATCTAGGACCCTTCTTATGTCGTAGGGTTTACGAGAGTCTTCTCCGGATTTATGCGTCGGTCTCCGTATTCCAATAGACACGATTCCTCGCACAAATAAGGTTTCTGAGACCACTGGGAAGCAGAGAGACGATAATAAGTCTAATGTAACCACGCATGAAAAAGGGAGGACGTCACCAAGTATGCATTTTCTAGCTGAAGAACGTTGTAGTGCAAGTTCAGGCCGCCTTCGAGTGTCCCCACCTCAGCTAGTATTGTTACTCTTCCACGGTCCACATAAAACTTAATCAGCGAGGATATTAAAAACCGGACTTTCCACGGTGTTTGAAAAGAAAGAAGGCCAGTCCTAGGTCGAAGAACCCATGATACTCTATGCCTTAACGCCAAGGCAAACCACGCTTCCCGCTGCATCCACCACGTACACCTTTCCATCTCCGAATGACGGTCTCGAGTATCGATTGGCTCCGTTTATCGTCGGAAGGTCGATCTGTTTCAATACGCCATTTTCTCCGGGAATTGCATGCCAGGCTCTCAAACCCTCGACAGGGTCCGTGAGCCAGACAATTCCGGTGCCCGGCTCTTCACGGAAAGATGTCACCGTTGGGATGCCCGTTCCACGCTGTTCTAAGCTGGACACTTCTGACTGCCCTGCGAAGACGAATTGCGGCCTACCGACGTCGGTAATGGAGAACTTGTATGCAGCGAGAGGATGTCCGATTGGAGATGCATAGATGTAACCGCCATCCAACGGATAAGCGCCAACACTGCCGTAAACTTCGCCACTGGTAGGGATCGCTTGCAGAATGGCGTCCGTTCCGTTCAAACCTTGACGATAACCTCCCAAGTCGGAAACGTCGAAGATGAGGATCTGATGATTCCTGTTCGCCACTGCGCCAATGCGAGCTACACTGGGAGAACTGAAGTGTGAATCCAGTATGGCGAATCCACCAGAGCCTGTCGCATACTGCATAAGCGGTTATGCAATAATGTGGACAGATGACCTACCGAGACCCCTTCCGTCGTCGAACTGGTAATTGTACGGCCGGAAGAAGTCGGCCAAATCAAGGCCACCATCCGTTGCGGGTGTGACGCGAACAACGGCTTCTGACAAGACAGATATGCTTGCATTGCCGCGCCTAGGTATCGTGTCAATGACGGGGTCCGGCAGCGAGCCGCCACCGCTGGACTGATACACTCGTGAGCAAATGGGCGAAGGTTCAAGAAACAGTGAAGTACATACGACAACGAAGAAGATGTTGCCATTTCCGTCAGTTGAGAGGCCTTGTCCGGCTTGCCAGACACCACCTGGACCACCGCCATGCCAAGCTGTCCAATCGTCTGAGAACGGAGAGTCGGGCCCTGCTTGTGTTACCCAGTTCGTGGCCGCCTACTCTCAGATTAGCGGGTATCTGCGAGGAGTAAAGCGCCGATATTTACTTTCTTTTGCTTCACATCCACCCCCATGATTGTCCCGGCTACGAAACTCAGCGTAAAGAGCGGTGCAAACATTCATGCACTCACTGAGGTTAAACGCGTCGCACATCGCACCGAATCCAGCGTAGACGATGTCACCGAGTTGCAGCATTGATGGGCGTTGCAGGATCGTACCGCCGATGAAGTATCTCCTAGGATCATTGTCCGCCGGCAGACCATCAACAAGAATAGGAAATCCTTCCCTGTCTTCAAGCGTCTTGACGTCAACAGCGTAGAAGTAGTACACTCCGTTTATAATACCGGTTGGCGTGTTGTCGCGGTAATATCTATACGATGCAAGGATTGAGGGTTAGGACGGAGGGATAAACTCAGGTGCCAGAGACCTAGTGGGGATGACTGACGGGATGTACGACTTTGCGAAGAAGTAAGCGGTGTCGGTTCCTGGGTCGATAGTTGGCGTGCCCAGAACTCCAAGGGTCCTACAAAGCATCAGGGTTCATTCGGAAACACATATCGCCCCACTCACTCTGATACTTGTGTACAAAACGCCTCCGACATGTGGAATGGCTCATCGACCTTCCTCTCCTTCAAAACTTCTCCAGTCTCTGCGTCAAGGACTCGGAGTATATTCTCGGTCGATGCCAGAAAAACGATCTGCTTGTTTGTCGATGGGGGTGTATAAACCAACGGTCTAGCGTAATGCTGGTGATAGCCCTCGTTAGAACATGCTCGAGAATTACATTGGAGCCAACTCACGGTTTCTCCTGGGTTGAAGTCTACCTTCCACAGAAGACCGAACAGCGAGCTGTCGACAACAGCAGGATCCAAGTTATGGTTTCCACCAGCATATGAGGATTGGCCGAGGTCCACATCTCGCCATGAGTCTGTTGGTGCAAGAGGCAGAACCTGTCCAAAGAAGCCGGCCGCAGCGAGGAACGAGAAGAGCCGTCTGCAGATCATTCTTGGAATTTAGGACGCTGCTCGTGAAGAAGGAATGGTAAGAGAGAAGGCAAGCAACGCACATAAATCCTAATCATTCTTCGCAATATGCTCGGGGTATGCTTTGGGAGAACTCCCTTCCGAGCTACGTCCGTTTCATACATAAAAAAGCCTCCAGCACGAGTGATTTATTAGCCCGGCTGGATTCATTACGCCGTATACCGGGTGGACGCTGGCTGTTGGGCAGCTTCAGGCATCTTGAATTAGGAGGAGCATAAATTCCCTATAAGAGATCAACAAGATTCATCAGTCTTCTTCTCGGGGTTTAGCTGCAAGCCACTACTCGCGGCTGCTGCGAGACCGTGCCAATGGACACGATTCCTCGATTCGGAGGCGATTCAACTGCTATGCACGAAAAAAAAAAAAGAGTTCGGGCGCATTGGAATGAAATGAAATAGGACGTTACCAAGTTGAATTGGCGTAGGTGGTGGTACAAGTTCATGACCAAGTTGTCATCGAGTGCCCATGCTTCAGATCTACGTATTTTCCCCAATCCCCACGATCATCGTGCTCTACAACTCAATCTGAGGGAAGTTTCAAGACCGGACTTTCCACGGTATTTAGAAGAAAATAAGAGCCACCTGTTAATTTATTCTAGCTGAGAGGTTGGGAAAACTAATTTGCCTTGAGGCCTCGTCTAGGTGTTGCCAGTTCGGTAGCTGAGAGCAGAAATCCTGAAGTCAAACAGGTTTGAGAATGCGCAGAGATTCGGATATTTGGCTCGACCTTGATTCCTTGACGGAATACACAACAGCAATTGCTTCCAATAGTGTTGAATACCCTATCGTCCTACCACTGGGCTATGTCCACCTCAGCTTCGCCAAACACACTCGTCTTCTTGACCTCGAACCCATCTTCGACAACCTCCACCTCCTTATCGTAATAGCCTGGGAATTCTCTCTTCAAGAACCGTAGAATGTGTCTATTAATCTGCTCAAACTCGAGCAAGAACCCATCGTGTCCGTCGGGCGAGTTGATCACTACGAGCTCCGCCTCGGGGATGCGCTCCGCGAGCTCGCGCTGCTCAGACGTCGTGAATAGCCCGTCGGTCGCGATGCTGATTATCAGCGCGCGTGGGGGCAGCGTCGCCAGCACCTTGGCGAGCGCCGAAGAAGTGTCGGCTTCATCGTCGGCCATTCGTGCTCGCGCGACGTCGTGTGAGTCGAGCTTGCGCGTGATGTGGATGTAGCAGTTAGCGTCGAAGCGCGCGGTGAATTTGTCGCCTTGGTATCGGAGGTAGGACTGGGCGGAGAAAATCGGGGCGTTGGAGGGTCCTGACGCGTCAGAGGTTGAGGTAGAGTGGCTGAATTTAGGTGGAGTCCGCAACGTCGGGTTTCGCAGACCATCGTTGTGCAGCACGACGTGGTCATCGCGGTGCGAGGTGAGTTTGGGAGAAGCTGGAGGCGTCAAGGTGCCGTTCTTCGTGTGCTGGCTAAGTTGCGGCTTTCGTCCGAATCGGCTCTCAAAAGAATCTCTGGATCGGTAGGTGAGCAAGGCACTCATCCTAGCCGCTGCCAATCCAGAAGCGGGTTGTGATGAATAGTATCCATCTTGGTAGGTTGGATCGCTATAAATGCTTTGTCGTTGGGCTTCTCCCCAGCTGATACACCAGGCAGAGTGGCGAGCGGACGTGGCCAGGGGTATGATATGCTTCACATAGCCAGGTGGCGAGCAGAGAGGCCATTCAAGGACGGCCATTCCGCCCATAGAACCTCCAATGACCACTGCAACATATCGAACTCCAAGGTGGTCGAGAACGAGTTTATGGAGGCTGGTGGAACGGGTTCGTAAGAACACGGAGACAGAGAACACCGCAACATACCGGACATCATCTCTAATCGTCGTCGGCGGGAACTCTGGCCCATAAGGCTTCCCCGTATCAGGATTTATCGTCACAGGCGAGCCCGAACCGTATGGCGACCCAAGGGTGTTCGCGCATACTATGAAGAACCTGTTCGGATCGAATGCCTTGCCACGACCCATAAGTGGACCCCACCTGAACGATTCAGTACTGTCCTTCATGGCAAGAACCTGCCTGCTCACCAGTCCTCTACGTCCGCGCTCCCTGTGAATGCATGACAGATGATCATGACATTGTCCCGCGTCTCGTTCAGCTTTCCCCACGTTTTGTAGGCTACTGGGACCTCTTTAAGGAAGGCCCCGCATTCAAGAGTAAATGTGGGCACCGTGTGGTACGACTGGTCTATCAGAGAGGAGTAGGAAGCCATCGCCCCAGGAAACTCGGTCCAGGGGGGGGTTAAAGCCAGGCGGTTGTGGCGTCGACCACGAGACCTCTATGTTCCTGACCAAGAATGGCGCCTTTTCGAACAGCGATAGCGTGCTTCACAACACTTCAGACCAGCTGTTCTAGATCGTGGTTGTGGTAGAAAGAAAAGACGAATGAACCTCGCTTGCACAGAAAACATGATTTTGTGACTCAGATGCATTTGATAAAGTAAAGGTAAGGAGATAAGATAAGATAAACGGACTCGCCCAAAATTGCAGATGTAAAAATACAACATGGCACAGACAAAAGACGGACTAGCTCGGGGTAAAATTATACTTCTTACTCGCCTTTCCTTCTATAAACGACGGCCACAGCCAATAGAGAAGATGCGCATAGCGCATGAGGCCTGGCATGAACACCGTTTTCTCCTGGTCGTCCACAGCAGTGATGCATCGTCGAGCCACGTCCTCTCGTTTCAGTCCATATTTGTTCGGGTCCAGTTCCCTGACAGGGCCGCTGTCAACTGCTGACGCACGAAAGTCTCCCTCCACCGTGGAAGGCACGAAGAAAGAGAACGAGATCCTCGGGTGTTCAACGGAAAGAGCTTGATAGAGCACGAGAGAGGAGGCTTTCGTCGAACCGTACAGCGTTCGGGTGGGAGGTGGGATCAGCGAAGCGAGAGAGTTGACTAGCAGGATGGATGGGGACTTTGACGTATTCGTGAGTAGAGGCACCTGTGCCTGCGTGTGAGCCAGGTGCGATATTGCTATAGAAAAGGACGCACGAATGTGACTGCTGCTATGAGAGGTCCAACGAAGTTCCCTCTAGTAGCAGCAGCAGCGACGTCGACTGTTCGTTGGATGTCCTCCTGGGTCGCCTGAGGGAGATTGGAGCTTCCAGGTTGCGGTCCAACACCTGCCACGCCCATCAAGGGTTGTAGAGCGGATACACCTGCTGCGACTACGAGCGTGTCCAGACCCTTCCATTCTGAAATATTATCAGCACCGTACAAAGAAAAGACATGCTTTGAGACACACCAGCCTCGATCAGGCTCCTCAGTCTGACCATGTCCTCCACATTGCTGAAGTCCCCTACAACAGCAAGGACATCGTTCTTCTGCGATGATTCACGAACATTCCGGCACTCTGCTCCGACCTCTTCGATGAGTGCTTCTCTCCGCCCAGTAACACAGACTTTGGCCCCTCTTTCCGCGTACTGACGTGCGACTGCTCGCCCAATCCCACTGGACGCGCCGAGAATGAGAACGCGCTCGCTAGACTTCGGCACTTTGAGAGGTCGTCGAGGCTTCTTTAAGATGCGATAAACCATGAACAAGAGCGGGAGAATCGCGACGGCTGCTGTTCCACGAGGATGCATAAGGACATCGCGAATAAAGGCAGGAAGTTCGACGGCCATCGTTGGCTCGCAGTTTATTGAGCCTCTTCCTAAACTCTGAAAGAAAATGATACATGCATTTAGGCGCCATTCATGGTGTATTTTGTGGGTTGTACTCACCGTCAGAGGTCAAGCTCATGCAACTTGCATCGCCGGTTGTTTCAAAGGATTGCCGGTGCTTTACATAAATAACTCTACTTAGAGTAAGTCCCGTATTTAGGCCCACCGAGTAATTCGAAAATAATTCAAAAAGAATCGAAACAAAAAGGGGAAAAAGAGGGAGATTTATAGAGCCTCGTCCCCTTCGTTTTGAGACCCGAAATCACCTGTATTGAGTGCGAGAATTAAATTTTGTCCCTGCGAGGCCGCTAATTCGCGGCAGATACTCGCTTGCGCGTTACTTATCCTCCATGCCCATGATCAACGAATTTACCAGTCTTGTGACTTATCTTTTGCTAACCTACAAATGTTATGATGTCACTGACTTAACCAGCTTTCCTCCTACCATGATCTCGCGTCCCCTACACCGACTTCTAGGGCACCGACAATTCGTTTCATACTTCCACACAAGCCCATCATACTTGGCCTCGCGTAAGGTCATCCAGAAGTTCAAGCTCGCCGACATTGGGGAGGGCATCACCGAGTGCGAGATCGTCAAGTGGTGCGTGCAAGCTCCGGCCGGATCTTTTGCGCTCATCGAGCGCGCCTTGCAGGAGTATCAAGCCACAGTCGACGGTACAGGCTTTTGACCCGCTCTGTGAAGTCCAGAGCGACAAAGCGAGCGTGGAGATCACGAGCCCGTATGATGGTGTGGTGAAAGAGCTCCTCGTTCAGGAGGGCGAAGTTGCGAAAGTTGGTTCGGGGCTTTGCCTCATCGAGGTTGACGAGGAAGTGGTCGATGACGCACAAGAGTCGTCTCTTGAACCCTTCGAACAATCTTTGAAGACGGCTGAAGAGAAATGGCCTTCATCTTCGTCGACGAACGCAACGAGTGCATCACGTCGACTGCATCCACTAGATCCGAACAACCACACAGCGGGAAAGGTTTCGAATGCAGACAAAATTTTCTGCGCCCCTTCTGTGCGCCACTTTGCTCGCCAGCAAGGCGTCGACCTCGGATTGCTGGTCCCTGGGAGTGGGAAGGACGGACGGATTGAGAAACGGGACGTAGAGGCTTATCTCGCCGGCGGACGCGACTCTGCCCCACAGGAAGCACCTGTAGCTCCCCAACGCGACGATGTTTTTGTGGAACTTAATAGGACGCGTTATGGGATGTGGAAGGCTATGACCAAGGTAAGTTCACTTCGACTCGTGCTCATAGCATGCCATTCATCTTTCTTTCAGAGCCTCGAGATACCCCATTTCGGATATTCAACCACACTAGACATCACCGCATTGCACGACCTTCTTCCCGTTCTCAACTCACATATACCATCTCACTACCTCCCGGAATCCTCACGACCGAGCCCACTGGAAGCCGTCAATCCCTCTTCTATCTATCAGGCCCCGGCACCCGGGCCGGTGCTAGACACCCAACAATACAAGCGCCTCACCTACCTTCCAATTCTCCTGAAAACACTTTCAAAAGCCATGATAGAGTGGCCACTCTTCCGAAGCTCCATCACACCACAAACCGATCCGTCTGCGAAGCCAACGCTGACCGTGCGGCCGAATGCAGACATCAGCATCGCACTCTCGACGCCTACTGGACTCTATACGCCCACATTGCAAGGTGTGAACAACGAGTCGATATACTCGCTTTCCGCGCACCTGAAGCACCTGTCCTTCCTTGGGCGTCAGACGCCCTGCGCGTTGACACCAAAGGAGATGCCAAAGCGTGGCGGTACGTTGACCGTGTCCAACGTTGGCGCGATTGGTGCGGGAGACTTTGCCGCACCTTTACTCGTGCCGGGTGGGGGCGTAGCCATCGTCGCCATCGGGCGCTCCAAATGGGTATGGGATGTCGATAGAGGCGACGGTAGCGGTGAGCGTCGCCTCAAGCTCGGCGTGAGTTGGGCTGGCGATCACCGCATTGTTGAAGGCGCGGAGCTCGCCGCGTTCGTGGAGTGCTGGAGGTCATATGTCGAGGCGCCGCAGAGGCTCATCGGCGAAGCGGTATGAGATTTGTATCTATTGTCGGAAACCAAGATATCTATTCTTAAGTGTGAAACTTACGATGATGGCTATATTCAGGACACGAGATGAATCTGTGGTCAAACCGTCAAGCCGTGCCCGTATGGCGACATTAGAGAAGAGCTTGGCAACGTGTACGCGACGGGTTTATCCAACCTCTGCCTTACAGTCAATCAAGAACTGAGTGGAACGGAAGATCAAGCGCCATGGAAAGTCCGTGTGATGAATTCCACCTTCTCTTTGATTGAGCTATACGCGAGTCGTCCGAAGCTTCGTTGATCCACGGCGCTGGTGACTTGAACTTGTACCACCACACCATAACCACTGATCCCCAGCTAGCACCCACTCTGGTGAGGTCCAATTTTCTTGAGATATGTGCAATGACGTTCATGTTTGCTCGTAGACTGGCAACACCCGAGTCGCGATTCTGGCACCCTTCTTCGAAGTGAACCGAGAACGACGTGTGTTAAACCCCGAAAAGAAGCTCTTCCTCTCTGGAGAAAATTATCGACATCGAAATCTCAGAAGTACCGCCTTTCTTCTTCTTTTCTTCCGTACTGACCACGCTCGAAGCAGGTTAATACTCGACGACCACTCACAAGAGCGAAATTATGCAGAGATCGGCTAAAACATCACTCGAAGTGGAGATTTTTCAATATCCACGGACTGAACTCGGGAGCTAAATTGCTTGAGTGTTCGACCTGTGTTCGACAATGTCGCCCGAGAATATTGCGAGAAAGGAGATACGAATATCTTCTGGCGTTTAAGGCGCCTGCGCCTTTCGCCTAATATCACGTCTTTCTGAATGGTTCGGACACGGCTGCTCCCTGTTCTCGTGGCCGTAGGTCTCTTCACTGGTCAGGTAACATCTCTTGCGACATCAGATTCCTGGAGGGATGTCGACCTCGGCCAATCTTCCTATGTCGGCGGGAGTCATAATCTGGATCCTGCCGTTGTTGACAGTCCACATTTCGGCTTGCGATGGAAGGTAGACTTCAACAAGGGCGAAACTGTGAGTTCATCATACAATAACTCTTGCGCGAGCTCTAACCTCCTTGCTAGCATTACGCCAGACCATTGATTTACACACCTCCATCCACGAACAAGCAAATCGTGTTTCTTGCGTCAACGGAAAATCGACTCCGCGTTCTCGATGCGGAGACAGGAGAGGTCTTGAAGAAGAGGAAGCTAGCTGAACCATTCCCTCTGGCAGAGGCATTTTGCACTCAAGTCTCTGAGTGAGTCGTATTGCCCCTTTCTATCCGTCGCCACGAAGTCTTATTCATTAGGACGCTTGGGATCATGGGCACACCAACCATTGACCCAGAGACTGATACGGCTTATTTCTACGCAAAATCGTATATACCGTGAGCCAACATCCCCTCAACTCCGTACCATGAATAATTACCCTTCTCGTGCAGATATTATCGTGATGTTACAAAGACTGGGATCATAAACGGTGTATACTACTTCTATGCAGTCGACGTGAACACACTCGAAGACATAGAAGGGTTTCCCATCCTAATCGACGGCCTCCATGCAGACAACGATCCAAGGAGGTATTTCATCGGAGGTACGATCCTGCAAAGGCCCTCACTTCTCCAACTTGGCGATATAGTCTACGCCGGCTTTGGGGGTCTGTGCGATGCATTCAATGCTAGTGGGTAAAACTCGCTTGCGTGTTTGCCGTGAGCTAATTGTCTTCTTAGCTGGAACGATCATAGGGATAGACGTGAAGCAGAAGAAGGTGAGCAGACGTCTCCACGATTATGGAAGGAATCTTACTATCGAATTGAGCGAAGGTGACTACACATTGGGTGACCCAAGCGGGCCCCGACGCTCCGTTCTCAGAGGATTGGACTGCCTGGCATGGTGGAGGTCCTGGCGGCGTCTGGCAAAGCGGACAAGGTCTCGCAACCGATGGCGGCAGTATCTTTTTCGTTTCAGTACGTGTCTCTCTATCCTACACTCCTCGTTCTCTGCTGAAAGATGTGATAGGACAACGGCGGTGGTTCTATGGATGAAACTATTGACACGACTCCTCGACGCGGTAATGCAAGCTTGTCTATCTTGTCAGAAGTCGTTGCCCGAGTCAACCCGACAGCGGATGGAGGTCTTGATGTGGTAGATTTCTTCAGGCCACACAATTACCAATACGACGACGAAAAGGATCTGGGTACGTTGAATCATCCTCAATCTCTAATATATAAAGATATTAACATCCAACCAAGGCTCTGGGGGATTCTCGCTCCTCCATCCCTACTTCAATTCCACCACCGTGTCACGCATTGGCACCGTTGCAAGCAAAAACAACAAAATCTTCATCTTCGACGCCTACAACCTCGGTGGCTACCGTCAGGGTTCAAACGGGACCGACGCAGTCCTCCAGACAATTCCTGTCGGCGGCGAAGTCTTCGGCAGCATTGGCTCTTACCCGCTGGATGGCGGCTACATCTACGTCGCCCCACTTCGGAACCCTCTCTCCGCGTACAAGCTCTCAATCACCGAGGACGGGACGCCGCAGTTCGTGTTCGCGGGACAATCGGAGGTGTCCACGCGACAGAACCGTGGGACGGGCATCCCAACGGTGACGTCCTTCCATGACGAGCCGGGCACTGGTATCGTGTGGCTCACAGACCCAGACGCGGGTTTGGACGCCTGGTATGCAGTTCCTGGAGAAGATGGGGTGCTGAAGAAGATCAACCTGCCTACCGTGAACGGTGCGAATCGATATTCAAGGCCCGCGTTTGGAGACGGAAAGGTATATGTGGTCGATGGAGAAGGAAGCTTAGTCTGTCTAGGCGTTTTATAAATATGGACCCTCACTAGCTGCAAGCTATAGTAAAGACGATCGCGACATCCAGCATTCACGAGGCACAGATGGGGTGCTTCGCTCAGAAATCAGCTTTGGAGTCCATGCGGTCGGCTTGGCAGGAGGGTCAGTCGACGCCGACATTTTATCCATCAGCTGGTTTGTTCTTGAACAAACATCACGGAGAATTCGACGGAATCGGTACCCCATTTAGTAAGCTCGGTGCCCCATAAAGTAATTACCTTTAACCTTACCTGAGAGCGCAGGCAGCGCGCCACTAAGCGGTTATGTAAAGAGGTGCCATCCCTGGATATCCTGGACCTACAACCTCGCCTTATCCACCTCGAACGCAGCACCGAACGCCTCGGATCCTCGTGGTATCCAGTGTACGATTTTCGTCGACCTCGGGCGTAGAGGGGATTTGACGCATGGCCTCGTGTTGGGATGTACAAACACCGGAGATGGCACCGATGGAGACTAGGCAACCGCAACGCTCTATTTATTTAATGACATCGTTTCCAGATCTTTCCTTCTGATTCCCCAGACTCAGACTCCCCACTGCACAGCATCTTATCTTGACCCGCAACCTCATGCCCTTCTTCCGTGGTTTAGACTCTGCCCCCGCCTCAGAGACATCCAGTGTCGCCAGCCTGGAAGCGCCCTTGTACACTGCGCGCTTAGCGCTCACTCGGCTCGCAAGCACATCAAAACACAAGTCTATTACGGCTAAATTGGATCTTGTCCAATCAGGACGGATCGCTCTCGACATAGTCGAAGTAGCACGGGTGGGTTGACCTATATGTTCTTCTGAGGGCCTTGCATTCATCGGCCTCTACTATATATCTCTGTCCTTCCAGAGAGCGAATATTCGTCGGAAGGATTGCATCTCAATTGCTGAGGAAGCTTACCAACTCGTTAACGCAGTTGACGGAGGCGTCAAGGGACGTGCCATCGACGTCAACAACGTTCTGAAGGATTTTGTCGCCAGACTCAACAGGTGGGCCTACCTCACAGAACTTGCGAAAATAGTCACCCTCACAACCGATGTTTAGAGATCTAGATGAAGTGCGAGTCATTCTCAAGCGCTTCAGCTCCTGCTGGGCCTTTTTCCGTTTCCGCAGCGCCTCGCGGGACCTCGGACGGTGCCATGACATCCTGAGCAACGGCATGGAAATGTACCTCCTGCTCTTGAAGTGTTCGATTGCCCAGCCCGAGCGAAGAGACTCCCTGCGACAGAAGTACGAGGTCATGGTTGGCCGGCAGTCCTCGCTTGACCACCACCACGACCGTTCTCGGCAGCATCCTCAGAAAACTGCTCCTACGTCCCCGCACAAACCGCCTGGAAGGCTAGTCAGTACCGCGTCTCGTCCTCGTCAAGCGCGCAGCTCCGGTTCTGTGGCGTTCTAGGGCTGCGGGCGAGCTCCAGTCTTCTCTGGATTGATATCACATCAATAGGGCGAGTCCTTGATGAGATCTCAGCCAGATTTTCGAATCCCTCACAACGAGCAGCTACGTTGAATCGAGAGCGGAAAGAGCTCCCTAGAACTAGGCCACGTCTCAGTGCACGCCTCAATTTCCTTCTTTAGAGGCATGATAAGAGGTAAGCCGAGCCGCGCCGATCTAAGCTTCATCACTAAATTGACACAAGCGCAGACCATGCTAGCGCGTGAAGCGTGAGCCGACTCAGCATCGCATGAACGACTATTCCATTGTCGGAAATTTGAAGGGCAACCATTTCCCAGATACCCACCCAATCTATGTACAAGAACAATAAATATTCAGACTTTCTCACTCCCTACATGTTGATCCAATAACGCCGGCGGCGCGCCATATGCCCCCATCCCGAAATTGTGGCGAACGTCAACCCTCTCGTCTTCGTCAAAACCAGTCTCGTAATGGCTCCTGTGGAGCGAACTCTGTCCATCGGTCGTTCGCAATTATAATGTGGTTGCATATCCAGTCATGGGTGCCCTAATGGTCAGATTGAGAGTGGTGGGTCGAGTCGAACCAGGATTTGCGACCGCTTGGCTTCCACGCGCTCCTTTATTAGCTCCTATTCCGAGGCGACGCGTCTCATATTCCCAGAAAGTCCATTCTTCTTTTTATTCACAGCCTGAACCACTTCCTTTCGAGTACTTCCAGCTCTTTCTATCTTCTCATTTCACACTTTTTTCAGTGCGTAGGCCTGTTCACCAACGCGTCGATTGGTGATTATTGAAGGCCGGTAGTCCGGTCCGGAATTATGGATTTTGCAAGTTAATTATGCACAGCCACTCCGCATCCAAGTCATAACCTGCTACTTCATCCATTACTTAGTTCCCTTCGCAGCATTATCATGAAGCCCGTTGTTGACGAACATCCATAGCGGGAATCGCCGCGAGACACCTTGTTTGCAGGTAAATGACCGCCTTTTCTCCGGATTTGACCTTGACCACGCTTAACTCGTCTCGTCTCGTATACAGCATGACAGGAAGTTTCGCCCTACCATCACCGTTGTCGCTGCTACCGCTGTCAGAAGTCCAGAGAGGAGTACGGCGTCTAGTTAGGGGTGGTTATACTCGAGTGATCAGGGCGCGTATCTCTCCCCTCTTCTCGGAGTCTCCATCTCTCTCACTAACTCGACAGTAGCAGGCTAGCAGCCTTCCTTCCAGCTCTCCGTCTGAATCCACCATCGATGTTTCACTGGCTTCTCTTCTGTGCTAAGAAGCAGGGAGCAGATGTTACAACGCCCAGGAACTGTAGCAGGGAAGGCGATCCGATACCTCTGATCTTGGATTGACGATGGGGATAAAGAGGTGGTGGGGATGTATACAAGATTATGCGAGCGTCAATAGATTGGTTGAGTACTTTCCCTCTAGATATGAAACATCGGACCGCTGAACCATGGCCCATTTTCAAGATTAGGGAGTCAGATCATTATCTGAACCCGAGTAGTTCTTACATCCGAGGCGACCTCAGAAGTCCCATTCTACTCGCTTCCTTCACAACATCTAACGGCGGCGACTTCACACCATTACGTTTCGGTTAGCCACCATCCGAGCGACCAACGACGGCACTGGTCGATCAAGTGCCTTTGCACTTCCTGCTTGCTTCAACGCATGATAAGCTCGCGAGCCTCCAGATCGCAGGTTCTACAATTAATTTCTCTTCCTCTTTCATCGGTTGTCGGCCAGTCGGCCAGCATGCAAACAGTCGACCTCGTTTCCTTAATCAGCTCGAAGATGCGTCTTACAAGCAATTGAGGCAGTGCAGACGACTTCTATTAAACCGTGTACAGTCGATAACTATAAACCATATATCCTCTCTTGCAGCTGACACGAGGGAGGGTAGTGCCTTTTTGGATAAAATAAACTTTGGGGTGCACGTCTGCGGCGCTCTGGCCGGGTATAACATGGCTAGGGAGGTGTGAATCCGGCGCACCTCCCCAGTCGACCTCACTCTTCGCGCAAGTCTCCATCCAACGCGTCCAAGAACCAATGTGTCCCGAATCGCGTGCAGAACAATTTCTCGTCCTTTGCCAAATATTGTAAGTCTACCAGCACCTTTGTTATCCGGACAAATATCTATTGAGATAACTACCAGGTGGATTGTGCTCATCGCTCCATTCTTGACACCCCCAATCACCACTCTCGCCCTCTCGTGCGTACTAAGCTTCTCATATCTACGGCTGGAAGACGGCTCACACTTCCACAGACTTATCGGCACGGGAGTCCTCTCTGGCGCAAGCCGTCCTCACCTAAGCGCTGCCTCCATTGCACTCTCCAGCATCCTTGGTGGACTCTTCGTCTCCACAATCATCGTCGCCCTTATTCTATTCTCTGGCGCTGTTTATCCCGAGCTTATCATAAGCTTCTCCCCCTTCGGCCTGGCAGTAGCCAGGAACGCGCTCAACATCTTCGCCATGTCGGTCCCCGTTATATGCGTCGGCTCCTCATTCCTCCTCGGACTCCAGTCCACCGGACATCCCATCGTTAAGGAATATTTCAGTGGCCAGAGTGTCCTTCTTGCTCTCGAAGCGACTCTCGTGGGATGCGCAGTGCTCCTCTGCTTGCAGATCCTTGGCCGTCTGGTTTGCTGCCTCTTCATTCCCTTTCAAACAGTGCCGAGGTTCCTATTCGCCAGTTTCATCGGTGGAAAGGACCAGTGGAGGACATTTCGCCCAAAGCCCTTGAGGGAGCAAGAGGTGAGGGTTGAGTCGGGTGGGAGCTCTCAATTTTTGCCTTCGAAAGGGGTAGCTTCATCCGTTGATATGATTGCATGAAGCTCGACGATGGCAAGTGGTATGGATTCGTTGTTGTCGTTTAACTGCTAATTAACCTTCTTTGTCCGCCTACGGTAGGTATAGGACTCACGGGTATCCTGCTCCACCCGTTCTAATGGTGTCCGTTATCGTTGTCTCCTCGTCCTCGTATCGACCTGTTTCCACGATATTTAAATGACAGTAGAACCAGTGCTTATCGAACATTCTATTTGTGCTTGACATCATCTTGAATCCATCGTCGCGTGTGCTGTGGAGGGCCATCCCGCCTTGTATGTCATTTTTGAGAAGCGGCCACTCTCTAGCTATCACTTGTAGAATCGAATACCTCATATTTTAGAGCTTCGGGAATCGTTAATACATACAAAACGATTGCGCCCCAGGGAGAAAAGATGATGGCTCTGTAACGGGCTTCCAGCTTGTTTGTGCTTGATCTTTCTACCCACGACCTGGTTCACAGGACATTAAACTGCATGCCACTTCATTTGGCCAGAGTGGCGCACGTTGCTTTTTGGGACGGTTCATTTCCTTGGCTCACTTGCCATCCTCATCACTAATGTAGATCGTTGTCTGTCATTTGAAGGCCTTTTCTCAAGGCACTGCATAAATTATACGTGGAGCAAGATGCTGTTTGCACAGTGGTGCATACGACGGGAGGACGGAAGGCCTAATCGAGCTGCAGCTCGAGCCGTGCAAATACCTTCTACGGAGGTGAGTAGACTCTTCGACAGTTTCCCTCAGGAGGACGAGGTCTTACGGTACTAAATTCTTGAAAAACTGCCGTTGAAGTGTCATCAGGCTGACGTAACCCACGGCAAGACTTGCCAAAACCAATATTTAACGCCGCGTTTTCTGCCGTATATAATATTCATCTGACTCGCATGAAGTTCACGTTAACTTTTACCTTTACGCTGGACGCTCGCCCTCGTCATGTCCCCCGTCGAACACAGCCCAAGGAGGAGGCCAATAGGTCTCGAATGGCGCTCCTCCTCGTGGGTGATCACAGCCGTCATTGGATTAGGTATGCACCTTCGAAATAAGGATTTATATCGACTGAACGCAGTCGAAATTAGGCATCGCCGTAGATCTACTCGTCTATTCGATCATCATTCCTATAATGCCATTCCAGCTCGAACTGCTAGGGCATTCCAACGTATCTGCGCTGACCGGGTGGTTACTTTTCGCATATGTGCGTTCCGTTTCTTTTATGCATTCTGCGACTCAAGGCTGAATCTAATTTTCGGAAGTCTGGGGGGTTGGCTCTCTGTAGGTGTCAAATTTCGATTACCCATTAGGCCGATCTCACCGTAGAGCGAACAGCTACCATACCGATCGCCATGCTATCTGAACGCTACAAGGCCCGACAAATGCCCTTAATTTTCGGCTTGTTTGTTCTCATCGCCTCGCAAGTCCTGCTTATGGAAGCACCGAATTATCCTGTAATGTGTGTTGCGCGCTTCTTTCAGGGAGCTGGCTCCGCCATGGTTTGGGTAGTTGGACTAGCACTTCTGTGAGTGTTCGTCTTGTCATCACATTTCCTCCCCTTCGTAATTGCGCCACTTGCAGATGCGACTCTTCTCCTCCCTCTATGGTTGCTTGTAAGTCTTTCTTAAATTTTCATATAGCCAGACTAACGAGACGTCCTCTAGCACAATTAGGGTTCGCGATGATGGGCATGTCGTTAGGGTGAGTGGGCCTGCGGCTGAGATTCTGTGTCGCAGACTCACTAGAATAGGAATGTGGTGGGTCCTCCTGTGGGCGGCCTTCTGTACAGTCGTTTCGGCTTCCGGGGACCGTTCGTCTTTGGCATCGCCGCCACAGTTCTGGATCTAATCGGTCGACTGATCATTATCGAACGTAAGGAAGCCCTACTATGGGGTGTTGATCCAGCAAGAGTGGCAGACGTCGTGCAGGAATCGGACCATTCACCTTCGCCGCCAATATCTGAGGCGGAAGTGGACGTACAAGCTCAAGTGCTTCCGCCCTCTGATGTCGAAGCTCGCAAGGATGAAGCCACTACAAAAGAATCCACGCCGTCTCCTGTCGCCGAAGAGAATCCTCCCGTGAAACATCTTTCATCGCTTGCGGTCGTGGCCAAACTAGCAACTTCCTCGAGAGCGGCGGTTGCTTTGATCATCATTTTCGTCACTGGGTAAGTGGTGACCCTTCGTGGTGAACGATCGCGCCTCCCATACACGTAAAATAATGTTGCAGGATCGTATATGCTAGCCAAGAGCCAGCAATCCCGGTCCACCTCCAACGGGTCTGGGGTCTTAATCCCCGGACTGTCGGCATTGTATTTGTTGCTGCTGTCCTCCCCACTATTTTCTGTAAGTATCGATGACTTTTCCCGCAGTGTTGATCCTGACGTCATTATTATAGCCGCTCCCCTAACCGGGTACCTCACCGATAAGAACGGAGCTGAATGGCCGACGACGCTCACTTTGCTGTTGGCTCTTCCCTGGTGGGGAGTCATCATTATAGAATACAAATTGGCGCTCTTCATCGTAGCCTTTGCGCTTGAATGTCAGTTGCATTTTGACTGGAATTTCTGCGACGGAAGCTCTAACCTTCGTCCCATAGCGTTCTTCACATCGGGCGTCGTGTCTCCTTTGACGGCTGAATTAGCGGCCGTATCTGGCGACTTAGACGGCATAGGCTGTAAGATTTTATAGGAACATTGAAACAGAATTCTCTCCTGATAAATTTGTTTTCCAGATGCCCATGTCTACGGCGCCTTCACCCTTGTGTACGGCATCGGGACTGCAGGTTCGTCAGTTTTCCCTTCCGGTGCGCTATGGTTCTCATTTCGTGAAAAGTTGGGCCCATCGTCGGCGGTCAAGTGAGTGCCAATTTTCACTGTCAGTGCGTTGAAACGCTGATTAAAATACTCGGAAGATGTTCGATCACCTTGACCGTGGTTGGATGGCATTATGTCTTCTTATTGTAGGGCTTTTGGTGGCGTGCCTTGGTCTTGCGATTATCTTCGTTGGGACAAACCCCCTTGTGTATCGCCTACGACGCCGAGGGCAACTCACAACTTCACCATGAATTCCACCGTTTCAAGCCTACAAACGCTACTTCATGTACTCTAGCATCGAGTCCTCTCATCTCTTCCAACCCCATCAGCATTGCAACATCATTCATAACGGACTCCTCAAAATACAACCCTGACTATCGCACCCCTTCTCATCCCGTATGTACTCTACGATAGAAAGAAACGCGCGAAGTTGGGCAGCGTAGATAAGATTAGATCGCCTATTAGAACATATAAATCTCCGACCAATGCGCCAACTTTTTCCGTATACATTTCGCTGACCTTGTCAACGACCAAACAATCAGACTTCTTGGCTGCTGTCAAGAAACAGGTGATGGAAAGACGCAGTGACTGAAGTTGCGCGCCTCTGAAGGGATCCTAGATCATTCTTCTGCAGGGTTTGAGTCGGTTTCCACCTAGGCAAGTATGAAATGCTCGGATAGGCATGTTCATCGATCGCAGTTGCATGAATAGTCTGCACTCACACCGCGTCCTAGTAGGCCGTAACAGTTCCCAGATTCATCCGGACTTTGTGGCCCCGTAGTCAGCCTCCTGGTTCGATATCGTATCCGCCAGGCCTTGATCATATCACACCCCGCAGCTTTATGGCGCAACCCAGGAATGGTTCCTTTCCGCCTCCACTGTGCTTGTTCCATATAGTTCCTCGCCATCGTTCTCGGGATGGCACAAGAGGGCCTCGCGCCCGACAGATACGCCAACCTGATCCGGTCCGACTTCTGGTTCTGCGATGGCAACATCGTTATCGTCGCTGGGCGCGCGGCTTTCAAAGTCCATCGGGGTCAACTTGAGCGACATTCCGAAGTCTTTAGCGACCTTTTCTCTGTGCCCCAACCGAAGGATCAGGAACTAGTTGATGATTGTGGAGTTGTCGAGCTTCAGGATTGTCCGTCCGATGTTTTCTATTTTCTGAGTGCTCTCTACGACGGCTTGTGAGCGTTTGCCCTTCAGTCAACCCTATCATACACTTACCACTTGTTCCAGATACTTCAAGAAATCCCGTGCATCCGACTTTCCTGTTATCGCCGCTATCCTTCGTCTTTCCACAAAATACCTTGTCGACCATCTTCGCCAACGATGCATTGCCCGTTTAGACGCAGACTGGTCGCTGACTCTTGCTGAATGGGATCTTCGGGAGCAACGATGCACAGACGAGAACGGAAGGTATATACCACGCGACCACTGCGCCCACCCCATCCTCGTCATCGAGCTTGCCCTCGACATGAACCTACCCTCTATCCTCCCCGCCGCTCTATACGACTTATCAAGATACGGCCCAAGCAAAATCATGGCTGGCTGCTCGTATCCGACAACGACCTACGACCGTCTGGTTAGTCAACTCACCGCGGCGCCTCTACCGCTAGAGCGGTCGGTCAACCTTTCTCGCGACCTCCTCTGCCGAACCCTTCGTGGACGTGAAGCTACGCAGCGGTACATGGCGGGGTTCATTGCTCGAGAGCTCCACTGCCGCGCGCCAGCGACGGACTGTCTCAACCGGATGGAGAAGGAGAACCCGAGTCGCCAGTGTCACGAATCGTTCTACTTCATCATGCTGAACATCTTGCGTTCGGTCGGCGGGATCGCCTGCGGCCGCGACGCGGATCCGCTTTACACCCTTGTTCAGGCAACGGAGATGCTCACAAGGACCGACTTCTCGGATGGACAACGTCAGTGCGGGTTGAAACTTTGCAAGGCTTGCAAGGCTGACTTTGCAGCGTCGGCGTCGAAGGCGAGGGAGGAGGTTTGGTTGATGCTGCCGCAATGGTTTGGTCTGGTCGATGGCGAGACGCCGACTTCGGTGCTTGACTTGGACTGATGTTTTCGTTTTTTTCCTGTACTTGATTTTATGATTTCCTTGCTTTCTCTTAGCATAGCACTTGCTTTCGTATTTAATGGGTTTGGGTTCTTGCTCGCGTTCAAGTTCGTTTCATGGCAAAAACCTATCTTCAAGCAAACTCAAAGGTGGTCTTGATGCAGCTCAATCATACCTGAAACGACTCAGATGCACCAGGAACAAGGTACGATATCTCCAGATGACGGGTCGCTCTGTCATCTGTAGATATCGTACTTTGTTCCCGTTGACTCATTCGCAAGAACGTAAAAATGATATCAGTGCTTAGGCTCTACGAGTGTTGGTACACCTTACGCTTCCAGGTCGAATTCGCGCCAGTCGCCAGAAGTATCGTCTTCGTCGACGAAGTTTTGAGGTAGAGCAACGCCGTTGCGGACGAATACGTAAACTGAACCGGTGGTGGGACGCAAAGAAGGATCGGGCTTCCAGCATTTCTCGGCGAGAATCCAGTGGTCGTTGGCGATGCCCTTCGGTCGTGCCGGACGCCGTCCATCGAGGATGGACATCATCGCCATATGATTATTCGATTCGGGAAATGGTACCGATCCGCTATAAGTCTGGATATTGACACAAACGTCAATTAAGGACGAGTATGAGCAAGAAAGGGACTCGACCTCGTATATGACCATCCCAAATGCAAATATATCACTCGCAAAAGTCGGTTTCGCGTTGATCTTGCCCCATGCCTCTGGAAGGAGGAGCTCCGGAGCCATCCACCGCGCGCTACCCACTCCTGAGCGGCTGCAAGTTATATGCAACGTATTCGGTACTGTCAAGAGGTTGTTTGAAGTCGGAGGAGTATACGGAGAGTGTCCGAGACTTCCTTCCTTTGTCTTCTCGAACTTGCTGGAGGAGAATGACAGTCCGAAGTCGGCGATATAGGCTTTTCCGCCCTTGTCTATCAGAATGTTGGCCTGGAAGAAGATTACAATACTAAAGAAGGAGGATATATTGAAACACCTACAGCCTTCAAGTCGCCATGTACGATATCCAACGAACCTAAGTGATGAATCCCTTCCGCAACTTGCACGACCTGAGTCGTTCAAGAGTAAGTTTAACGAAGCGATGACGGTGTCGTTGGAGCCATACCAAAGACCGCCTACAGGCTTTTGTGTTTGCTTGGACGAATTCCAGCAAGGTACCATTCTCCATCCATGGCGTTATGATGCAAGGCATACCCTTGTGGGAAGATACGGCAAGCACCTCGAGAATGCGGGGATGTCGGAGAATTTTCATGATTGAAATTTCGCGTTTGAAGCGCTGCAAATACACGCATGAACGAAAGTTCGACAACGGAAGTGCTCCAGACACCAGACACCACTTACTCTATTCGTAGCTTCGTTTTTTCGTACACTCGCAGCGCCTTGATGGCAACACGGCGACCTGCGAGCTCTCCACAATACACATCGGCAGAGCCACCAGAACACCAGAATGTTGCAGTTGATGAGATTTCCGACATTTCTAACGGCTGAATGAGATCTTCTGTGGAAGGTATGAGAACAAGGACCGGATTTATGCTACAAAGTTTCTGAAATACCGGTGGCAGTCAGCTCTGAGTCGTCAGAGAGATACTGAATTCTGGTGGTCGCCCTTGTAGTCGGAGTCGCGACGAGATTGAGGACCAGAGAACAGAAATTGGCCACGCCCACGACGAGGGATTTGACGGGCATGGCAATTATCTAGGGGCAGTAGTGGAGGATCCCTTCGTTGTTGTGACAGCCGGCGTCCATTTTATACCCAGCCTTTCGAGTTCAACAACAGACTTCGAGGCACGATGCGGATGAGGATCACACCATCAACGCATGCACACCTTTTAGAAAAATAATATAATATTAGCGTCGGAAATACAAATAGGTGCCGTTACCTATCCCCTTTATGAATAAAATCGTAGCATGCCTTCCCAGCATCCTTCCCAATCATCGCCTGAACCTGCGTCAAGCTCAAGCAGCAGAGTTCACGGACATTCTCCACTTGGTTCATCACTTTCTTTACATTGCTCGCTGTGATACCTGGGATGCATCGAAGGAGCTCCTCCGCCGCTGTATTCACACCGGCACCTGCGTCCGGGTCATTATCAGCACCAATGCCAATGGCCTTCACAGGGTCGGGTTCGGCATTGTTAAGCTTGAGGTCATTGAAGACATCGGCCGTTGCGTAGGGGGATGAAGACCAGATTATGCGAACGCGGGGGAAAGTCAGTGTAAGAAGGACAATCTTCGATTGCAGCGTTGTCGAGGAATATGTTGGCTTGTCCGAGGGTGGGCCAGCTTGTTTCTTTGGTGGGTACTTGTTTGCCTTTCCATACGTTTTCATCTCTGTGATAATCTGCGGTCCAACTCAGTATCCACCTGAGCGGATGCAATAAATCGGCAACTCACGTCGAGGGTAAAGGCTTTATCTTCTTCGAACTCGATCAAGAGGATCGGAAATTTGTAGTAGGCACACATTAGTTCGCATTGAGTATATCTAAAATAAATAGTATTCAACTTCAGTGTCGCATTAAGGAAGGCCGGACTCACAACCGACCACTGTTGAAGCTAGAAATCAAGTCGGATAAGCTCTTGCGCTCGACGCAGATATCCGGTGTCAAGATATAGTCGCCGACAGTTAGTGTGGCAGGAATCACAAGTAACCGGGCTGCATGCAGCAGCGATGGCAGTGTCGAGCGAAATTCTCGCATATCGACGATTACCTGTCAAGATATCAGTTGCAGTTCATTGCACCATTCATTGTGGCGAATACCCTCGACGGTTCCATATTCAACTCGCGTCTTCCTCCTGCTACTCGCGAGCTGATAGTCTTGATGAGTGCATCATTGGCGCTAGATCCTTCTCTTCGGTCTTCCACGAGAGTTATCAGCATAGACTGCAAGAGTATTTCAAGTTAGCTCGAGTAACAAGCAAGGAAAACTGATGAGGCGCACCCCTCGTTCTTTGATCAGTCTTTCAAAGGAGTTTTTCTCCTTTCTGATTGCGGCGAGGTACTTGTGCTCCTCGCACGAATCATGGTACACCATATGGTATACTCGTACTGCTAACCCCGGATTAGAGCTTTTGTAAACCTATTTGTGGAGTATGAGAAGGCTTGAGAACGGTTGTAGAAACGTGGAGCAAAGACTCACCTCGATGCGACGTACGAAGTCCATGTCCGGCTCAAACATGACGATGAACTTTGGCTTTATCTCGCTTAACATCCTGTCATCAGTGTCGTCGGAGTAGGCACGAATAAGGACAGTCTGCTGAGGAGGGAGCAAGCCGTAATTGTCGTCGAAGTCGCTTGCCAAAGTATCCGACCCAAAATCCGGGAGGGTCATTGGGTCGTCGAGTAGTTCCAATGGCTGTCCAGAGTGCAGGGCTTCTTCGTTGGATTTCCAGCTATGAAAAGGAACTTAGCAAAAGTTAATATCGTCCAAAAGAGCAGAAGGGCTTACAATTCAACGAATCCATCCTCCTCGTACCTCATCTCTTGGAGCTTGAACTCTTTTGGTTCTGGCTTCACCACAGCCTCGCCTCGGGTGCCAGTGGCCCCACTTGGCCCGCCGCCACGGACACGCCGTCGACTTTGAGCCCTCTGTGCCTTTTCCTTATCCTTCTTCTGCAACGCCTCACTAAGCTCCTCTCTATCGCCACTCCCGTAGGGCTTGTCCGCTCCACGCTGGTTTCCATCGAGCATCCCGAAGGAGGCCTTGCCATCTCCTTTGCTGAGCTCGCCTTTCCACCACAAATACAGCCGAAGCTTCCGTAGCATCATCGCCTGGGCTCGTGTGCCAGGCGGTGCGGCGTGGTTCATCGATGCGAGGAATTCTGTTAGAAGGCTGCAATTCCTTGTCGACGAGGTCATCACCAGAATGGTATCGTTCGAGCTGGATGAAGCTAGGAGAACGTTAGCCAGGCACGCATTTAGAGACAACGAGGTGACATACGAAGTGCTCCAGATTTCTTCAGGCTTTCTTGCCTGATCATCTCTCCCTCCGCTTCAAGTAAGATTTCAGACAGGAGGTTCCACTTGGGAAGCTCTTCGAGAATAGGTTCCAGGCCATCTGGAAGCCAGCTCGGCCGACCATCCTTCTCCTTCCTTTTTCCTTGGTCTGGAATCTTTGTCAGTCCCTCTGCCTCGTCCAACGCCGCCCATGCATCCTCGTCCTCCGTCAAGTCAATGACTGGCTTCGGAGCCTTGGACGTCGACGTGATGAGGTAACATCGCCGTTTCGCTGCTTCGAAGATCATGTTGGCGGCGTCGGTAAGCATCCACGGCGAGTGATGTTGCTTTGCACCTCCATTGGAGCCAACGTTGTCGGCGGCGATGAGAGTCTCAAGATAGGCGTGGAACTGGAGGGCGTCGTATGTGAGGAGGTAACTATCTCAAATGGTCGTTAAGGCGAGCCCACTGAGAGTTAGGATACCTACTATAGTAGTCTTCGCAAGGTGCCCAAGTCGTTGACGAGTTGCTTCGTTTTGGGACCAACTTTGTGCCACACAGAATCCAGCTGGCGGCGAACAACGATTTCAAAGGAACGGAAGTAGGCATTCTCGACGTTCAAGTCGTCCAAGTCGAGAGTCGTGTTCGATCGTTTGAGCTCAGACAAGGTGATCGTCATGCACTGGATGATGGCGTGGTGGATATCGGCCATAGGTTCCGTCATATTTTGCGACAGTTCCACGATGTCCGCTCGTCGACGCTCCAACGATTTCTTAATTTCCTCGTGAAACCTGGGAAGTGTAAGAGACGCCTGGTGGAAGTGATTGGATGCCTACCGTGGATAAATGTGAACATTCCGAAGTTGCAGCTCTTTCATTATGTTCTTCAGCGGCGACATGCCACTGGTAATGTGCTCAGGTTGATCAGTGAACGCCTTGACGAAGCCCTTCTTGTTCTTCTCGCGATACAGTCGAACGATGAAGGCCTCTAGAACCAGTGGTGTCACTCTGAACAATGATAAGTTCCAAACACGGTGTCAGAGCAGAGCTCTCACTTCTCGGCATGAAGGACGAGCATTCCAGTGACGAGTTCAGTCGGTATATCCGACTGGAGCATATCAACAACGAGGATACGCGAGGTGACGGAGATTATGCCACCTTGCTTGTAAAGATTCTGTCTGTTCGCGTCCAACGTTACTTCAGAAAAGAAACATATGGGTGTGGGCTATCCGCACCTGTCTTTACTCGCAGTCTCGTAACCAACAACACGCAAGCCTGGCCGTCGACATCCCATGATACCTAGTTCCTCGCCAATAGCAGATTCTTCCTCCGGTGTTGCATTTACGAGAAGCACAAGGTTCTGAGGCGAATCGTAAATCTTCATGAGGGTGCATACAATTTTCCTGAGGCCCAGTCCTCTCGCAAGGATGAGCAAATCGCTTGTGGCAGGGTCATGAATCCTCTCAATAATTGACTTGTGAAACGAGAGCAGTGCAGTCATCCTCCCGCTGTTGTGTCGTTTCTGTTCGTAGTCGTTGATGTAATAGATATTCCTTGGAGTTTCCAGATAGATACATGCGCCTCAAAGTGTGGTCATTCCATGAAGACGAAAGTGAATGAACGTCGTGGTCGAAAGTCAAGATGCTGCGGCACAGCCACCGTTTAATCTTCTTCACAAACCACGACCTTCTCATTACCTCTGAGGGCACCTAACGCCATTCTGGACAATGGGGAAGCTCAATATCGCCCACCACAAGTCGTACCACCCGTACAGGAGAGATAACATCGAAAAAGTCCGACGCGATGAAGAAGAAGCACGGCAGAAGGAAGCAAAAGAAGAGGGTCGAATGTTGCTTGCAGTGCGTGCATTTCTCGTCCTCGCGATGATAAGTAGTGAAGTATAACTTAGGATGCAGAGGCTCGCATAGACCTTCTAAGAGATCGTGCTGGGATTGACCAACCTGAAAAGAAGAAGAAACGAAGAGATGACGACGATATGAAGCGCATTGCTTCGAGCAGCTCTATGCAGGCTGCTGTTCTACCCACTACGAACGGCCATATCAACCTATTTGAGGACCTAGAGCATGTTTGTTTTCTCTTTTCTCCTGTGTGCTCCGTATATTGATATCCTCCCAGACACAACAGGCTATTGCAGCTGCCATTAGGGCGTCGAAAAAGACGGGGCCAGCTGAAACTGAGAAAGGTGTGCCTCTGGCCCCTTCTGCGAAAGACTTGAAACCATGGTATTCGGAAAGAACCCAAGATCGAGTTGAGGAAGTAGAAGAGAAGAGGTAATTCCCCAGCAACGCTTTGCTGTACGAATGCCCACTTCTGAACCGTTTAGGAGACGAGAGGAGTTTCGCAAATCCGCTCATGACCCTCTAACATCAATCACGAAGCAGCTCGCCTCTCGGCCATCCGGCTCAACATCTTCATCCTCAAGGCCCTCTCGCTCGTCTTCTTTCAGTTCAATATCAGGCAAACCGGTAGAAGTCCAAGCTCGTCTATCAAGAGAAACCACCGAACGAGAACGTGCTCTCGAGTTGATACGGCGAAAGAAACGCGAAATGGAAGGCAATGCCACACCGAGCACCGTCTGTGGTGACTCGGCCAGTGGGTACGGGGATGTTTATAATCGGAGAGAAGTCGAGGAGGCTCATCGACACCGAGACAAACGGTGGGATGGAGGCCATCAACGTTGGAACGATGAAGACCGGAGGCGTAGACCGAGGCAGTGGTGATTTCTTGCCTATCACGTTCTGTCACTCGTCTCCTTTATTCACGGACTGGTGTTGTGCACTGACGTTGTTTTTGCATTATATGTAGATACAAGTGTATTATATGCACTGTGCTGCTCTTGTCGGTTTTGAAACCTCCATCTATCCAGGTCCAGGAAACGTCAAGGCAATACCAAGGCAAGAGCAGAAGAAGGTCCAGCTGCTGCTCAACCGTCTCTCTATGCTCTGCCCGGCGTGCATGAGCCTCTGTCCCGTAACATCTTCATCTTGATGCACACTGCTTCTCTGCTCTAACCTGATCCTTCGCCTAACCCACGTAAACGTCGACGTCCGTCGTGGCTATCTCAACATCTCAATACCAACTTTCAGCGTCGCCATTACTCCGTTCAGCGTTATGAAAGAAAGGGTGGTGATTCAGAGCAGATAATTTTGAGTGTGTTTGAAGACAAGTGCCCTCAACTTGCGATACAACTTTACATAACAAGTTGGATGTGCATACGGTGTGAGTGGTGAGTTCTATTTGTATTTGTACTCCGGGTCCGGTTCATTTCTTTTCCGTCGCACAGCCACCGAACTTTTGCTTTGCTGTCGTCAGTCGCATGGACCATGATGACTTGGACATCGACCCCTCTTTCAGACGCTCGCCATCTCAAGAGGAGAGCTTCCTGACATTTTGCAATGTCTTTGAACGTGCTCAGATGCCTTCCTCGCACCGTCAAGGCCAACCGTGCAAGACTTTTCTCGACGACACCCCCACCGCCCCATCCGAAGCACTGGCGACCAGCGACAACGTTCGCGGCAGTAGCAGTCGCTTCTGTCGTCGCAGGAACTCTAGGGGCACTGTTTCCGCCGCCTCCGTTGTCGATCCTCTTCCCTCGACCGGCACCTGGACCTCCTGAGCCTGACACTCCAGAGTCAAAGTCCTACTGCGAGAGTATCGAGGAGAACCTGCAGAACCTACCCCTTCTGAAGGAGCTTCGCGCGTCGGCCGATGCCAAGGGCTGGTACGAAACACGGCCGTATCAAGGTTTCCCTGAAGAGAGACGCGTCAACAGCTTGTCTGCAGGAACCCTGCGTGGACCCGGGAAGTTTGCGATAACGCCCTTGATTCGGGCGAAGCATGATGAGACGGAGAGTATCGTGTTTGTGCATCTCGGGAGGGCGCTGTGTGGGCACGATGGGATCGTGCATGGAGGGCTGTTGGCAACGCTTTTGGACGAGACACTTGCTAGAACAGTGCGTATGCTTCTTGTTGGTTCTCGATCCTTGTTCATCTTATCATAGGCGGTTAACAACCTGCCCGAGAAAGTTGGTGTAACGGCAACACTTTCACTCAATTATCGGGCGCCCACAATGGCTGATCAGGTGTGTCGCGCTCAACCGCCTTCTCCCATTCATATCTCTAACTAGTCACCTCCTACATCAGTTTGTGATTGTCCGGACAAGAATCGGAGAAGTCAAAGGACGCAAGGCGAACGTGACAGGCCAAGTGGAAGACATGAAGGGCACCGTGCTTGTCGAAGCCTCCGCCATGTTCGTCCAACCGCGTTACGCGAAACTGTTGCACAGCGCCCAACTGCGCAAGGCGATGGGTGAGCCTCCGGAGAGGAAAGATGGCCACGACGAACCAGTCCTACTCGCGGATGGGCAAGACCTCAATCCTGGCCACAAGCATCTCTAGAAGAGCCTTCGGCTGACCTACAAATGATTGGTGGCATCCTTCAGTTGTTGGTGGGAAGGGTAGGTGTTGGGATGGATAGAGATAGAAATAGGACGGAAGTGGGCATGGTATCATGATCATGGAAGGTGTGTTCGCGTCACCTAGATGTATTGTACATAGAGAGCTCTCTTAGACGGTATCTTGTTTCGGTGTCTTTCGCTGGAATGGTGGCTTTGGCTCATAAATACGCCAGTGGGACCGCCTATTTACCTGTAACGGGTTTCACGGTCATGAAGTCGAGCGATGTTGGAAATCTGAAACTAAAAATACTTCAACGTCTTCCTGGATTCTGACGTATGTGATCCGAGGTGGTAATAACGAAACGATTTGCTTGCGATGAACATCCAGGGTTCAACGCACCTTCTGCTGACGGCATGTCGATTGGAAAACTTTTGAGCGTTCCGTTATAGTGAGTGTGTTGGTAGAAACTACGAGCGCTTGATCGGCTTGCGGGTGCTGATGGCAATTTAGCGCCCAACCCAACATTCGCCTTCCAGCTTCTCGACTGACAACGCAAAACAACGTATACTCAGGCTGCGCGTTGTCGTCGATACGCGATACAACTGTGTTATGACTGGATGATCCCGTAGTGGGAGTGCGACTCATTCTCAGGAATCAGGCCTCAGGTCTGCATATCCGGGCATACAGGGCGTTTCACTGACATCTCCAAAGTCGTCTATCTTCTTGGGCGTTCTCTTAGCTCGGTTATCATGTGCAGATATCTGGGCTGCTCAAGTGATCATGATGAGGCGAAGTGTTGATACTTGAAAGCTTGACTTTCTAGTAAGGGCAGGAGGGGTAAGGAAGGGAGGACAGGGAGGGCTTGTGGATGATATTGATACAGCGATAAGAAAGAAGAAATTGATTATCGGTGCAGTTCGGTGCATGGGGCAGGAGAACGTGGGTCTCTTCTGTAGTAGGTGATCATCATACGAAGCCCAACAAGATGTTTGTGATCTTCAGCTATCATTTGTGGACGAACATTCAATATTCCGTTCAGAGGAAACAGCACCTCCTTCGCGGAGGCGTTCACTTCTGAGGGGGTCCTTCATTCTTCATTGAAACTATGTCATCAGGTAAATAATAGTATCTTGTTAGCAACTCCTCATTGGGTCAACGACTATTTAGACGTTCCTTTGGCTTTGACGCGGGATGCCCGATGCAATCAAACTTGGGGTGTGTGGCGGTACCGTCGCATGTGTGATCGCCAGGATGCTCAGTGCTGAGATTTGAGGCCTGAGGACTGAATCCGACTGATTGTGTCGGTTGTCGTTGTTTTAGGGAATATGTACAAAGAGCGCATCACCATCGAGCTTTCAAAATAAGCAGGTACCAGCACTGGCGTCGTCATGTACCCTGCTTGTGCATCCTTGGAGCTCGGGCTCAGGCAGTGGAACGAAATTATCCTAGGACGAACATTATATTCAAATTATCTTCCCTCTATTTATTTTTCATCGCACACCCGCGGTGATAACTGCGTTCCCAAACAGCCAAGAAAGGGATCGCGTAGCGTCTGTGTCAGAGGCGGCCTCGGGTGGAACCCAGGTTTACAGATACCTCGAGACGCGAGGTGTAGAATCACCTTTTCTATTCTTAGTATCCAACGGGAATGATAGCGGTGAGACCAGTTTCGGCTGTACGCCTGCTGGTCGAGGAGGATGTAGTCGCACTTGAATCTCGCGTCGCCAAAGCTTCAATTTGAGTCCGGAATAGAGTTTATAGAGTGAGTGGGAGAAGACTTGTCGCATTTGTCTTTCCCTGAGACGCAGAATCTGCTATTGAAGTCTCCAATGTCACTGTAGGAGCAAACTTAAGGCGAGTGCTGCTGCTGATAGTAGCATCTTCCAGACGGTTACACTGCGAGAGAGAAAACAAGGCAAATGCCCGCATGCACGTCCAGAGTTCTCTTCCTTATAGCGTACCGTCCATTCAACGATGTCGCTGTCTATAAGCGTGTCTTCCAGGTTCTAAGGTGATCTGTGAAAGATAATCACTCACTACCACTCATCAGTCGGAAACGAGCTGGGTTTTGGAGCCCATATGTTCCGTCACATTCGAGCAGATAAGCTCATTATATGTTTGATAAGATGCGCCACGTACGTTTCAAAAATGGCGCATAAAATCTTACAGTGCAAGAGGAATAAGGACGAGAAAGGGCGGATGCGGAGTCTGGTCGATGACTCTATGACGTCGAATTCAACGATGTGCGGAGGACAATTAAAAGCAATCGCCATGACCGACCGCCGCAAACATCATTGAATTTCAAAATGGGCGGGCCGCGGGACGATTGGGGCTTGTGTCGATCGCTGATCAGGCGGAACCCGTGCGGCGTCCGGGGCACATGGGCCTGGAACGTCGACTCCTGAGGACACAAATGAAGGTGTTCCTGTGCATCTACCTGGTGACGAGCTCCAGACGTCCAGGAATTCAGATATAATATTATTCAGAGATGATACGGTCTACAGTGCACTAAAGTTTAATAGAGTGACATTGACGGATTGGGTTTCGGTGCCAGTCTCCAGATGCAGAATCCAGATGGAGCGCTTGCCAAAGGAAGTAAAGGTGCCAGCGATAAGAATTTTTTTTGGCAAAAAGTAGCGGAGTAACGGGTGAATTCAGACCAAGAGTTGGATTGTTATTTGACGGTAATGAGGACGAGTTCTGGTGCGCGAGAGACAGAGATCAAAATCAGAAATTGGTACTTTCCAATTTTGGAAGATCAAATTGATGCTATCAGTGATCGCCTTTCGAGGGGGTCTTTGGAGCACAAAAGACGAAACACACAAAATACCTGGTTTTTATTCTCTGAAAAGTAATTTGGAGTGCACATAGAGAAGAATGATCCAGTAATAGGGTTTATTGACCCACAAATGCGCCAGCAGAATGGCCGCTTAGTGGATTACACACATGTTAGATACAGAGGTGCTTGCCAAGCAGCGGATTGTTTGGGCTCCTATCTTTCTCCTCGAAGCGCTCGCCATCAATTTCATCAAGGAACAGCTTGACACGCTCTCAATTTCTCAGAGGCGGCGACAGCCTGGTGGCCATTGACTCAGCGGCTCCTGGGCCCGCGAACGACACTAGTTTGCCAGCAGAATAAAGGTCGGGCTTTGAGGTGTGCCGAGTGGAAGAGGCGTCCTCAAGATGGAGAGAATATACTACGTCTCTCCATGGCACTGTCTCAGGTTGATCTTGCGCTTAAACGGACCGAGATGGCCCACTTGGAGTCTGGAAGACATATGGTACCTGTGATCCGATCTGGGGAGCGGGGGATGGCAGGCATGATGGACGCAATTCGTGGTTTATCCCTGGAAACCTGATTGTCCGGATGCGCCAACTAAACATTCGCTTCCCGCACCAACACCATATTTCGCGGGAATATCATTTCCTTGCCTTTTACAAGTCTCCTCTGCACACAGCGCACTTTTTACTTCTATTTCTGGTTCCCAGCAACATCGAGTTCTACTTCGGTCATGGTGATGGCATCTCCTGACCCCCAACGCGGCCGGCGAAGCCAGTTTTTTGGTCCTACTCGGAAACTTTCGCAGGTTTTTGGCAGATCCCTCTCCCCTGGTCCGAGTGGAGGCCCTCCAAGCTCGTTATCAGCCAACGATTCCGTTCCCGATAACTCTTCATCATATAAACCCAATCATCTTCGCGCTTCATCCCACTCCCCGACCGCCAGTACCTCCACCTCTCTGAAACAGGCGAAGAAGAGACAGAGTGTGTCGCCAGCTGTGGTCACAGGAATCCTCAACAGCATGTACGCACACCCCGCGAATCAACACATTGGCGCATCGCCTCAGTCGTCGAGAGAGGAAGGGGGGAAACTTAGGAGGATAATGTCGTCGGGAACAACGGAGACGATGGCTTGTGCGTATCTATATCTATCACAGGGTTCCCCTACTAACTCTGTTCTCCTTCAGCGCGCGCCTCGGGTGGCTCGCGCTCGTCGAGCAGCAGAAAGTCGACGAAGACTCTACAAACTTCGCCACTCAGCCGCTCACGTGTCATCAGCAACAATGCTATCCCTGTCGATCCTCGAGAACCGTCTTCTTCAGACGGCATCACCGCCAAGGGACAGAAGGCGCCATCTACCACGAGCTCAAATGACACTTCCGAGCTAGGATCTCTTCGCGTCGTCGGACGCGGTGGATCTGGCTCGCGCCCGCGCATTGTCGCTCCGCAGCCGGACAGCGCTGAATCACCTCCGCGCCAGGAGCAGCCTGCTACCTTCTACCGTCCTACCGGACGGGGTGGACTCGGATCGCGTCAACGGCCAATCAACCCCACCCCACCTCTCTTGAGTCTGCTACCGCTGCGCAAGAAGCAGAAGGGCAAAGAGAAGTCCAACAGTTTGGGGGTGCATCCCATCTCGCCCCACCTCGCGTACCAAATTACGAACGACGATACGAGCTCAACACTCAGCAGCCTTCATTTTACCGGCGAGACAGGCGAACCTGCGCCCAAGTTCTTCCCTTCGTCGCCTTCTCTCAAGACCTTTGGGAGCGACGTAGATACACCGCCGTTCTCCGCGACTTCTTCGACATTCGAGAGCATCTCCTCAATACCTTCAGAGACTGACTCCGACCTCCACTTTTATCAGGATGACCGTCCAAGAGCGTCCTCGGATGATCATCGTACAGGAAACATGAACAAGTTAGCACGTACCCTCGGCGATCTCCCCTCGGATTCGTTTTACGATGCCATGACGAAGGAACAGAAGAATCGGCTCCCAAAACTCACAATTGAAGATACGGACCCTGCGAAACCTAAGATCAAGATCTCCAAACGCTCAAGCCTCCATCTTTCTTCCATGTTTATTGGGCGTCCCGTGCGGATACGAGAATCGAGTGCGACGCTGTCGACCATGACGAATGCGGATCTGCATCAGCTAGGTCTCTCTGACCAAATCTCCGAATCATGGGGGGAGGTCGATGCCGAGTCCGTCCAGCGCAGTGAGTCCCCTGGCTCCCCCATAACTTTCGCCCCACCATCGCCTGCACCGCAAGGACCCACCACCGCCACGATGGCCACCTTGCAGAAATCGACAGCGGCTTCATCCCTGGATACGCCGTCGGTCGAGGACCCGGAGTCAGGCTCCGTCACGCCTCTGACCGAAACCCCCACAAGCATCTCGCGCTCTCATTCGTTCTCACACGATGACCGAGCGCGACGGAGGAGTGTCAACGGGCCCGGACACCCGTATTCTTCGTCGACGTCGTTGAGCGGCGTTACCAGCGCGCCGACAACACCTTTCACGACCGTGTTCCCAAACAAAGCGAATTGGCTCATCCCCCCGTCGCCTCAGGATGAGGAGGCGTTATTCGCGATTAAGGGCACCGCCCCCGACAAGCCTCAAGCTTGGACCGGCGAGTGGAACAGCGACATGCAGGACGTTATCAGGGCCCTCAGACACCTGCGATGATTCATTGGTTGCCCTGCCATTTTGCTTTACCTTGCTATTTTTCTTTTCGTTTCGGTCATCTGAGCTGTCTGATATCATTCTTGTCAGCACGAGTGCCGTGCTGAACATGGCGCTGCTGGCGTTCTACTCGGCGCATCACGCGCCTGTGTTGCGATCAGCAAGCGGCATGATTTTTCGCTCCTCAAATGTCATATCTTCTCCTTGGTCTCTTCTTGCATACACACGGTCCTACGCAGCCCCACTTCTCACTCTTATCGCGCTTATCTCTTCCCTCCGAGTATACGTGCTTTTGATTCTGTGTATTGGCCCCATGTCCTTCCTTGTTGGCTTTTCCATCTCTCCGAACACGTCCTCTTTTTTACTCGTTCTTCCGATATGTTGTTTCCCTTTCGTGCAAATGTCCAAGTTTCCTGTTCTCATCAGCTCTTCCTTTTGTTTTAAGATCTCATCCATAGGATGTGATCTTCACGATCATCACGAACCCTTAACTTACTCCCTTATACCACAAGCTACGAAAGCCGCCTGATGTTCTAATTTCATTTTCATAATGCAATGGCTCGGGAGACCGCGACTTAGGGGTTACAGTACATGTTCTCATAATGCATGACCTCATGTTGCATAATTCTAATAGTGCATGGACTTTTGACTAGAACTGACTCCGTACAGGGGGAAAATTGCATAATGCATAATGCATGAAGGCTCGGGCCAAGTTATGCATTATCAGTAGGGTCGTTTTCATCTAATCCACACTACATATCTATGCGATCGTGTTCGAGAATATTCTAAAAAGCACCGCGCATCCAACAAAACCGCCGGGGGAACCCACCACCCACATTCTGTCTTCCCATGCCTGCCAAACGTAACACAGACGAGCGCAAACGGAAAGTCCGAACCGAGCATGCCCCCTACAAACCGCGTAAGCCGCAGAAGGTCGTCCACCTCTTCCCCAACTCCAATCCGCAGAAGAAGACTTGATGAAAGTCGTTCAAGATTTGAAGGCACGAAGGAGGATCATTGGGGCTCCTCTCACGTTGGAGGAGATGCTGAACCCGGTTGGCGGTGACGAGATCGGAGAAAGGGAGTTTCATTTTGAGGATGATGATGAGATCGTGGCCAGGGTTCGTCATGAACAAGCTGTGGCTAGAGGAGAGGTCATTGAGCTGGATTCCGAAGATGAAGAGGATGACGATCACCCTCGACTGTCAACCCGCGAGATCATGGACCTTTGCACCCAGCTTGAGCGCGCATGCATCAGTGAGAACGATCCGGAGACCTCTCTTGACTTTCTCCATGGGCTTAGACGCTTCAGAATACATCTTAGGAGGCGGGAGGCAATGGGAGCGAAGCAGACAACACTGACCAACTGGTTCAAGCCGAACTGATGTCACGCACACAGCCAAAGTCACAGTAGTCACATTAGTCACACATTGTCATTCTGCATAAATCTAATAATGCATCACTTTTACCCCAGAACCGACGTTATGCAATATGAGAACATGTACTGTACATAGCCATGAAAGGTCAGAATCACGTGCCAAGATTAGGGGAGGCGTTTTCTCCTTCATCCTCAAGGCCCAAATGCGCTTGACACTTTTCACGTCTGACGTACAGGGCTGTACATCTCTGAAAGTTGTCAATAGGCGACGTCACAATTTCTACGAAGACCACAAGAGAGGTACGTATATTGCAATGTTCTTGTGTCGCAGCAAGTAAGTCGTCATTGATGTGTCCTTTCTCAGTTCGCTGGACGGGTTCCAAACTCCACGCCATTACTCCCTTGCTTCGGGAGAGTATCTCCAGAAACGGTCTCAGTCATTGCCGTAGCAAAGTCCTGACCTTTTTTCACTTCACCCGGCAGAAAGCTTCGACCGCTGGTGCCGTAAGCCTGTGGCTGATTAGTGTTGACTTCTCCGGTCTCCAGAATGGGCAGGTGCTCTGGATTAGTTTCTTTGAGCTCGTTTAACTGGCCTTGTGAGACCCCAGTGATCGCATCGTCCCGATGATGTGCTGGGTACGTTGACTGAGGCTCAGGCGCACCCGTTGGAATCTCCTGGTTGGCGGCACCGACCTCTCGCAGCGACGGGTGGTCGCTAGAAATTCCTCCCGGAACGTGAGGATTCTTGCCGCTAACACGACCTAAAAATCCATCAGTATCGTCATAGCATGTAAGCTCATAATGCACTGACCTTCTGGATGCTTGCTCTCATAGAACGCCTCGCCTGTATGACCGCTAGCTCCAAGGCCATACGCGCCTTGTTCTTTTGTGGTCTATTAGCGATTCTTTTCCCTCTTCGAATGTTCAAGTTTCCTCACCTGTTGTTCCGCTTTGCCTCATCGCAGATCCGGAACCCAGTCCAGTCTCGCGAGCCTTATCAGCGGCGAAATTTGGATGGGAATACTCAGAGCTATTTGGTGCAGCGTCCGTTCTTCCATGAGAAGGCACTGCCCTGCCTGCGGAGGCTGCTGGAGCGTCATACGTCGTCCCTCCTGCCGTTTGAATTGCTGGCTTTCCCTTGACGTGGGCAAGCCCACGCTCCAACTCCAGTCTTCCTTGCCTGGCTATCTCGTCGTTCTTCGAGTATCCTCCGTGGCTTCCAACGGTATCCACGGCCCCGAGCATCGTTCCACGTAAATTCTCACTCGCGCCTGTACAGAATCAATACGTATGCCATCACAGACGAGAAATCGCGCTAACCGTGTATTACCTCCGCTACACCCCTTCGGATACGCTACGTCAGAATAATCTTCGACTTCTGGATGGTTGGGGCTTACTTGATCCTAGTTCCGAAGGAGGGGGCGGCGTCGCTTGACACGGTGGTCGCGGGGATGTCGTTGGTCTTTCGGTCCATTGTGATTTTGCGGATGTGCTCTTGTGCTGAAAGTCTCAGAGCAGTCCGGTCACTTTTATACGACCCCGCGCCGCCAACGACCCCAACGCATGAGCTCATATTGGTTCAAGGAGGGATGACGTCAGTAATGCGGACGTCTACTATCAGATAAGATAAGCCGGCCAAATTCTGTGTCGCCATTCTCTCTTTCCATCATGCCTTCAAGCAGATATCCCCAACCCGCAGCTGTCAGTTTCTGTTCGATACCGGCAGGCAATCAACCGAACGCTCTAGACAAGGTCTATGGACTATCAACGGGTGCTCGTCTGACATGCCGCTCCTAAGCTTTCTCCAAGCTGGACACGCTCGGAAACTTCGACCAATCATGGCGATGGAGTACAAAATGTCCATGAAGATCGCATGGACAAATCGGGATGCCTGGAGTGAGCTGGCGAGTACATAAACCCAGCTCTCCTAGGTCTGGGTTTTTCAACCTCTCCCTCAGTGTCACCTCAGTGTCACCTACTTGGCTGTTGCCAGCCACGACTCACAACGTGCATCGCACGCGAGCGTGTAGTCCTGTGCGCTTTCACCTACCCATAGTTCACGCCCGTCTGTTTCATGGAAAGAGACGTCGAGGCTATGTGTCGTGGCGGCCGCAAGGAATACTGCTCCTGTACGACTGTTGAGTGCTCGCTGGTCCACAACACCCTTTTCCTTGCGGACATATTACCCCCTTCACTGTGTCCCTGCTAGACGCGATGCCACGGGCTTCGTGGTCGCCTTCCTGTATCTGTGATAGCCTTTCCTCGCCACCTGTACACATTTCTGGATGAGAAATGTGGATTACATTTCAAGCAATTTCGAGAAGTCCTCCTGTTTGTGGGTTTTCAGTAGTTGATCGACGCCGGACATCTATGTAAATAGTTTTCTTTGCGTCCTCGACACACCTTCTCAGCATTCCATTTCCACATAATTCCTCGTATAATAGTTACAAGTTTGACTGAACGAAAGTAAATTCAAAGACCGCGGCATTCTGATTCTTGGAATACCGCCGGAGTCAATGATGATGTTACTGTCAATCCGCCTCGATCCCACCTTTATTCTCTTAGCACCCGACCATGTAGAACATACTGAATCTTCCAGAAATTCGACAATTCGCCGCGAACTCCAGTAGGCATATCCAGTCCATGAAGCAGGATTGTTCTACACCCTTACGAGATGAAGAAGGCCAACAGTGGGATAATTTTAACGCTTATGGCACGAGACGTTGACAGTGCGAAAGAATACTGGTCATTTGCCCTCTCAGCCTCGAGGTTCGATCAGCCGCCCTATCTTCATACAGTATACTTGTCCCTTACGTCTACCACGAAGAACCACAGAAGACGTGGAGCAATTGAGTTCTCCACTATGCAGTGCCAACACTGACGTGTATGTCATGATCTCACAGAACATCGTTTGACAGCGGAAGCCGCCAATGACTGCGGCTCGCCACATAACCCTTCGCGGCATGTTGGTATCGCCGGATTGAACGTCTGCACCTTCTTTCTAAGGCAGAGAAATTTACGTCCATCAACCAATGCGGTGTGGAGCTGGAAGACCTTTGAGACGCATGAAAAACGGACGGTGTGAGTCCTGAGAAAAATCTGGCAGGTCCTAGACCCAGACCTGCGAGTAGAACTCGTGAAGTATCGCTTTAGCTGCGCTACGGTACTGGAGGCATGGGTAAGCGGGGAAAAGTGAATACTGTGGTGATGGGAGATGAGATACTATATATATAGCGCCCAGAATTATTCCGACGCACAGTTGGGGTAAGAGTGGGAGCTTTCCAGGTCGGAAGAGAGGTAACCAATCTCAGTTCTAGGTCGCAATGAGAGCTGCGTATGGCAGTAATAAGGAGCACCGCCATGAAAGGTAGGAATTATTTTACACAGAAGAACCGTGATGCAGAATAGTCAGCCACAGTGGTTCCCGAGGTTAGGCTGATGACTCCAGAATAATAGGACGGTAGCGGCTGAAGAAATCAGGCGTCGTCAGATTTTCACGGTGGTTGTCACCGGTCAACTTTGGTAGTGATAACAAGAAACATAGCATGTACGCTGATAAACGAACAGTCAATAGTCACTGGACGGAAAGATACGGTGGTGTTTCCAAGGTCACCATATCTACACCCTTGCAGAGAGCAGGCGCTGCAGCTCCGACCAGCGTCATCACCGAGTCAGATCCGCTATCAGAATCAGAATGTGTCGCGGTCCATACGTCGCTCGCCCACTGTTCTAAGCCCGTGAAGAACTCGTCGTCCTCATACTCGTCGTCCTCATCATCCACAAATGGTTTGTCCTCATCTTCACCGTTCACCTCGTCGACAAGCTCGAAAGCCCCGAGACAAGAAGCCGAGTCGCAAGGCGCAAGGGACTCCGCAGTGGGCCGTCGTTGTCCCATTGGTGCACCGGAAGGGTGGGGAGCGGCATCTTGAGCTCGGTTCATGCCGCCCTTACCACCAGAGGGCGCGCCTCTACCTTGGGGACCGCCATCCGAACCAGTTCCTCCACGGTGTGTTTGCTCTGCAGCAGAGTCCTGTTCATCATCGTAGCCCTCTCCACTGAGCCATTTCGGGTTAGGTGTAGCCATCATCCACGCCACATAGATATTGCGCACAGCTCTCATCATGTTTTTGGCGGAGGGCTCTAGGAAAAAAAAATGGTTTTCAAAGTCGATTGCGCCCATGCCATATAGTTGGAAGAGTTTCTTGCCAGTGTTGGCGATGACAAAGTGGTAGGGAACATGGAGCTCGAAGGGCGGGAGGTCGTCGAAGGGGTACACACTGTAGTTGACGCGGGTGGGATCGAATAGGTCAAGAGGATTGGCAGCGTAACGTTTGACCGACCACGAAGCCTTCATATCAGGAAGAGGGATAAGGCGATACCGGAACTTTTCGGATTCTCCGTAGAACTGCAGGTGGTCAGCATGTGCCGAACCAGAGTGGAAATGCACATACGAGCTGCGGGTCCCTCCGCACATTTGCAGTGTTGCCTGCCGTAGGGAGGATAACTTCATTGCCGACGTAGACGGCATGCATATCGAGAACAATGAGATCGACGGGAAGCCAAAACCAGCCGACAGGCTTGGACCCTTTCGTCTTGTCGAACCATCGGTGGAGACTGATACGGACTGAAGGAAAGGTGAATAAGTCTGAACAGCGGTCAGATGGTTGATCACTCACGGGTCTGGATATTCTTCCTCGTGTCGACATTCAGAGTGTAGAATTCCCTCTTCCAAGCCCATTCCAGACAATCCATCTGTCGTCAATCGAGTCAGCACTAGTATTGCGTCGGCTCAGAATAGATCTCACAGACCTCTTTTGCAGGCGTTGAGCCACTCGTGACATGTGAGAACTCGAGGACCGTCATTTCGTCGCTGGCACGGGAGATAAAGCACTGGGGTCGAGCATCCTTGGGTGGCACTCCATGCATAGTCGCAACTTCCAGAATGACATTCTGCTTGACATAGGACGGCAGGGAGGACGCCGTCTTCTTCCGCTTCTTGGGTGTCTTGCCCTTCGCGTCGCTTTGAGAACCAGGGGCATCGGGAATATATGGTTCGTCGTCCAGGTGTCGCTTGCGCGTCGGCGGGGTGGATGAATTGGGATCTGATTGTGAGTCGGCCTCGTCATGAGGCTCTTCCATGTCGACCGACTGGACGTGGGTGTCCAAGCGTCGAGGAGGTGTCAGTGCTCGATTTGACATAATGAGCGCCTAAAATGATACAAGCGCGAGAGCTGTGCTGAGGAGCCTGAATCGATGGTCGATGGTCGTGGTTGTCCCAGTCCAGTCGCGCCCATGCGCCACAGCAATCACGTGCCTGCCCAAGCAACACCAAATACAAACACTGAAGGCAAGCAACGTCTGAGTCTCATTCTTTTTATACCCAGTACAATAATCGGAAAACCCTCAAAACTGTGAAAAGAAAACTGCTGCGGAGGTTAGACAATGCTTCATCGGGCCGCTGGCTTTCTCCTCGTCCGCTGAGCATTTTTTGGCCCTTCACGCATCATATCGTTACCTCAACGAACCTTTGTCTGGGGGAGGAGACAACTTTCGTCGGGACTCGGAGGATATTTGACGTTTGGTTGTGAAGGTGGCTACGTGATTTCGTTTGGGTTGTAAGCGGTTTTGCTGTCGTCGGAGGAGGGGGCAGAAGGGTCAAAGGTGGTGTGAGGCGAGGGCTAGACGTTGGTAAATGACAGCAAAAAGTGAAAAACAATAAGAGAACATACGGAAATGTGTGCAGTGCTTCCAAAAACGCAGGTAAGCTCTGAACAGCGTTGCCGTCGTCCCGTTCTCAGCCTAATACGACCTCCTCGTTCACCTTGAGGTCGCGAAGGGCAAAGACACTGAAACCGAGAGTGGTTCCATCGTCCTCCTTTTCCGGAGCTTTGTCGAATTCATCTTCGACAAAGGGATCTACCGCTTGCCAAAGTTACTCTGTGGCGTAGTCGCCTCGCCAGGGGTCCACCATCGAATGTTATCCATCTACCTAGAGCTTTCATCTGAGTCTTAGGCCGGTATAGCCTCCTGAAGTCCCAGGTGGAGTTAAAAAGTGTCCTGTGCACTCTCGATCCCCTTCTTCCAGCTCACTGCACTGCATCCGATAGTCACATTGGCCGACTGGGACTACTTCTCTGAATTCTCTCCCATCTGTGGAAAGCTCGACCAAATGAACGCCATGCTCATAAGCCAATAGGAGGCCAGAGCCAATGACTGAACTCGAGGCTCTCCGTTTTTCTGAAGATTGGGATATTCTTGTTCCCGACGACCTGGCTTTTCTCCAGGCGCGTGCGCGTCCTTGTAGCCGACTAGGATTCTTAAACATGGGATCTCAAAAATTTCCTCCAGTCCCCAAGCATCGCCGCCCGTAATGAAGATCATTGCTTGTCCACATTACGGAAAATAGGCCTGTCTGCGGGGAAGCTCCGTTCTGCCATGGTATTCCGGGACATGGGGAATTCTTCCTATTTGGCCTCCGGGTGGTGCAATGTCTCCGCAGTTAACTGACCCGATTGCGTCAACGAATCTGGATTCTTATCTTTACATGATCCTCCACCATTTCAGCGCCTACTTACCACACGGCGGACCGCACCTACGACAGGCCACCCCACTTGCCGCATCGGCTAACTTTCCACGGACCAAGTGACGTCGAATATGACGCATAGGAATCTACACTTACGATAACGACAACAGGGCTTTAGTGCAATAGATCAAAAGGACGGAAACGGGGATTTTGAGACGAAAGTATGGCGCTATTTGTACCCTATTCTCGCACAACTTTCAGCCCCAATGCTGGGCCCGTGACACTGGCGACGTGAGATGGAAACGTCGAGAATCCTGTAGAGAAACATGGGGTTTCACAGCAAACAACCCAAGAGGTTGAAGTAGGCCTATGGGCGGCGAGAGTTGTTCATGAGCGTCGCCTCCTTTTAACGTTACGATCTGTGCAGGTATAGGGAAGCAGAGGTGTGTAAGAGGTAGCTGGCCTTCTGCAAGATTTCACTGACAAAATTTCGGCTTGTTTCCGTGGTGTAGAGCCTACATCCAACGCATTACTACAAGGAGTCGCTGCTGCAAGAGCCTGAGTTCTCGATACCCTTGCGCGCCGGGTGCCTCCAGACATTCTGTCACACACTATCTTGGTCAAGATTGCGTATCAGAATGTGGACTTGGCCCCCCAGAAGCTTTATTATATCACTCATCATCGTTGGTTATTGTGGGCTCTTCAAAATTCCAAGTATTTTGTTGTACTTGATTCCTGTTTTTTATAGTCACCTAGGATTGAAAAGCAGGGCTACGAGAGCGAGAGAGAAGTGGTCTCCGTGTCTTCGACCTTCTTTCCTGATGCCCACGACGAGGTATCGGATACAATGTTCCGCTCTTCGGATGCGGTATTGTTCTACGTCAACTCGAATACGATCTCAGCAACCACCCAAACGCCTTTTGCCCCGTTTTAGGCGCCTCTCTGCAAGAGAAACAGTTTCGCGACACCATCACCGATATGCCTGACAGCGCTGCTGTCCTTAACATCATCCTTCCTACTATGTACGGCCTTTCCTGCTCCAGGAATTCGCCTTCGCTGGACAACCCCGAAGCCGCGGTCGACAGAATGCCCTCCTACGGCTTAGTTCCTTCTGTGGTCATCGTGCTGGGCAACCCTCTGTACGAACTGATTCTCTTGCACGCTCCTCTTTCCGCTATGCGTGTGTACAGCCTCGCAGGCCATCACGACCTCCACGCGCTGGCTGAGAGAGTATCCTCCCATCTCCTTTCCTATTACCTTCCCGATATCATGGATGATATGACAACCCGGATGGGTGCAAAATATCTCTGCCAACTCATGAAACTCCATCTTTCATGTCAAGATGCCCTTAAATCCATTATTATCCGCCCACCGCACCCACATCCCCCGACACAAGAGTGCGACTTTTGCAACAGAAGAAACTAAGTCGGGCTTGGGCACTTGCAGCCTCTTATTTAGCATGGGACTGTGAACCAGGTACATTAATTTTGGGTTTAGGTGTTTCATTGAGGTAACTTCTGTCAACAGATATTTCGGTTCGTGCCATGCAAGGGACATTCACGACTCTCGGAGATCACCTTACGTGCGAACAATGCAAGGATGCGCCTAGGACGCGCAGCCGAGATATTTCCGTGCAGTGGGTAAAGATTCAGGTAAGTACAGTCATCCACCGGCCAATGAGACACCACCGGCTAATGATACACCTCGGAACACCATGAAGGATTCAACTGTTTGCTTTGAAAAAATAACCCCATTCTCTATAAGTCTTTAATACATTGTGTATAAAATTTTGTGGGTTCTGGTGAAGTCAATGCCCAGTAATAAAATCACCAAAATATTCATTTTGGTTGATTTTGTCACACCAGTCACTGGTACAGCATCTCTGGCTGTTTCTGCTCACGTTTGGTTGATTTTATGGCATACAACTGGTATAAATTTATTTTAATGGCTCTATTACACTGATTCCAAGTGGTTTTATGAGAATCCATGGGCTGGTTGAGTTCTGGGATCAAATTTAAATTTCAGTGTATCAAATGATGGTGGATGACTGTAGGACGCTCGAGCGAGGACTTTGGTCGGCTCACTGACATTCTTTTAGCATACTGTTTAAGCAGGTAAACCAAATTGAAGCCACTCTTGACGAGGCTTTAAATAAATGAACAACTTCTCGGCACGGCGATCAGGTTACCGAAGAAATGTATCATGCAAATTTATGCAAAATTTCTCTAGCGGGGTAGTAGAGAGGTTGAATTCGCTTTCCTATTGCGGCTATCTAATTGAACAACATTCAGTCTCGCTATGCGCCCATCAGCTGCGCCACACGAATGGCTAACGCCCTAAATAAGGCGACGAACATTTGCGATCTACGCTCCACGTTCGTGTGACAATGACCCATGTCTAGACTTCAGGTTGGCGAAACTTCCGCGATCGCCGGGATAAAGTCTCACGGTCACAAATCCGCAATCATTGCAATCAAGTTGCAATTGAACCTCTCTTCACATCCACATCGACTTCATATCACACGCCATGTCCGATTACCCTGAAGACCGCATATTTTCCCCTCTTCGACACCACACAAGTAGTTCTCCACCCTCTTACTCCTACAACGATGCGTTCACATACCTCGGTTACCCCAACGAAATAGACGCCCAAACTCCAGAAATTGACGGCGGAGACCCATGGCCGGACCCCATGGATTTACCCCATGAGATCACCGAGAAAATATTTTTCTATGCATGCCAGCGATATCCCAACGATGATAAGTGGTACTGCCCGTTCTATCCGCTCTACTTCGGGAGAGTGTGCAGAGCCTGGCGGCAGTTAGCGTGGGCGACCTCTTCGTTGTGGACAACAGTTGTTATTCGCCAAGTGGAGGTCCAGTCTACCGAGGTCCAAAGTCAGCTGCTGGAAGAGTGGCTGAAACGCACACAAGGGCGCCCACTGGAGATCTACTTTGGCACATGGGTCTTGTACTTCCCCCAGCGAGTCCTACACCTCCTTGTGCACTACAGAGAGCAGTGGGCCGCGATTAAGTTTGTCAAAATACCTCATCAAACACTTAACCCGAATTCGAGTCAAAATATGTTCGACACCCCCGTTTTTTTTCCACAGCTCACTTCCGTTACCGTGGAGCGACATCGTGACGCCACCAGCACGAACATTGCCCTTCTCGATTTTTCTCAAACCCCAGCTCTGCGCGATCTCTCTGTCATCAACCTTCCAGGCACGAATTTCCACGAATACATCATTCACCAACGAGGGGGAATTTCACGTCTTTCCCTAACCAACAACACATACCTTGATCTCATCGCCATCTTGAAACGATATCCACAGCTGGAGGAACTCATTCTGTCGAGCCTTCCAGGGAGGGTTCCAGCGATGAGGCGGACAGATTTCCACCGCCACCCCCGCCTTATGTCGATATCTATTCGATCGTCGCTGTGGCAAGCCATCGCAAGAATTTTCCACTCCCTTAGCGGTCTATCCTTCCCGGCGCTCAACAAATTGGATCTCGACGTATCTAATTCTGACCCTGTCTCCATGTCGCAACTACCACCCTTTATCCAACCGTTGGATTGTATGCTGACATCCCTTTCGCTAACGTATCCTATCCGGGAGGAATTCACCGTTATTGATCTCCTATTTAGCTCACCATTTTCCGCTTTACGGGAGCTGTATCTCACTGACTCGAGCATGGGCCAGTCAGAATCAGGACTAACAGCAGCGTTCTTTGAGGCTCTCCAGGTCGACGATCCCGAGGAGGCGCTTCTTCCTCGGCTCGAGGTCTTCAACTACCATGGAAGACTGGGGGTCTTCGCCATCGACTTTCTCGATCCTCTTATCATCCGTTCGCGTATACGGTGTTTCAACGAGAACACGATCACACACAGCACGGTGGATCTAGACGACTCGATCGCAGTCCTGCGGAAAATCGAGATCAAGGCTGATCAGGACGAATTCACTATCGCAGAGTACACGGACGCACTGTATGTTTGGGAGCTGATTAGGCTGATGGAACTGAGGATCTTGTCACTTGCGAATGAGGACGGGAGTGCATGGGTGTAAAGAGTACCGTCCAGCTCTGGATTTTGACTACGGGCTTGTGTACAACATGGTTAGCTTACAATTAGTCTCCATACTGTACAAGTCGATTAAATGTCTCTCTCATTACTGATTAGTCGCAGGTAGATGTCGTGTATGAAGTATGTTCGAATCGGAGCGGGCCTCTTTTCCTTCCGTATGTGTTCATGGAATCGTCAAAATTCTCCAGGGCGAATTTACGAAGATGGATTAGCATGCGGCATGTCACGATCCCTATCGCAGCGTGAAATGGCCTACAGAATATATCCTGAGTCATCGGGGAGAAGGAATGGGAGGTAGGGCACCACATACCCGAAGCCGAACCACGGGATGTGCGTTGCGCCCTTGTCGGACAAAATATGAGAAAGTCATTCCCCAAACGCAAAGCTAGCCAAAATAACTCACCACAACCATCAGGTTATTGAATATTAAAAGACAGGCAACGCTAGAAATAGACTAAACTGCGCACTTCAAGACTGGTCGGGCGCGAAGCTTACCTGAAAAAGTACAATATATTCTCCTGTAGCAACACTGCCGTCAAGGACACGCGTTGGTTGAGTCGAATTCGTGCCGATACTGACACAATGCTCTTATAAACCACGAAAAGGAATAGGGTGAATTCAAAGACAGTGGCTGAAAGACAGGATCAGCGCCCATTGTCCCTGAAAAGAGCAAATCTTACGAGCAATCCACAGCGACCACCCCGTCCCACCGTTGATGACTGGGCATCCGGGAAGGGGCAGGTGGAGGGCTTGGGATATGGCCTTCCCCCGCTTCATGGCATTTACAATCATAATCCAAAGGAAGATCCCAATAGAGGCGAGAAAGAGGACGGCATTGAATAGAGCGATCTGTGAATATTTTAGAATGCTGCAGACAATTGAAAGGCCAACAACGTACACGTTTCGAACGATTAAAGAGGGCGTAAATCCTTAGTTGCATAATGACTTCGACCGACCAGAGGCTAATAGCCCCTGCTAGCCGGGTGACGGGATCGGCGGCGACACAACTGACCAGTAAAACAAACAGTTGGCAAACTCTTTGTGGGGTTCACGAGAATTCTCTGCTCACAGTTTATCACTGGCGACACCTGGGATGGCGAAGGAATGGATCTGGAGGGTATCGAAGGCGACCAGGAATATGGTGTAGTACTGAACCTGAGTCGTTAATGTGCTTTCAACTTTGCCGTCCTTGAGAACGAAACGTACTAACGCACCCATAAGAACATGAATTTTCCCAAACTCCGTTTTTGACTCTACGAGGAGACATCAAAGTTCGCCTTTGGGAGAGTTCTGTAGCGCTCACCCAAATGTATTCCACCTCGTCCTCCAAGGTAACAACTTTCGTCACTCCATGTTAGAGATTTTCTCCTCTACCCCGTCCAACCCACTCACAATAATCGTGGAGAACCCAGACCAAGGAAGCCACTAAAGAGTTCCAGAAGAATCCAGATCTCTGTATGTTTGAAATCGTCGATAAGGACTTACGAACGACTCTCAGAGGGATCAGATTCAACTCGTAAAGACGTATGAAGTCGCTGTTACTTAGCTCCATCGCATTGCTAGAAGTCGACTGGTCGTTATGGGAGAGCCCAAGCTCTGTGGGGCATCAATATATAGCTTCACGGTCGGATTAGCTCAGGAAAGGAGGTTCCATTGAATCCGTCCACCGAAATGTAGCTTGATGTCAGCCGGCGCCGCAGTAATCGGTGAGGTGGTGGAAGGAGGAAAGTTTTCGGCGAAGGACGGGCTTTTCCGACACTACTTCTTGCAGCGAATGGGAGTTCGTCGCTTGAAGGACATCTTGATCCGCGTAAGGAAGTCTCTCGTTGCATGAAAAGTGTTGTTGAAAGGCGCGCGATGGATAAAGATCTGAACTCTGGAAGAAATTCTGTCCCCGGTGAAAGTGATGCTGAATGAAAGGATCGTTGTTGGGGCATCCAGTATATGCGGCCCGGAAAGACCGAGATCTCCCACGACAGGTTGATTTATGTCTCGAGGCATCTGACGTTGAACTCAGATGCCCTCACTTTTCTCCCCATTTGACCTCCCGGACGACATCATCCTATTGTTGTCAGATGAACTCGTAGCACCAGCAGATTTCATCTTGCACCGTACTCTCGCGGCACACCTCAAAGCGGGACTCGTTTCGGGACGCGTCAAACCCAAATCTGTGATACTCTCGGTATCGGAGGGTTTATCTAGGTGGAAAACGCTTGCGATGAAATCGGTGCAGTCGCCACCATCTGTCCCTTCGAGGGCGTGTCTAATATTTATGGCTAGAATATCAACCTCCAAACGCATCTCGACCTAGGGACGCTCGAGTTCATTGAATTGTCGTCTTGTGCGGAGCCCAGCGCTGAAGCCAACCTACGAGGAGTCTTCGACCGCGTCCGCATGGCTCTCGAGAACTCGCGACCTTCTCAGCAGCCGCACCTCATCATCCTCGACGACGTGTCGGTGCTGGAGTGGATTGGATTTTCACCTACATCTGTTCAGCGTTTCATTCGTGCCCTACGCTCTCTGGCGCTCAAGGCGAATGCCACACTTGTCCTTCGGCACCATGTGGTGACGCCAAACGAGCCAGACGAACTCCTTCGACATTTGCTGCAGATTTGCACCTATCATCTCGAAGTGAGACCACTCGCGAGTGGGAGAAGCGGTGCCGTCAGCGGGGAGGTCGGTGTCTCTTCGGTCAAAGCTGTTTCAACTTTGCTCAGAGTGTTCAATTCTACAGGTCGCCCTCCACGCAGGATTTTCTTACCCCTCGAATAATATAAACCCCGTCAAGTTGTTGTCAAGAAGTTCTGCTTTGCAATACTGCCTTACTGAGGCTGGACCAGAGTTTTTCGTGAAAGGGACCAGCGGTGGTGTACTATAGATTTCGATAGATAGACAAAAATCGGCTGTTTCTTCACATAAAAAACTAGGCGAGTCATTATAAGTTATAAGGTGCTATGAGTGTCGTGAAGGACTCTGACGTTATTAGATTCGAAGCACGGCCGGGCGGGACCGAATTTGAAGCTCCGCTTCAAACAATCGAATAACACATCCGAATCGCTCACCTCAAGCCTTCATCAACGTCGCCAGCACCCTCAAGAACCTACGTCAAAATGGTAAGTAAAACGTCGTCGTCGTCGAGGAGCTCGTGCATCAGCGGTTCATCCATCATGAAATCCGGATGATACAAGGAGGATTTGGGATGGATGGTGAGTTTGCACTTGGGATGACGTCCTGCGGAAAACTTATCACGACTATTCAGAACCGCTTCAGCACCCCGGAAAGTGCTGACTTTTCGTCTCACCTTCAGCGCAGAGCCTCTGGGCAATGACGCGCATTGCTGGGCCGTTCGTGTTTTCATGCACGCGGCGCTAGAGCTCCGAGGCGCTTCGCATCTCCTTTGCTGAGAATCGCGTTGCTGACCCCGTCTCAATGACCAGCCCCCCAAAGCCAAAACTGGATCAAGCAAGAAGCCCGCTGCTGCCCCCTTCGGTGCCAGCAAGGCTACTAAGGCTAAGAAGAACCCTCTCTTCGAGGCCACCCCCAAGAACTTCGGTATTGGTGCGTTATACATCCTTTCTTTGGAGTCACCCTTGCTCACCATTACTCCTTTTAGGCCAGGACATCTGATCTGACCCGCTTCGTCAAGTGGCCGGAGTATGTCCGTCTTCAACGCCAGAAGGTTATCCTCCACCAGCGACTCAAGGTCCCTCCCGCCATCGCCCAATTCTCCCACACCCTCGACAAGAACACCGCTACTCAGTTGTTCAAGCTCCTCAACAAGTACCGTCCTGAGAGCAAGCTGGAGAAGAAGGCCCGTCTTACGGCCACCGCTGCCACCGCCGCTGAGGGTAAGGACAAGGATGCGAAGGTACGTTTCTTCTTTCCGTGAGAAGGCACTTGGCGTAACCCAGCCTTACTTGACAGGATTCGAAGAAGCCTCTGTTCGTCAAGTACGGTCTCAACCACATCGTTGCCCTCATCGAGGCCAAGAAAGCTTCCCTCGTTGTCATTGCTCACGATGTCGACCCCATCGAACTTGTCGTCTTCCTGCCTGCCCTCTGCCGCAAGATGGGTGTCCCCTATGTGATCGTCAAGGGCAAAGCTCGTCTCGGCACCGTCGTCCACAAGAAGACCTCCGCTGTCCTCGCCGTCCAGGAAGTTAGGAGTGAGGATCAGCGTGACCTCGCCACCCTTATCAGCGCCGCCAAGGCCAACTTGTACGCTTTTATGGCCAGTTTCATCTACATGTTCTCATGGATTCTCTAGCACCGACAAGTACGACGAGGCTCGTCGTCAATGGGGTGGAGGACTCCGTGGCAACAAGTCGACCCAGATGCTCCGTAAGCGTGCTAAGGCTGCCGGCCAGAGTACCACCAACCCCGCTCTTGGCAAGCTCTAAGCATGGTCCTCGTCTCACCTATTCATGGCGGACGTTTATGCTCTTAAAAGATGCGCGGCTCGATCACTCTTCCCGGCGTCATTTCGTATGTACCTATGTGTATACAGTATGTTCCTCTATGGGTGTTATCAATATTGATGTCGCGCAATATGCAGTGCGCCGCGTGGACGTCAAATGACATTCTTGCATTCACCTCACTGACAGCTTCCCGGCGTCAGGCCGTAGAGCGTGCTATGGCGTAGGAGGGACCGCCGTCGACATCTGCTTTTAAACCACATGACCTCCGTCGTCGAGTCATCAGCAGTTCTGTGAACGACCGCCTACGCGCTCGTCTAAGTCTCTGGATTCTCCCCTCCATCTGTGGTACGAATGTCTTGTCTCCGTGTCTCCGGAGGAGAAAGATGAACTTAGCCACTGTTCGTGACACGGCGTTGGCGCATGTCCTGGCAGGAAACAGTAGGCCGAGAGATAATCATCACCCCGCCTGGTACATGGCGAACCACATTCTGCTGGGCCTTGCAGGGCCTTGCGGACTTGGTATCCTACAGACAAGCGACCACTGACTATCTTCCTTTCCCCAGTTGACGTAGTGAATAGCCTGAAGCCAAACCCGCTCCCTTTCCGCAAATTTGCCGTCGGATGCCCCGTACTATGCCATTCCGGGAGTTTGGAAAGTTCCAGGAGTTTGAAATTCCGGTTTTATGCCTCCATTTCTTGTGCTATTGACTTCTAATATCTTGGGGTACTTCCGAGGCAATTCCAAACGTTCTTTCAAAATGTTGTGGGACGGAAGGCACTCTGAGGGCCACAGGATTTAAAACAGTCATTTTGATGACATCAAAATAGTCCATGTATATGAATGTGAGCCCAGATCCTGCCCGATGCTGTTGACTGCTTTTTCTGACAATTGGTACTCATATTCAAAGTCAACTGTAGATATGGTACGCCAAATACTAGGGAGAATAGATGTGGTGTCATGGAGGAAAATACAAAATACAGAGTACCACTCCCGAAAGCGTGCGACGCTTCTTGATCTTTAACCACCACCATCCGGCCGTGGGAATTCGTCCCCCCCGTGCACTATACTACCGAACGCCTCTCATTAATCGACATCGTCCTCTATCGGGCCCCAATAACAGCCTGATTTCTTATTTCTTATCAAACCAACACTCCCTTTTTACTTATCGGAGAAGATCGCGACTCCGGCGTGGTTGTATCCAACTCGCTCTGCTGGAGGCCTGAAGACCTTGTTTACGACAATCTCAAAGCGCACCTGGTGGCCCCACCTGACTCACGGTGGCCCAAGTACCATCCTGCTCTGCTTCGCGCAGACCCTTCAGGGGCGCAACCTAGTCATGGAAGGTACCCATGGAGGAAGGAGGCTAGTCTCCGATTGATCAGCCGCGTTGCCTATGATCTGGCTACACCCCATGGGGAGAAACACTAGATACTCGACCGCCTTTGCATGAAAGGGGGATGCTACCAGATGCGTGCCTATAGGAGGGGGAAATGGGGGAGGAAAGCGGGGGGGTTGTATCAGAGGGCAGAGGGCATAGTGGAAGGCAGAGTCACTCATTTCAACATTTCACTTCCAAACCATCCAATTCGTTAGGGGTACTTAGCACCCACATGTGCAGCCCCCGTCAGTGACGTTGGCCCGGCACACCAACCATGCAGGCAACTGAAGGCTTGGAAGCTTTGGGGCCCAATGCTGGGAAGGACTAACATCATGAGGCCTATGATTGTTTAGATTTAGCGATCAGCTCTTACCAACTGTTTTTAACAGCTGGAAGCTTCGGCGCCCAATGGGGCTTCAACCAAAGGCGGCGGATCGAAGGATGGGTTGTTGAGGAGGGTTGTTTAGGTGTAGCCTACCTCCGAGGGACTGTCATTGAACACCCTATTTTTTGTGTATTTGGAGTATGTCTAAAATACACCCTACGTGGAAGACTTCAAAAAAAAAAAAAAAAAAAAAAACTCCCGAAAGCGTGACCTTTCGTGACTATTTTGGCAGGAGAACTCCCAGAATCTTTGACACCCCACCATTGTGAGCGTTCTGATGCACCTTCCCTGGTGCTTAAAAATATTTCCATGGAGTGAAGACGATTTATGAGAAATGTACCAGATTTTATGTTATAGAGATGAATCGTTGTTGAGCAATATGTTCGTCACTCAAAAAGTTTCAAACTCCCGGGATGGCATAGTACTTCTTCGTGAGCACATAGTTCATTGGACAATTTTCGGCCTCAAGTTCAGGACTATGGAGGAGACAGCCAGGGATACGTTGAAGGACTTCACACGGTGCAGGTGGTAGGAATGCTCTCATCAGTACCGTCAACCTTGCCGAGTTTGTTGCATGGCTAGTTTATCTAAAGGCCTTCCACAGAAGAATTCTGTGACTCCATGACCGTTGATCCTACCACGGTCTGATCTATTGTGCACCTATTACATCTTCCCTCAAACACCTCTTAAGGAGATCAGATTTCCGACACCGGTCGCCACTGTACCATCTTATTTGTTCGACCTTCAATGACAGCCTAGAAAACCCCAGAAGAATGACGCAAGGTTCTGGCATTGCAACTTCCTGTCATACGGGCTCGACGTAGCCCTTCGGTGCGGTCTTGATTCCAATATTAGCTTGTAATACTTATGATATGCTCTCATCTGCTGCTCGTGGGACCACCAGGTAAGCCTTTAATGACCATCAATTATCTTTTTTTGGGCCTCATTCAGGCTTTTGTCTAGGACCATGCTACGTGGTCTTGAGCTGCTGACGCTCGATCTGCCCCACTAACTTCATGGAGGACACTACGCCGTATGGCCTTCTCGACGATTCCTGATATGAAGACAGCATGACCGTGCTCAATAGACCTCATAATCCACCATTCCAGTTCAACGATTTACATCCTCTCTACCCTCTCAGAACCATCTTGCTCCAAAGCATCATGCCCACAGTACCTCAAGGTGGAAAAGTCCTGGTCTCAGGAGCGAATGGCTACATTGCTATGTGGATTGTGAAAATTCTTCTTCAACAGGGATACCGCGTTCGGGGGACCATGCGCTCAGCAGAGAAGGGTAAATTCATGAGCGATTATTTTGCGAAGCTCGGTTACGGGGAGGCATTCGAGTTTGTGATTGTCCAAGATATCATCAAGGTATGCCTTTATTTTATTTTGTGTATGGCTCTGATGGTTGACAAACTGTTTCAGGATGGCACGTTCAACGAAGCCGTCAAAGACGTTGATGCTATTGAGCATATGGCATCCCCAGTCCACTTCAATCCCGGCGACCTGCAAGGTGAGTAGTACTTATGCTTCTACTTCTTGTATCTCATCTCATTGGGTATAGAAACATTGAAGCCTGCCATCCAGGGAACAGTCAGCATGCTCAAGAGCACCATGAAAAATGGGTTTGTCCTCTATTCCCCTCCGTCTAATTTCTGCTAACACCCATTCCATAGCACAAATGTCAAACACATCATGATCACATCATCCACCGCGGCTATCACGTCTCTGAACCTTGATCTATTCACTGAGCCTAGGATTTTCAGTGAACAGGATTGGAACGAAGCTTCGCCAAAGGAAGTTGAAGAGCTTGGTTCAAAGGCTTCGGCAACTACCATCTACTGTGCATCCAAGTCCCTTGCAGAGAGAGGTGAGCAAAACACATTTCTTATCGTGACCTGTAATGATGATTGGCACGACGATCATCGTCCCACTCCGTAGCCGCATGGGATTTCTACAACGAGCACAAGGCACAGGTTCAATGGGATCTGACCGTTATCAACCCTCCTGCCGTCACATATGAGAGCAGCCATGGTGGGACTAACTACGTAGCTGAGATGTGAATTGTATGGAACACACACCTGATAGTTTACTCAGCTGAGCACCTAATGTAGAACTATAGGAACACTGTTCAGCTGAGTGCTAAATAAATAGGATGGTACATTGTCCAGCTCATTCCATGTCCGTCTTAGAAGTAAGAACCCATGAAGGGCCGCAAAAAAAGGCGGCAGAGTTTTTTGGTGGGTGCCAGCAGCAAAGGAGGGGTAGAACCTACTTCGCCTTCCTGAAGCCTGCTATCTTCAGGTCTGACTCCCTCATTGACATTATTCAATGGATGCATGAGATTACCTCAATGTCAGCCAGGATACGAGGCTCCATTCAAGGTCCAGCTGTTCCTCCTTTCTTCTGACCACATCAGACAACGCCGCCATGGACCCTGCTGCGCTGCTTGTGAAATATCTCAGAGACAAGTTTGCAGCTGAAATTGCCCTTCAAGATGGAAATGTTGATTTTCCAGCTGAATGGAGGTTGCAATTCCTGGAGGACTGCAACCGAATTGTGCAGCGATTAGTTGCAGCTTACTGCAACAAGAGTAGGCCACATGAGCAAAGTTTTTGCAATTTACTGAAAGGCCCAATATTCAGAATATCTTGACTGGTCTATTGCTGACTATTCACACTTTCTGGAAGTCCAGAGCCCTTGTTCAACAGGGCGCAATGAAACGCTAGAGGCAAAGCTTCAAACGCGCTTTCCGCCACTCAACGCCAGCAGGAATCTCGAAACCCAGCCATTCATAGTTGTTGACAAAGAGGGCCATATTGTTATGTGGTACCTGCCAGGTATCTTGGGGGAGGCGCTTTGGGTAAAGAGAACCACAAGTGACAAACTACATAAGATGACCTATGACCAGGAACAAATGTGGAAGGGTGTCGAGGTTGTTCAACGGCTGCTCGCCATCGACCGGTGCTCCAAGAGTTGGCGTCTCAGTGACAAGTACTATATGGCGGCGGAGGAATGCACCATCCGCCCAGGGACTGCCAGTTTCTCCCCTGCGTGGTTCCAGCAGGCGCATGCAGTGAGTGACCCGAGTCTCGGTTGACACTCGCTGACTAGAAACTTAGGCTACCAATAATCTAGAGGTATCTGCTACTCTGCGAACCGTGGAGGGCCTTCAATGGCTCTGTGAGGCCCAGGAAGCGAACCTCCTCATAGGTGGCATCCTGGGGGTCATTCACCCGGCGTTGTATGAAACCGGCCGCCGGGCGGTGCAAGCACTGCATGGAGATGTTCCGGTCGACAAAGGTGCCAATATCCTGGAGCTCTGGGCACTACCGTTCACCAGCGTCTCCATCATGAATAACCGCCAGACACCTGTCCATCATGACAGCGGTGGAGGCTTCAAATGCATGGACCTCCTTGCGACGGTTGGCCCTTACACGAATGGCGAGATGGATATCCCAACAGTCGGCATCCGGGTCCGCTACTCAGCAGGGACAATGGTCGGTATCACCAGGAGGGCTCTACTTCATGCCGCCAAAGTGACGGGTGAAAGAGCATGCTTTGCCTACTACATGAGACACAATGTCTTGAAACACCTCAACTTGGAGGAGCCAGGATGGGCAAAGGTCTCAGATATTGACGACATGGTTGCAGACATGATGGAGCCAGAGGCGAAGCCCAAAAGACTGTGAAACAAGGGACTGGTTATTTGCTATGTACATACAAGGTTACAGGGAGCAGAAAGAAAGTGCACTATGGTGTTCAAAAAGCCTGCAAATGGCAGCGACATCCATGCGCAGTGCTGGGAGGTAGTGCCATCAGGGGGAGCTTCAGCAGCAGCAGTGGTGATGACACATACCTAAACTCCACCTCAAATTTGCCAGCCTGGAAGGTGCTATCGACCAGCAGGTCGTCGTCTTCCGACTCCGAGTCTTCCTCGTCGTCCTGTGAGTCAGAGGAGGAATCCGGGGGTGAGAGAACTCTGGTGACATTGTCCATGAACTCACTTGCGTTGGAGTTATTGGCACCAGCATTGACAAATTCGACAACTGAGGGTGATTTGGACCCGGACCGAGGAGGGAACTTAGCAGGGCTTGAGCTAGGGCTTTCCTCGGTGGCCCGACCGGCGCTAACACGGGTTCCAGTGCCACCTCTGTTGCTGCCACTTGATTCAATGAATTCGAGACTGGGTGATCTGCGAATGAGGCCAGGAGGGGCACGAGGTGGTGGAGAAGGGGAAGGATCGAGGTGCTGATTGGCCGGAGGAGAGAAGGGGTGCTGGCTGACTTCTGGGTCAACAATTGTCCCCCCTGATGCCTGATACTGGTTACGAAGTGCTGTCCATGCTGCGTGTTGCCAGGAAAGGAAGCTGAGGGTGTCAGCCTGCCTCGCAATGGCGGCGGAGGTGGAGCTAGAGAGTTCTTCTGCCTCTGTCAGCAGCTCCTGAATGTCGCCGGCAGGGAGCATTGGGGTGGACGCGTGAAGAGGAGGGAGGGGATCTGACCGGCCGCAGGTGTGGGTACAAGTACAGGAGGTTCTTCGACTTTGTACGAGAGCGACGGCGCCCTCGGACAAAGCATCATGAGGTCCAATTGGGGGAGCTGCTGTGCGACTAGCCTCTGGAAGGACCGGAGGGCGGGTGGCAATGCGTTGGCCACTGCTGGTTGCCTGAGCCAGCAAACGCAGACACAGCGCCTCCAAAGGAAGCGCCAGATGCTGCAGCATGGGGAGGTCGGTGGGGTCGGAAACGAAACCTGTGGGGGGGTAGTGCCCAGCATCGATGTACTGTGCCTTGTCATAAATAATCCAGGTGGCATCACAGAAATTTACTTACATCTGTCACCCATTCCTGGAAATATATGTCAATGGCGGTGCGAGTGGGTGCCGAGCCCTCTCCAGTCCACCAATGGTAGGTCCCAGCTCGGTCTACCTCATCGACAAGGGGCTTGTCGATGAGGGGATCAAAATCCACATACAAGTTGGCTATTGCGCGATTGATGGCCATATATTTTTCAGATGCTGGCCGGTTGGGTGGCCAGAAGGAGACTAACAGGTCCTGCAGAAATGCCGGCTGGCACACATTGAAACCCATGAGCGCCGCCCACCCAAAATGCAGCAAATTCATTTCCTAAATTGGTCAGAGCAGCCACGGTCTAGATGCAATCTGACACAACGCACAAGTTCTGTTTCAATGAAGTCGGACACATCAGGCGCGTCATGATCGTCGCAATGGGTTTTCGCCAAAGTAGCAATGGCAGTTCGCAGCCTTGTGCTAAGGTAGTTTGCCTTGAGGATGGAAAGTTGCTCTGTGTGCCGCCAGTCGTACTTCCCTGATGGATCCATAGTGGAGGACAGATTAAAGCAGATGAAACAACCGATGAATAATCAGCAACGTAAAATCACTTGACTCGAGGAAGATGCCGAGCATGAGGGAGGCAGACACCTGCGATGCGGAGGTGCGGCATGGCTGTCTGCCCTCCGCTGTGAAGCTGGTGCCAATGGAAACCCAGAAGCGCAGTGATGCGCTTGCTGGCGCTTAGTGTTTCTGCTGTCGCCATTGTGAAGGTTGATGCCCATTCTCAGCTCGCAGAGCTTGCACCTCGGAGTATGATGGTATGCACACACCCAAGTTAGGGGCAAGTGACTTATGACCGCTACGATGGTGGTGTTGAGATCAATTCCACTGTTGGGTCTCTCTGAACAGGCATCCGGAGCCTAACTACGGTGTCAGTCCATCGTAGAACACGCAGTACTCGAACCCAAGTGCTACCATTGTCGGGGGATGTGCGTTGAGCAAGCCTGGTGCATAATATTGCTCTGACCCTTCAAGCCAGTTTTTAGCCGAAATTCCGTGACAGAGATGTCCATTGGATCACATCCACTACCCACCAGCGCCTAACATAAGCTGCAGCCAGCTGAGCGACCCGACGCAATCTGTTTGCTAGCTACCTCAATGGTGTGGACAAATCGACTGGCAATGGCATCTTAAACACGTTAAGTGCTCTGATTAACATTGTGGCAATGACAGCGGCATCATGTTCACCACAGATGCTGCCACACCGGCACACACCTTGATGTCATGACAGCTTGCTCCGGAACAAACTGCAAAAGTAACATTGGGCAGCAAGAGTCCGAGGCATCGGTTGCTCTGGCAGGCACACACCCCACAACTGGGCCTGGACAAGGTGCCAGCTAGGCCCAAACCCTGGTGACATACAATTAGGTCATTACCCCATGGGGGACACGCCACCTGCCCTACCACCACAACAGTATAAATACATCTAATCTATATCTCAATAACGCAGACAAGGACGGAAAAACGGCGGACATCAGTGCCATTTCTGCAAAGTTCTACAACATTCCATATCTATTAATAATCACTTTACCTCTTGCTTCCAACGCCCATGAGGTCCCCCTCATGCACTCTCCTGTCGACTATCCCTCATCTCTTGACACTCCCTCATCATACGCAGCGCGCGCCTTGTACGGGCAAGCTCGAGGGGGCTCTCAAGATCCTTTACCCCTTCTGCCCAGCTGGCGCTCTTCACCTACCCCTTCTCTTAATCCCTCAACAAGAAAGCTGGGCTTAGAGTCCTCTTCTCAGTCCGTCCAGTCAGTTCACACCCAGGAGGAGCCCCACCGCCCCACCCCTGTTCGAACAGCTGTTGCGATGCCCAGCCCCAGTGGGATTGCAAGCCCGAAGAGTCCTCCATCATCAGCGCAGAGTCGCCAGCTGGCGACGCTGGAGAGGTCCAACAGCGATCAGCTACTCTCGCCAACGTTATCCAGTTTCTAGCACGCGTGCTCCCCGGCAAAGAATTTAGGCAGCCTGCCTCTCCGGAGGAGTTTCAGGCTATTGAAAAGGCCTTGCATGGTGGAGAAATCGGGTCAAATTATTCTAGCCTTCGGTATGCCATCTACAGCTTCTGGAAAATCACATATAATATGCTGAATATCTTGCCAGTCTTAACTACTTCGACGATCATATCGTCATTATGATGCCCTCACTTACACATGAGATCGCTGCAGGTCTCCTCCAACTTTCTATGAACCGCAACGAGCTCGCTGCAGACACCGCTCTTTCTGGAGGTTGCCCTTTGGTCCCAGTGGTTGGAGACCAACAGCTGTCTGCGGACGCCTGTTTCTTTTCGTCTTCCACCCCACAGCATGGGAGGGTCGCTGCCAGGAAGTGAGGGGGACACCCAGTGTCTGTCTGGGAGGTCTCCGTTGCCCAGAGATTCGCCGCTGCAAAGCTTAAGGCTAACCAATGGCTAATTGGGACATTCCTCAGAACAACAAACGCGCTTGTTATCAACCTCGAGGTTGACGGTAAACCCGGTGAGAGGGTCCTTCGCTCCTTAAGGGTCACTCACTGGATTGGAAAGTGGACCCCATACGAGGCGCCCAATGAGGAGGAGCTCCAACACATGAAATCTGTCATGGGACGTGTTGTGGACGAGGAGGGGAATCCGCTCAACGAGCGCGGCGCTGAATCGCGGAATATTTTTTTTGGTTTTGAAGATGATCCAGAGAGACCGGGGAAATTGGTGCAAAGATCGGTTCTTCCTCGGATCGATCTCCAGGTATTTTTTAAAATCTCCTCTTGTGTTTTCATTGTTTACCAAATTCATTTAATCAGGTCTATCCGACAACTGAAGGCCAGGATCTGCCTGCCATCAAATTCGAAAAAATCTATTTTGTTAGGCAGTTGGATGAAACAGACGATGGCAAAGCCATTGAGCTCACCATCTGGCCGCACGAGCTCGTTGATTTAGCCAAGGCCCGCATCCAAGACGAAAATGACAGGTGGAAGGCTGGGCCGAGTGGGCTGAAGAGGGCCCTATCCGAGGAAACAGAACCAGTGATTCGAGCGAGATCAGAAATGGACAGACACTTCGACGAGGTGGCGGGGGCAAATCTCAAGGTTGTGCAGGTCGCTAGGAAGAAGCAGAAGATAGGGAAAGAGGAGAGAAAGACAAGGTCAGGCAAATAGTCTCCGTCGCTGGCATCCGCCCTCATCAACGACATTGAGCATCGTCGCCGCCATCAATCATCGTCGCCACCCTCAAGCATCCATGCCGCCATCGCCTTCTATCTGCCGCCCTGCATTGTCCCCTCGACAGCTCTCCCTGCCCCATCTGTATGTATTATGTCCCCATCATTTCTCGTTTGTCAGCAGACAGATGCCCCCAGGCGGTTCCTTCGACAGTGCCCAGGCGCTGCCCCAGCCGGAACAAGGACAGTGGGGAGGTGATCGCTGGGTGGGTCTCATCTTGTACGATTTCACTTTCAAACTGTGGACTGCATATATCTTCATCAAACAATTTGTTGTACTTGTTTTGCCTTGGCCTCTGTATATGTAGCTACAAAAAACATGTACAATAGCTACATAATACATTACGTTGTGACTGGAATATCCAACAAAGGCGCCAGTTACCTTTTCTTCTTTCCTTTTTGAGCAACTCTGGTGGTGCGAAGGTTCATGGACAAAGCAGTGGCAGAACGGGTGATGCGAGTACTGACTGCAGGAGTAGTCGTGTTTTTTATCCGAGGGGTCCTGATGACTGGCAATGGGGCATCAGACAATGCCACCTGTGATTGCAGCATCGCTGAGCGCCGATGCAGGAAGAAACTGTCTGTATCAGGAATAACATGGTGTCCTGCTGCACTCCCCCCCATCACAGGGGTTGGACGAACCTGCGGATTTCCTGCATGGCTATTTAACCCTATGGAAATCCCCGGAGTTGAAATCCGCCTGTGCTTGCCTAACTGAGACTCAAAGTCGACGATGAAGGACGGCAGTGGCAGCAGCGGTGAAGGTGGCAAGAATATGCAGGCTGGGAGCATCTCCCCTCCTGCTGTGTTGTGCAGAATAGATCGGGGCTGCAGGACTGTGCCAATGGTTTGTGCAATAGCAGACGGTGCCATTGCGTTAATTTGGGCGTAAGGTGGAGACCCTTGCTGACTCATGGCGGACATGCCATTAAGCAGCACCGCCGCCCCTGGTGCTGGGTATACCTCAGGCACTGGTGTGGAGGAAGGCCCCCACTTAACAGGTGGCTGTGCTGGAGGCAGAAATCCATCGTGTGGTCCATAGCCTGGGGCTGGATCGTAGTTGGCATGGCTGGGAATGTTGTATGGGTAGGCGCATTTAGTGTCTGACCCAAACGCTGTGCCACCTGGCAGACCAAAAACAAAGCCTTGTGTCTGATGTCAAGGGTGATGAGAGTATGGTGGCTGTGTGATGGAGCTGGAGCCTGGTTGGCAGGAGCGTGTGGGGGAAATGATTGACGGCGCTGGTGAGACTTCAGCAAGCTGGGGATCAAGGGTCTGTGGCTGCTGAGGTGCTCCGGAGGTCGCCACCCGAGGTGCCGCCGCTCGGGCACCAGTCCCAGCTGCATCCTTGCTCTGGCCTCGCAATCCATTGCCTTCCTGATGCGGTGTGATTGGCTCAGGAGATGGACCTGAAGTATCAGCAGCAGGCTGAGGTGGCAGCACGCCGTCCACATGCACCTCCTCTTCCAGTCCATCAACCTCCATATCCATATCGCCAGCCACAACATCCTCCCGCTGATAGGAATAACTGCCAAATTCCTGAGCCTTCTGACATGCCTCCCTACACCCTTCCAGATAAGTTGCCAAAACAAACTTGCCTTCTGACAGTGTATGCGTGAACATAAAACTCAGCTCTCCCTCTGCTGCTTGTCTGCCTCTGAGATGGTCAATGAGTTCACCAACTAGCGCTCCTGGCATTCGAGTGGGGTCGCTGAACAGGAAATCGCGGCGGACGCCAGGGCTATGCAAGTAGTCAGCTGGCACCATTGCTGCTGTGTAGAATTTGTCACCCTGGATTCTCATCTGCTCCCAGGGGGGATGAGCACTGGGATTCCCACTTGCTAATTGATAATGATCTTGGAAAAATTGTTGCAAAATCTGCCGCTGGGTGATTTTGAGTTCGACGCCAGCATTCCCTCTAATCGGCGGTGGCAATATCGGGATGCCACCGACACCCTGTTCCATCCAGAGAAAGCCACCTTTGCCATGAGCACTCTTGGGTGATAGCATTCCTTCTCTCGCCTGACGCACGTACTTGAAGAACTCGCCTGCGGCAGCAGCCATTGCCAGCGCCGCCTCATGGTTGTACCTCACAAAGTTCCCGACCACCACCCCTTCCGATGAGAGCTCATCGTAGTAGTCGTGACTTTCAAGCTATTAGTATGATGATGACCTCCAATGTCTGTTCCACTTACAAGATCATCCCATTTTGCATCATGTTCTTAGGGTATGAGGTGATTGTGATAGACACCATGCCCAATTGCTTTGAGGCCACCTCATGCATGTTTTTCATCAGGCGCTGCCCAAATCTGGTGCAATTCCTACACCGCCACTCAGCATGTAGGCAGGAACATCGGACAAGGAGCTCACTTTATTTGAACTTCATGTGGAGGCCCTCGCTTATCCCATTGCTTGCCAATGTCGCGGTATTCTGCAATCGCCTCCGCCGAAAGGCTTTCCATCACCTTTGTTAACGCAGGCTGAAAACCCCCAAATCGCACCTGCCCCATATTCTCGACGTCCGGATGCTGCCTCACCAGCTCCTCCTCAATCTCCGCCCCACGGAAGTGCCCCACCACCTGCCTCAGAGATGTCTTGCGTCCCATCTTCATGACATTCTTCGTTTTATACTGCTTATGGTTTCCAAACCACGTCTTAATCGCCTTGCCTCTGGCTGTCAGTGGAGGTCAGAAGTCCGCGGATATCTGGCGCACCTTGCATCTCGCTTCCCAAGCTCCCTTCGCTGCCTTGTCTCGCCCACATACAAGTTCCCCATACTTCTCTGGAGCCAAAAGCCTGATCTCATTTGCTACCAGCCCTGCTGCCAGATTGTCTCGTTCTTCCTTGCTCTCTTTCGCCTCCCAGTTTGGCAGGTATTTCCGCAGGATCCTGTCCTCCTCTGGTGTCCAAATGGTTCTTACAGTGTGGGGCTTCTTATTCTGTTTGGATGTCTTTTTGCCATGACGGTGTGAGGTGTGTGCTACTCTCCAGCCGTGTGGAGCCCTCCTTGGTTACTGTGGGCGGTCATCAAACCCTATGCACGGTAGGAGGCCGTACATTCCCCAGTCCATATAAGGCAAATTTCCATATGTGGATATGTGCCACTGGAGCACTCCAAAAGCTGCGCTCCTTGCCTGGGTACACGCCATGAGCCTCAGCCTCTATTAAACCACCTGACATTTATTAGACTTTGGTAGTGGACTGGGGAGGCACCTTTCTGGACTCCACAGGTGCTACACTTGAAGCTCCATGGTGTCCAGTGTATCCCTCCTCCCAACACTCCCCCGCACATTAACAACTTAGTTTCGTGTCTTGTTACAGTCAAAATATGCTACCTTATATGTAGAAGATTTTTAGAGCCCTCCACTAAGGCAACTGGTGCGCTGAATGGAGAGCATATGACCCATCACCCCAAACAGCAGATATTTTATTAGCGGGCCTGACGTGGGTGGATGGATGAATAGGGGGGTCGGATAGACTATAATGCATTGCCAGAACTTAGTCCCACAGTATGAAATAGTTCACAGCATGTGTGGGGCCGGACATGAGGAGGGGAACATGGACTGGATCTGTCTTCCGTGACTCTTATGTCCTGTTGGCAATAGTACATTCTGTGTGCTCTGGGTGGCCTCAGCAAGTAGGTAGTAGACTCATCCTCATATTTTAATAGTTCCAGAATGTTCATAGATGATCATGTGGGACAGTACAACCAGAAGGGCAATAAGTGCTCCAAAAGTGCAAAATCTATCCCTCGTCACACAGGTACTTTGAATAAAATTATTCTCTATATCTGTAGCTCTACCTGCCAACCAGCAGAGCTCTTGAACACAGAGTTTGGCAAATTATATGAAGTTTGAGGTCAGATATGGTTGAATTAGTCAAATTTTGGACGCAGGTTTTCAGTCACCCAATGTGACTGTAATCTGGAACGTAATCTGTACACTACATTCGCTGTCCCTTTGGCTCATCTTCTCTCGATTTTGGTCTAGGTTTAAAATCTCTTTTGGACTGTGCTTGTATGATGTCTCAGTATCTTCACAGGTAACTGGAATACATTTATTCTGGGTGTCTGTGTGACAAGAGACGGAGTTTGCACTTTGGAAGTGCATGTCCGGCACTGTCGCTACTATGTTACCTGTGCATCTCTGCATGTTCTGTGACTACTCTAATATAAAGGTGAGTCTGTTGTGTCGTAAATGAGTCTGCACAGTGCTTGAAGAATGCATCATGGGCGACCCAACGCAGGAATTGTGGAGGCTGGATCCGGTCTTCTTCACCCCTTGATATCTTGATGCATTGCTGGGGAGAGAATTTCTAGATACATACATATGGTAGGCAGGACCCCTCACATTGCGAGATGTCAGCTACTTCAAGTCCCCAGGTGCACGTACAGGTGGAAAAAACATCTCTGCTCAGTGGCAGGGGTGGGGCGGGCGACATTCTGCCCAGCTTTTTACAAGTAGGATGCAGTGGATATCACACATTTCATTGCTGTATCTGGCAAGCATTACGATTATATGCAATACACTTCTGGGCGACCGCTCAGGTCAACAAGGCAGGGACTGAATTCTGTCTGGACCAGCCTGCGCTCAATCTGGTCTGTGAGAAACACTCGCATTGCACTTACACAATATTCCTTCAATAGCTTGATTTACCTCCAGCACCAACATGTCTAGAAGGGCAACTGTTCTGCACGACGATACCCCTTTGGAAGAGTTCCGGACAGCAGCAACATCCTGAGGAAGGAGGGACAGGCTGGTGGAAGTTCCACAGGAGAGGGCCCCATCGCCGCAGAAAGTACCACAGCGAGTAGGGCCCATGCAGTATTCTTTTCAGGCACCATCTGGGCCTCATTATGACCCCTCTCATGAGCAGCCCAGAGCCTACGAGGTGGACCCCGAGACAGGCCATTTCATGGGCAGCTATGATACACGCCCGAATAAGTCAGGAAAGGTACAGTGGCTGAGGAAAATGATAGCAGGGTCAGTGCTCACATGTGGGCGTAGGTTCAAAATGCATATATGCGGGAGTGGGTGGACAACAAGCGGCAACTGTATCAAGACCGGGTCCTTGCTGGCAAGAGGGGCCCCGCTGGACGGTGCAGTGAGTGTGGGGTAGGCAAAGCTGTTTGGAAGTGTCAGGACTGGAGCGGCAGCATCATCCTCTGTGTGTTCTGTATGCGAAATGGGCACAAACTGCTACCATGTCACCGCATTCAAAAATGGAGTGGTCGCTTCTTTCAACAGGGGGCTCTGTGGCAGACTGGGCTCAAGCTCCATGTGGGTCATGGCGGATTGCCTTGTCCAAGCCTAGGTGCGGCGGTTACCCCACTGCCTCAAAGAGCGCACCCGAATATGACAACTGGTGGCAAAGATACTTTGACCCATCTCGCAGATGCCTTGCAGATGCCCGTGATACAGATTATTGACAATCTTTCCAGGGAGCTGGCGGCCAGTGACAATGCAAGGCCTTTCTTGCTCCAAGTGGCCGCAGTGCTGGCGCAAGATCCAACAGCCCTGGCCTTAAGCCTGGAGGCTGCCATTGCCATGGCTGAGCTACAAGCAGCGAACGAAGAAGAGGTGGCGGCAGAGAGTATGGCAGTGGCAGAGCATGGAGTTGCGCCACTGGTGGATGAAGATGCAGCCACCAGGGACCTACCACCAGCATGGGACATTGATGAGGAGGAATGAGAAGACAAGGCAGCAGAAGGCACCCCCAAAGGCCCTCTTCCACGATTATTTCCCTGTCACCCGAGTCAGGACGCCGCCGGAAACCCATTCATCACCCTTGTCCACACTAATGGCTTTCACCACCTCCCCATCGTCTGGTGTCGCTGTCAGGGAGAGCAGCCCACTCGAGACTTGCAACTCTTGGATCAGCGACTGTACCCAGCGACATCCATAAGGACAGAGACAATATTTACATTTGAAGTGCTCGATGACTTCAGGCTAGAGCATTTGGAGTGCAAGATGACGGCGTATCAGTATCATCATAAGCTGTGCCGCTTGACCTATCCAGCTTGCCCTCAGTACAGTCCAAACCGGTATGCAGACTTGCGCCAGATCTCTCGCCAATGGCGCAACTTGAAGCTACACAAATGGTTTTCGATTTCACCCTCAAATCCCGCTCAGCGAGGCAACATGGTGCTCTTCTGCGCCGCCTGTCCACAGCCTGGAATAAATTTGCCCGTTGGGTGGGAACAGCTGCAGGAGAAAAACCAATGAGCGTGATGGATTTATGATGCACCATCCTCATGGGCTAATGGAGGAGTAGAAATATCTTCATACAATCTTTTGCGGTGGATGGGAATTTCACCGCTGATCATGTCCGCCAGATGAACAATGAGCAAGATGTGTGGCTCACAGATGGCGAAGGGTTCATGACCAATGAGAAGCGTTACAAGGACCATTTGGATATTGCGGTGGACTCTCCTCAGGTATGTGTTGCACCCGTTATATTCTCATGCTATGTGTGATACTTTCTAGACCGCTACATGCTCACGATATAGGGCGCAGGATGGCGCAGATGCGGAGCACAATGGGACCGACCGGACAGGAAATGCGGGTCACTGTTGCGCTCGCCACGGTGCCATGGCACCTGGGAGCTCTGTCGACTTTCAAAAAGGTGAGCACCAGATGAACATGGACTTTTCTCTGTGTGAAGCCTTGGCCACCACGAACACGGATGGCCTAAAAAAAGTGATTCATATCTATGACATTGCCTGCCAGTACTATGTGCACCTGAAGGAACGCATCCAAGCCAGTCCCTATTTGCAGAAATCAGACCAGATTGAGCTGATTCACACCATTGGTCTCTTCCATGTGCACGGGCACCAGGACGAATGTCTATACCGCTTCACCACCAGCTATGTCCCAGGCGCCGCGCAGGTGGATGGCGAAGTGATGGAAACTATTTGGGCAGTGCTGAACTCGATATT